TATTACTTGCAAATGTTGAAACAATATTTTCAAAAAATTGGAAAACTTATATTCAGGATAATATTCACGATAAAACGGATGGATTTTTATCTCTTTATCATTCATCGATTATGCATAATTACACTGTAGATTGCGAAAATATGAGTGGTGACTTGTGCATAGGTGGCGGTAACGACATTGGATTTTATGGAGTTGCCGTAACTCACAAGTTGACAGAAAAGATTTTAAAATCCCAAAATGGACAATTTGTAAATTTCAACTGGAAGAGAGCACTGAATGGTGTAAATGCTCGTATCATGTATCCTCCTAAATCATTGAGTATGCAGATCGGACTGACAAATCAAACAGAGGATAAATGCGGACAAAATGAGGTTGCATTCAGGTTTAACCGTTGTGAATTTCCTGATTGGATAAAGAATGGTATCGAATATTACTTCGACAGATGTACCAGCCCAGACGAGAGTTACAATCGATTGGATTCAATGACAGCAATAGAAAAAGAAGGCCGATTTTGGACAAGACCAGCAATATCATATTGTCTCTACGGTAAGAGCAGACGTTATACTCAAATTGCACTTGAAAATGCGCGTAGAGTATTTAGTATTTACCCCGGATGGAAGATATGGATATATACAGACGGTACTGTGCCGGAGCTAGTTATGGAAGAACTTTGTGAATTTGATGTAAGATTCATTGATATGTCTCAGAGCAAAATTCAAAGCAAGATGACTTGGAGATTTTTAGTCGCTTCTGAACCTGTTAAAATGTATGCCATACGAGATGTGGATTCTTGGTTGCTTCCTCGAGGAAAGGCAGCTGTAGATGAATGGATATCTTCAGGGCGAAAGTTCCATGTTCTGAGAGATCATCCGAATCATTCCAGGTATCCCATGAGTGGGGGAATGTGGGGAGGACTGCATGATGCTATTCCTAATATGAAGGAAATATTAGAAACAAGAAAAATGGGAGATTCGTATATGACGGACATGAACTTTTTAAATGGTCAAATATGGAGTATTGCGAGTAAGTCTGTGTGGGCTCACGACTCTCATTCATTACACAAATTTGGAGAAGACCATCCATTTCCCACTGAGTTGAAAAGACAAGATTTATTTGTTGGTAAAGTTGTGCTATGGCCACCCCCTAAGGACTGAGTCAACTCAGTCCACAGTTTTATTTTCATCGAGTCAAAAACTAAACAAAAGGGAAAATAAATAATTGATGGAACAAACATAGTATTCTTACTGAAATCCATGATATGTCGCTAAAGACTAACAAGAGTGCAGAGCTCAACTATATGGACACGAATTCCCAATAACTAACCGCAGTGCCGGTATGTAATATTTCTAAATAGTAGTTAATGTAATTTCAAGACCGTGTTATTGCTTTGCAGCCCTCAGCGCACAAGCGAAGCTTTATTTCGCTAGACCTCATCTATGTTATGAGTCAAGCTATATTCGCTTTCCAGTCAGGTGGGGAAGCAACGTATTTTGTTGTATGACGTACCAAGACCTAGTCAACAACGGGATTTTTACCTAGACCTAGTCGATAGCAAGGAATCTCTCCTACACGTTTTAAATGATTAATAATCTGTGTTTCGCAGTTGTTTTGAATAAAAACGTGTTATTTATAAGTAGATGGATATCGGTTTTCATCTTTTGTATATTTGAAAATCTCTTAATTCTCTACTTTGTAATTTTGTTTTTGATAAATGCAAATATAAGACATCCCCGAAAATAAGCCTTAGTGTTATTTCCCGGAAGAAAATTGAAATAAGACCCAGTCTTATTTTCGGGGAAATACGGTAATAATCATATATATTTTGGTTCACTTACTCATAGAATAGTTCCGATCCTATTATTTGTGTTTATTGTGTATTTACTTGTTCTTATGATAATTTCGACTAACCGCCAACAATAGTCCTTCAATCTTACACATAATAGTGAATATGGGAGGAGCTGACTCCGATGACCGTATATTTTCATTTTTGCAATACTTGTTTCCTGGTTGATGAAACAATAAATAAATCTCCCTCTATATAACAGCGCTTAATAATATTTGATTCATTCTGCAACGCAAGATAGTAAGAAACTATTTGGTGTGGCGCATGTTACTAAGAGCCGCCATAGGGTGGTTCATGAAAGCGCTGGTCGGTTACGGCTTCTTACATCATCAAGTCTATGTATCTGAAACAAATAACTAGCTAACGAATCCCATACTCGACATGGACTGGTAACCGGACGAGAAGCCGTAGTTCGCCATATGATTAGGCCGTCTTATCGGGTTTCCTCACCACCGGGATAAATATGTTCAATCATATACATTCGTAACTAATTATATTTCGTACAGCAGTTTCGACAAATGTGATATTTCAAACTTAGATGCAACGATAAGTTTGATTTTAAGTGAGTCGCCATTAAACCAAGTGATGATTACCTAACGGGTGCGTTCTCTGCTATATTTCCCGGTATGCCTATGGATGGAAAGCAAAAATACAAATTTGCTAGTTTTCAATAGGGCTTGAGTTTTGGAACTGAATTCAAAATCTCGGTATCGTGATTTTTCCAAGTTTAAAATTACGGGATGAATAAAATGAAGCTAAGAATTTCAAAAGTACACACGTTTAGTGGACACGAAATGGACCCATGGATAATTTTGCTATTATGTTGTTGTTGATTTTTTGGTATTATTTTCTTTTTGTTATGAAAAAAATCGATTTTTTCATTCACAAATGGACCAATTGCTTTGAGAATTTCAGTGGCTAAAGATTGTATTTATTTATTCCTGAATTTTCCACGAATCCCATGAGATCTGATATTTCATCGAACATTTCTCTATATTTCCATGGGAACACGGTTTTTTATCCGCCAGCGTGATGGCGTTTTCTGATTTGACGCGACGCTTTGCGTAACTCGGAAATTAATTGATACCGGTAATACGGTACGAATGGTACTTTGTTTTGGACACCGTGTTCATATATTTGAGCATTACTTTCTTGTTTTTTTGTATTATCGTCGCGCAAACAATAGCATGTCAAGTTTATTTGCAATTGTGACAGGACTGGACTTGTTGTTTTTTGTTGGATTCTATGTATATTGTCTGTGTGTGTCGCGCGGTTTGCAGAGTCGGAGCTGTTGTTTCGACTAATATATTTCTCAAATGGGTCAGATTTGACTATTCTTGCACGACTCGGACCACCTCCGTTGACGTGACCCCATTTTATCATGTGATCCTCTCGTGTGGTCTGACTGCTGTTAAAATCGGAGGCGTTTTCGTTGTTCTGTGTTATATTCATTCAAATCCGTGCTTTTCTGCTGGAAAGTAAAGTTCGTTACTGGCGTCATCATATTATCAAACTGTTTGTGTAGTTTTGCAGAACACGAATCTTCTGGGGATGTCACAAACTTGGCACAAAATTTCAACAAATAGTTATAAATTTGAAGGAATTTTTGTTTAAATATATTTGCGCGTGTGGTGTAATTATTCTTAAATGCTGTTGTTGTTTTCAAATTCATTCGAAAATCGCTATGATGGCAAAATTACATTCGAAGGACCGCGCCTTTTGCATTTGGATCCAGATCGAGTATTGATACATCAATTTCCTCAACACAAGATTGAGGGAATATTAGTAATTGAGATCCACCTTTTTCAAAGATTTGAAGTGACCCGAAATCGTCTGAGTAAAATGACTCGACTATTCGCCAAAGGGACCCGACTCGATAATCTCGTAGTGTGTGTACCAGGCCAGGCCATAATTTTATTCCGATTTTCCTTATTTTAGTTTTATTACGAGTTCGGGGACTGTCTGTGTTAGCCAAGTGAATAAACCCCCCTGCCCGTAGGTTTCAGTCACTTTGCACGACTTGATGTAAAATAGGCGAACAAAATTAGTTACCTCCATATTGTTACACATACACATATATATATACTTCTGGAGCGCCCCCGATCATATTTTGATATAGTCTAAGAAATGGAAATATCCCGTGAAATACGATTTACTGCATCGATTAATGTTAATTTTACGATTCGGACACGCGAATTTTGCGATTTCATTCCGAATTTATTCCACAAAGGTCACACCCGAGCTAGTTACGACCGTCGACCAGATACGATATCAAATCGAAGAGCGACGGTGATTTTAAATAAATGAAGATTTCATTGTTCACATCGGTATTTATAGTGTTTAGAATAGATTATCCGGCGGATGTACATCCCGCAAAAAAACGTCTGAAGAGTTCAAAAAGTGCAAAACCAAATACTTATTATTGAAACGAACTGCCAGTTGTATCATTAGCCTTCTCGAATACATCAAGACTTCGACGTGGTAAAAAGCTTTAGGGAAAACTATCGCCAATACCTGGTAATTTTCGTAGAAGTAGTAGACGGCAGGTTTTAATCGATTCAGTTGCATCATATATCAATCGATGCGTTAATTATTATGAGGCAGTATAAGAAGTTGCGTGGCATATCGATAAAAAATCATATTACTTTCTATTTTATTTTTTATTCTGACATCTACTGCCACATCAACGGCTGCGATTTTCGAACTGATGCGTGTAGCAACTACTACGCTAAATAATGCATGGCGTTAGCGAGTGTGGGATGTACATTGTTTTCATTCCAGTCAAGCAAACAAGCCAGTCGTATGTTTGAAAGAGAATAATTCAATTTTAGTAATCAAAGCTCGGAGCCCGTCAGAAAACAGCGATTTCGTACGTCGTTTCGGTCGTTTGATTACAACATGGCGTAAATATAGCCAGCAAATGAGAAAGGCGGCGTTTATTTACTGATAGAAATTCAGCATTTGTATTGTATTAGCGACAGTGTAGCGATATATCGCTTATTTTGGTCAACTTAGAAACACGAATTTACTGCTGTTAAGGGAGAAGGCAGTTTGTTTACAGGATTCAGATTTGATGATTAACAGTTCTTTCGTAGATAGGGCATCTACCAATGCCTTTCACTACAGGATGCTATCAAATTTAGGTCTTTCAAAGCCGATTAACATAGTCATAGTTAAGTTTATTTTTTCTATTCAGTAAGAAAATAACATGCAAAGTTCAAAGAAATAATGTTGAATACAAATTTTAATGGGGAATGGAAGCCGCGAGGAATCCAAATCGAAGACATTGAAATAAAATATTACCAAAAGTAAATGCTCCACGCGGTCATACTTCATATTGACTTATGTTTTGGCCCAAACAAGAAAACTGAGGGCCGAGTTTCAATTTCAGAGTTTCTTAAGATTGGGAAAAATCAATCAAATTTGATTCACTTGAAAATTATAGGTCTGTAGGTACCGGTTCTGTTCTGCTCTACGTGCTAGCCAGAGGCCTTCCATCGATTCGATTAAATCCAACAAAAAAACGAAATTCTGTTCAATTTAGATCACAACAGATGAGAATTTCTAAATAGACGGAAATACAAACAATCCGGAAGATATTGAGATATAAAAATGGCGACGACGGTGACATCAAGTCCACATATACAATTTTCATTCAACACCGACCGAATCGAACTTCTGAACTCCGAGCCGAAGATTAATTACTGGTAATTAGTGATTTGTTTTTCAATCAAATAAACTGCATGTTTTAAAGCAGTGTAATACAAGTTATATAACCAGATGTATGTACAGACTAGACAAATTTACTTATGGGAGAATGTGCTTTTGAGCAGTATATATATATATATATATATATATATATATGCTCAAAAACGGAAACAAATGAATAGTAGATGTATTATCTTGCAGTTCAAGCGCCTCTGGAGTTTTCCTGTGAGAACTGACTTTTATTTATATGCAGGAATCAAGCTTATATTTGGGTTAGGTTAGCAGTATGCGTGATAGAATTTATACTGATTAAAAATTCTGCTCAAAATCACCTTATCACTAAATACCATGCATTCGCACAAAAGTCCTTTTTTTGCAAAAGTACATCATTGCGAAAGTTCATTCTCGCAAAACTTCCTTTCCGCGAATCTATATCGCAAATATCTATTTCCCAGCAGTTCGTTCGTTCTCTGGAATCATTTTCACAAATTTCATTATGTTTTTGTTGCATTGAACAGATATATCATTCCTAAGTTGAGTTATATGTGCCGGTACTGTAATTCTTCTGAAACTTTATTGTACATTGTGTTTCTGATTGCTGCAGCGTTTGATACATTAACAGAGCTTTCACGTTGAAGACAAAAATCCAATCGTAACTGAGGTTTTATTTTGTTTTATTTTATAGTAAAAGATGGATTGCAGTTGTCGCGTACTTGGTATGCACATTTACACCAGTCGTTGCACTGTCAACTTATTTTTTGGTTTACTGGCATCCAGGACAGTAAAAGTGCTGGGGAACTAGACAGGATATGGAAAACGATTCGCCTGGAGTAAAATGATATTAACTATACGGAAAAAACGATTCATCGAGAAAAAATAAGACAGCTTCATATCTTGGTTATTATAAAAAATGTCAATGAAATGTTTCTCATTTATCAAAGTTTGTTATATCTTAGTTATTATAAAAAATGTCAATGAAATGTTTCTCATTTATCAAAGTTTGTTATATCTTGGTTATTATAAAAAATGTCAATGAAATGTTTCTCATTTATCAAAGTTTGTTATTCTCATTATTTTCTGTAATGGCTGGTCAAGAAAATGAAATTTCTGTGCGTGCTTATGCAGTAATATCTGTAGTTTTAGCAAGCAAATATTAGGTAGAAGTAGATTATAAGTAACTTAGTCACTTATGGTGATGCTTTACATAAATCTAAAGAAGTTGATAGTGCGAACTGCCAGTGATAGTTGATAGTGAAGTGTCACCACTCAACACGGTATAGGCTTCTTGTACACGAACCCTAATGTGTTGGGCGGTGACACTTCGCGCTATCAACTCCCTTAGACTTACAACCTGCCAGGTTTTTCGATATCAACAACTCCACGACTTTGATTGAAATATATTGCGGTCAGTGAATTACCAAGTCTACATGCACGAAGTACAACATAGACCAGGGGTCGGCAACCTTTTTGTGGCTTGCGGGCCAAAATGAAGGGTTGCAAGTCTTGGCGGGCCTTTAGAAAGTTAAAAACCGAATCGATGGCCGGCCGCTTTTCAACTTTATTTTAAGTTATGCTCGCCTTCCAGGTATCTCTGCATTTTGTTTGTCTGTTTACTTTTCGTGTGCTTTATGTCAGAGAACTGAAGAAAGAAAGGAATTTACAAATGACATTTAATGTGGCACTTTTCGTTGCTTGCACATTTTCTGAATGGGACACTGAATGAAGCCAAGAACAAAACATTTTATAAATGGGAATCACATATCCGAGTTCCCCGCTTGTTTTTTGTAGTGTTCATTTTGGAAAATAGTTGTTCGCATGCACATGTAATTTTTTCGCATGGTTTGTCAATATTGGATAGAGTTTTTCTTCAAGAAGATAAAAATCAAATCAAGTATTGGTAGTGATGCATCTCTCGAATAGAATCCAAATTTATTTCCTTGCATTGCACCTCAAAAAATTACATTTGAATATTTTCTGCGCCATTGAATCCTTTGCACTTAGCATCAACTTTTCTGAGTTTTGTTGCCATTTGTCTAATAACTAAATTATAGGCTCAACAAACGAGTAATTTTGAATTATATACATGTTAGGTCATAATATAACTTAGTCTACACGTGTCTCACAATAAATTCTGTTACGTAAAAAATGTAATCGTCAAAACAGCCGTTTTGTTACTATAATCAGTGAAGCGTCGCGGGCTGAACTATTTCATTCCGCGGGCTGTAGGTTGCCAACCCCTGACATAGACGAATATATGTGACGAAAAACGACGAAATAGTGTGGCGATAGATACGGTAAAGTAGTAGAAATGCATTTTGTGAAGGGTTGTTAATATTTAGGACCAACAGGCCGGTTAACAATATACTTAATTCTGAAAGATGCAAACAATAGCAAAGTTAAATTGCGCAATATGAATCAAACCTTATAATTTAACTAAATGAAAATCAAACAATCCGCTTTACATCGCAAATAACTTAACATTGCCAAAACAGCGAACTTCGAATACGAAAGAAATATAAACAGCCCAACTGGCGACGAAACGAAATAATAAACAAATAAGGATGAGAGAAAACAAGACTTGTTTACGCCGACTTGTCAAGTCATGTCGACGGAGAGATGTCGAAATCTTTATCTAGACCTGTAGGGAGTAGTTTACCAGCGTCATTCGCAGAAAGTGCGATGACCGAGGTCTCTCGAAAGAAAAACGGGTCATATATTTACCTGATAAAACAACGAATCTTTGTCTGTAGCAAGAACATTATCAGAGTGTGAGTATAGATATATATTGATTTTTTCGCCCCAAAAAGAAGTCGCCCCAATAGCCACAAGAAAGTAAAAGGGCGATGCATATGGCCTCAAGGTGTCGAATAATTCTGGGAAATTGAATTGAGAAAATAGGCTCCATTTTTTGTTCTGAAAAAGAGAAGTAAACTGAGTTATTTAGCATAGAGACGCCTGATGTTTTTGTTAATTTTTGTATAATATTTCAGAAGACTATAACCTATAAGTATATAAACAAGATATCAGCTAAAACGAAACATTTTACATACAACTTCCCCAAAATAGTATCATAAACGAAGTTCGAACTACGAAACGACTACCCTACCTGTGGGCACAATGTAACCTAGTGCAGTTAGGGCTTTAGTTTGCGTAGCGTAAAAATGTTGTATGTGTCATTCCTGCCCCACTTGACTACGCCATTCTAAAATTACGATAATATTACGTCATAATCAAGTAATAAGGCTTGACAAAGTGAAGCGACGATTGCCCAGGGTGACGTCTGCGACATGAAACTCAACGAAGCCAGCAATCCTTCTCGTATTGACGTGATTGTGACATAGCTTCTGTGTCGCAAAAACTTAACTTTCCTCATACGATAAAAATTTATTCCGTCAGTTTTCTATGAACAAAATTTTTTCTCCAATATTCTTAGGTATATCCGGTTTGTACAATTTGCTTTCAGCTAGCTGATTTTTATGCTGTAAGCCTGTGACTAGAAATGCATAAAATTTCTGGTCAGCCGATACTCATTGAAGCAGCCACCATACCGCCATGCCAGCACAAAGCTGTTGGTGCGTTGGTCAATTGCTGTTTTCGTGTGCGTTCGTCATTTGTTGCTCTCTTATCAGAGGGGGCTCATAACTTTACTTTGAGGGAGAGAGAGGGGTTTATATCATTTTGTCAAACCAGGAAAACAATATATGGGTACATATTTAAATATTGAGTAAACATATGCTTTCGGTACTAACTGGGAGGCAACGGACGACCGTACAATAAATATTTGTTCTAAATATGAAATATTACTGCAGTATTATCGGATTTAGAATTTTAATTCTTACCATTAGTTCGAAATGATGGTATGTGCTAGTTTTCGGACACTATTTCTTTGAAAATTTGGTTAAAAATGCATAACAAAACATTATGACGTCACAATATTAATAGTCTCTTTCGTAAAATTTTGGAATTTTGTGAAAGCGACGGACGAGTACACAGGGTAGTTGGACATTCTTATATTTTTCTCCGAACTGTTGTTGTCAGCATAACAAGGAGCGAAATAACAGGGAGGTAAGATCTATCTGTTTATTGGGCACGAAATTTACATTGGTATTTTTTTCTTATCGTTATGAAAAAAATCGCTTTTCTTATTATTCTTACTGGACCAAATTTTCAGTGGTTAGAGATTGTATTTTAATAAGACATCTTATCAAATAGATATATCTGCATCAAATATCTAGACTCTACTAGAGTTTCAGATCAACATACATCAAAAGCGAGGCATATCCGACACGACAAAAATTTCTTGCACTCCTGACCGCGGCCTAGTCATTGGAATTGAGATCTATTTTTAGTTGCATGATAAAAATTAATTATAAAAATCAAATCCAATAAAATCATCAATTGGAAACTTAAATTCTAAAACGATTCAGGCAAATACTCTGAGTAGGCTACATGCAATGGAAGGAACATTTTGACGTAAAAGTAATACCCAGCCAACCAAAAGTGGGTGAACAATTTTTGTATAAAAGAATGAACGGTGTTGAAAATGGAAAAAGTAACCTAGCGTCCTAAGTAACTTACTACGGTACCAGGAAATAGAAAACACTTCGGATGATTTGGGCTGATTGAGGGTCAGAAAATGTCTGTTTCTCAGGCCGACAGCCATAGGACTAGGTAGAGGGTGTCTAACCTCCTAATTGGAATTCTTGAAGCTGTGCGCATCTGTCCGTAGTCAGATTTACTTTTCACAACTTATCAAAAACAGAGGTTTTGAACAGGTTAGAGGAGGTTACGGCATGTGCACAATTAATACAAGATCCTACGGGTCAACTAGATGAAAGACTACCGCTGACGATGGCTTTACTCTTCGCTGGGACAAAAATGATGATGACAGCACAATTTAACCCTCGTACATTTGCACCCGTAAACTTCACTCAGCACATTTGCACCTCCATATTTTGGTACTCCCGAGGTAGGCTATGTGAACCAAGATGGCGGAAACCGGAACGTAGTATGTGTACCATGTTAGGGTTGGGCCATAATTTTATTCCAACTTTTCTTATTTTAGTTCTATTAAGAGTTCAATGACTAGCCAAGTGACTCCCTTAGTATTTGTAGCCTACCTGAAATTATGGCCAAACCCCAACCTGATGCACATACTACGAACGAGTGTCCACCATCTTGGTTCACATACCTCGGGAGTACCCATTCTTTTGCACCCATAGATTTAATCATTTTAGCACCCGCATATAGAATGAACTCGCAGACATTTGAACTCATGTACATTTGTACCCGCGGACATTTGCACCCATGGACGTTTGCACTCATGCACATTTGCACCCACAAACATTTGCACCCACGAACGTTTGCATCCATGTACATTTGCACCCACGAACATTTGCACACATGTACATTTACATCCATGAACATTTGCACCCACGAACATTTGCACCGACGTACATTCGCACTCACGTACATTTGCACCCACAGACATTTGCACCCATGTACATTTGCACCCACGTACATTTGTTGCCATGTACATTTCCATTAATGGACATTTGCACCCATGCACATATGCCTCCACGAACATTTTTACCCATGACATTCCCACGCATATGCATGCGCCTCATTAACGCACCCATAGCCATGTTCGCGAATAACCGTGTTTCAGACAAACTTTAATCACCAATTATAAAAATAATTCGAAATGAAGATGGATTGCAAATTTTAAGTAGCCCTTATTCATTGTGAGGGTCATGGGTGTAAATATTCATGGGAGCAAATGTTCACGGGTGCAAATGTATGGGTGCAATTGTTCATCGGTTCAAATTTCCGTGGATGCAAAAGTATGCAGATGCAATCGTCCTGGGTGCAAATGTACGTGGGTTCAAAGATAATGGTACCAAAAATGATAACATAGCTGTCAAACAAAAAATGACAGTCCCTGGGCGCACATGGCTAGATTTCTCTGCAGTGACCAAAGATGGCAGAACCGGAGTTCAACAGTGGCCGCTGCAGGGTAAGAGATTATGGGTGTACTTAACTACTTCGAGCATCTGCCTGCCATCACTCACCGCGCTATTTGTTACTGGGTCGATTTAGATATTTAAGATTTTTTATTGCGAATGCTGCGGTTGGATCTTAAAATATCCACGTGGTGTCGCCCCTGAAACTGTTCTTCAGTTTCGTGATTGCTCTGCTGCCTGCCTACTTAGAGAAAACTGTTAGAGCGCATTGTTCACTGTATACAGGTATTGTATAAAAATATAATATTGCCAGATTGCAGGATGGGAATCGTGAGTTCGAAATGTGCCAAACAAATCAGGTTTGGATAATGTATATGCTAGCATATTGAAGATATTAATATGGTTCGCCCGTCTGTCTACCGGTACCCTACCGGTACCGTACCGGTACCGGTAACCTCGCCATCTACTGATCTAAGTTAACAAGCAGCAGACACTGAGATATCAGTTCTGAGGTTTGTCCATACTGGTTCCGTTGCAGAGTTCTGCAGGTCGCAGATGAACGCTCGAGTACGCCTGGTGATTCCCAAAAATGCACACAAGCGCAATCCTCCAATCCATGTGCACACTCACCAGTCAGTAGTCACCGACTCACCATTAGACTATACCGTACCATATCTGACAGTAAGAACAGTGGTGGAATGAAACAATCACCAATACCTGGATACACCAGTCTTGATTTCATGGCCTTTTCGAACGAGAAATCGGACGTGCAATCAGAAATTCCCGCGTGCAAATAAGAATTCCTGGCGTGCAAAACAACTGCGCCCGCGTGCAACTGACTTCAACATTAGATATCTCTCACATTCGCGTAAAATTACCGGTACTGGATAAAAAATACTTTGAATCAAAGCAAAAATGGACGTTTGACCTTTGACCCCCAAACATTATTTTTACAGTTTGTGGCTAATTTTGAGAGTGTTCGTGCGACTTTGGATACCGGTACTGTCCAGTACGGTACGGTACATCCGCATAAAATTATAGGGCAAAAAATACGTTCAATCAAAGCAAAATGGCCATACTTTGTCATTAATCTTGGGAGTGGGTTTACGTAGAATTATTGGATAAAAAATACGTCATATAAGAGCAAAAAATGGACGTTTGACCTTTGACCCCGAACATTATTTCTATTCTTTGTCACTAATTTTGAGAGTGTTTGTGCGACATTAGATACTGTTACTGTTCAGTACACCCGTGTAAAATTATTGTATAAATAATTCGCTGAATCAGAGCCGTAACTGGCCAGCGTCGGTGCAGAGGCAAACTTTTCGTCCATAACTATTCTCACGGGATTCCTATCAGTCAACACGATATGGTCTTTTTGCTTCGCATTTTTCGATCAGGTCAAATCTTGCAAGCTAGTATTAGTCGACAATTGTGAAGTTACAATTTGTTGGCATCTTAATATTACTGGTTTATTGATTTAAAAACCATTTGAACCATTTTAATTTCATTGGTGAGCAATTGCAAATTTTCGGCGTGCAAAATTGAATTTGCTCGCGTGCATTTTTGCGGAGCGCTGGCGCCCTCGGGCGTGCACCTGCCATGGAATCCAGTCTGGTGAATACACAGTGCTAACAGGGACTAAAGTTACAGATTTACAGGCTGACTGAATATAAATAACTTAACAAGCACTTTTCGGTTCCACAAACACACCAAAAGTTTAAAATTCATACCAATTAACAACTAAATGGCCCCTCATAAAATGTCAGACTTTTCTGAACTCTGACCTATGCAAAAATTCGCAACATTGCCGTTGTTTTGCGAGCCTGTGTGTCAAAGCCCCATCTGGGATGTTCGGTTTAAATAATTTTACGCTTGCTTGTTTACCTTTTTTTAAATAGGGCCATTCTGTCAGTTGCATACTAAGAGTCTTGGTTTTTACTCTGTTTCGGTAAGTTTGCATGCATGTTCGGACGTTTAAAATTGTATTGTTTGGCGTGCCGCAGTCACTGATTGTGGGCCGGAATTTCTGGACTGCACGCCTTGATCTGTGATTGCACACCCAACTTCTCATGGAAAAATATCCATCAAATCCATACTGGCATTTTTTCAGCACATATGGCGTGTTCAGCGCTCAATCCACAGATCCAGCAATTAGTCCATGCAATTGCTTCCTTTTAGCTAACACACACGTTTCAGGGCTGTGCAGGTCTGTAATATGAGTTTAGCACATGTTTTTTTGACATTGAAGTTTTATTTTCTTATTCGTTGGAGGAGCCGGATTTGGAATTTTGAATAATAGTGATAGTCTAATTAAGGTTAAAATTGCTGTTAGAAACATCAAGCGGGAAGTGAGTAAGCATTCCTAACCTACAACTAATAATAGCTTGCATACACAAACGTTTTTGGGGGTAATATTTGGATTTTCTTGAGTTCAGATATCTTTGAGAATCTGAAATCAGTTTTTTTATGGACTGTCGTCGAATTCAGATGTTAATTTTCTCAATCCCACGGACAGCCCTGCTCTGAACTCAATTTTTCATCCTTTTTATATTCTTTATTCAGGTTTTAACAACAATGTTGTCTTTAGCTTCTTGGTAACATTATTAAATTTCATATAGAATGCTGGTGATAACATTGAGTGTGTTTACTGAGTTGATATAACATCAAATCAATGAAAATGCAGAGAGAAAATCAATGTCGGAATTTTTCACCGAATATCTTCAATAAAAATAAATGCCAGAATTGTTTTCGACCCAGAGAAACTCATCTTTTATCTGATAAAGATCTTAACAAAGTAAGTAGAATCACGGTATAAAATGGAATGATGGATCCTATCTTTGTTAACTAATGTAACGACAAAGCTTCTGATATACAGTTGGCGAATGATTTTGTGGAATTGTTAATTATTTTGAAAATGTGTTGCCAATCATGTAGATGTTCTGATTTAAAACAGGATCTGCATGAAAACTTTACCTAAATTATTGTATTATCACAGATTTTAAATTTAATACCGATATCTAAGGAGAGCTTTAAGCCAAATAGGTGAATCTTGAGACAACGAGCAAAAAAAAATTTCGGATTATTAAATTCGTGTAATATTTCAATAAAATACTTTGGGTGAATAATATTGCTTCAGACTATGATTGAGCACCTATATCTCTAATGTTTTTGAATGTAAATTTTTGAAATTTATCAATTCCCCGCTTTATACTGAAACCTTTGTTAGGATGCAATAGTTTCTCCAGTTATCAAAAATTTGCCTTTTTAGGTGGCCTATACTTCACGAATGGCAATTTTATATCTCTTTGGCTTCTAGATGATAGAAGACTTATTTTCATAATTGTTTTTCGAATATGTTTCAAATATTTTCTATTATTTTTAGGCTGTGCCAATATACTGCGGATGGCTTCTGCTAGCTCCCATTGGAACAGATTTTGATAATCCAACTCATAGAAATAGGGTAAGACCATTAGAATATTTGTACAAAGTTTGTGTATATTCTTTTATGCAGTGTAATATTTGTATTATATGTGGTATATATAATTAGATTGGCTGGTTCTCAGTCTTGTGTAACTTTTTCTTTTCTTGATAAACTACAGAAAAGTTGTTAAAAATAGCAATCTTGATGAATGTATTTGTTCTGGCTGTCCAAATTCGATTATTTTTTCGATTTAAATACCGGTAGGATATTTTTCATGAATCTAACCGAAAAATCGAATGTTATTTTATTTCATCACACGATTCGAATATTCGCAAATTAGCCGAAAAACAGTTTGAATTATTTGTGATTCTATTTGATTTCGAATTTTCAGTTTGTTTGGACAGATCTAGTATTTGTTTATGTAAAGTCCATTTAACTAGGATAATTTTTTATGTCATTATGTTAGTGTGATATACACTAACAATTGAAAAATAAATGTGAACAGCTGTAGAAGAGCTATATTCAAACTTTTGTTTCTCATATCATTTTTTATCTTCTATCAATTGCCCAGGTTTTATTCAAAAGATTTTCACTTATTTTCGATAGTGACATCAATTTTGATTTTGATTGATACATTATTGGTCTATTTAACATGTGTATTTGTACAAACATGTCTATTGTAATCTCATAAAATTATACTCGTATATCTGTACAATTAATGTACATTAAATTGGTATGTCTCCCATAAATGCCATAATTATCAGTAACTTGCTGAAAGGCAGAAGTTGTGATTTTTAATGTGAATAGTTTTTCAGAGTGGGATGGGCAGTTTGTTAATTTAACATGTGACTAAGTGATACGGTTTTAGTTGTATTTTATTTTGGCACATGCTCACATGTTATAAATTATTACACTGACATGGATATGTTATGTGAAGTTGTTACAAGTCTGTGTGGTCTTTAATCGAGATAGCAAGTTTAGAAAGTACTTACGGAATAGAATTCTGTACAAATAGAATTCTCAAACGCCGTGTTTTGGTCATCCACTGAGACATACCGGTACGTTATCTTATCCATTATAATTTGTAATGTGAAAATATTTAATGTGTTTATATTTTATCAGATACATAGCTTTGTAATCGAGTTTTGAGATAATTCCCGATTAAACATGACATGTTGTTTGTTTATTCAAGTCATTTGTAACAGTTTTCTTGTTTTCGCGTTATTAATTATAGATGTTTCTAGTTATTCCACCATGCGGTAAAATCATTTATATAAAAAATTTTTTTAATATGAATCACAATTTGAATCACCAGTTGTATTTTACCTTGAAAACTGGGTAGATAAAATATTATATAGCATGCTATTATAATCATAAGACTACTAATGCATTCAAACTGCAATAACTTAAAATAGCTTCTACTTTTTTGTATATTTCTGTACAAAAAAACATTACAAAATTACAAAGTATTATTTTGCTTTGTCAGTCTGTGCTCTTACCGAAAAAACTGCATTACTGCTAGCTTAAATGATTGTTCAAATAAGTGATAACATTTTTCTACTTGAGATTATTAAAATATCTCTCGCTTAAATTGAAAATTGAATTGTTGACTTAATAATATTTCTTTCAAATTATATATTCTTATTCTTGATTTGTCATGACCAGATGCTAATTCCCAAGTTTTCAGAAAATTCATTCCAAATGAACGCTCACAACATATGAAATGTTGTAGTATGAACTTTTATAAGCATTAAGTTTAATAAAGGTTATAGATTATGTTTTTACGCTTGTGATATCATTCATTCATGTTTGGCATATTATGCTATGCTTGCTTGACATTTCTTCTGGTATTAACAATCATAGGCGTGCTCTTCCATATATGGCGGCATCAAACACTTTTCTACAGAAATTTTCGTGATGATTGATATATCTTATCGTTAGAGGTTTTTACCTTTTTACCATAATCAAGATTAGTTGTCATTTATCTTCAATATATATCGGGGTTTGTCTAATATTAACAGTATATTTCTCGAATTCTGTCTGGGTAAACTATATTAAAATAAGTTGACTATCTCTGAAATACTAGATCACATTGTGATATTGACATGATTATTATTTGGTATATTATATAGTTTAATAATACGAAATCTTTGAATTGGTTATATTGTATTATGAAAACACTATAATAAGTTTAAAATTTCGACTCGAATGAGAGTTCAAAATAGGAGTCATGATCCGATTCTAATATCAACGCAACATGCCAGACTGAATTTTTTTGGCTTTCCCAATTCCATTTGAATAGTGTGATTTTGCTCTTATTATTATAATGTTATTATTTCAGAAATGGCAAAGAAGATACTTTGTACTGTTCGAACATGGTGCTTTACGATATGCATTGGATGACAATGTGAGTTTTGTTTTCTCCAGTTTTCTGCTGACATTTTGGTTTTACGGTAATGATTTTGGTTTCATCAAATACTGGTACGCAACTGGGCTTAATGGGCCTGGTAGTTACCGTAGGTTGTTAGACCTAAATTTATTGGCGTCACAACTCACAAGTGAAAGACGTCAAGTTTGAATCAAATGCTCATCACCTCAATAGGGTGTAATAGATTGGGTAGTCAATCACAAGATGGAAAGATTCCGGTCTTTCCAAAAATAGTAATTCCTTACATTGTACTCTGTTGTCAATCAAGGTGTTGAAAAATTCTAATTGGTTAACCAGTATACCTAAAGCAGTTAATTCTTAAAGTATTTTGATGCCTGTTTCTGACATCTGCATACTTTGCTTCTCTATATCGGTTTCGAATATTTTTAATTTTCCATGAGTGTAAAAATCATGATATCAGCCACTTCTCATAGAAGTTTAATTAAGAAATTTAAATTATAACTAGTTGAAATCGCTATTATAACTAGTTGAAATCACTTAAGCTTTATGTACATGGTTTGTTTGTATGTGGTATCGGTTTTTATTAAACATTCACCATCATTTATTATTATGATTCTTAATGCCCAATTTCGGTATTGAGTCTATATAATTAAATTGGCATTTATGGAAGGTTTTGTCAATAGTAGAGCAGAGATATCCAGGAATTGAATATCCAATACACCCAAAATCGTTTATATTCAAAATACTATAGTAAATCCTCAATATTAATTTCATTTACTATAAAATAGTTTTTCATTTGTTATTTTGGTCATTCGATATCTGATGGCAGTCAGAGACAAAATAGACGTTGTGACACATTAAAAAATATCCTTCAACAATTATTTCCATTGTAATACTTCAATCAGATTTCCTTGTCCTTCATGTAACTATTCATCATACATTGTATATTCCATATTTGAAAGTTTTATTCCAAAACATATAAAATCATAATAGTAAATTATTCGATTTTAGCCTGCCTCAGATGAATTAGTCGCTTCTTATCAAATAAGCTTTCTCTCTTGTTACCTTTTCTCCAACTTTTAATCAGCTTGGTAAATAAATTTGAACAAATATTTGTTCAATTTGACCAAACTACAATATTCATAAACCGACATATTTGATTGAAGCCTGATTAGGCTCGATTATATAATGTTATATTATATAGATGACAACTTTTGTATATTTTTTTTTATATGTAATACATTTTAATATGACATTGCTTTATAATATAATGTACCTTATACAAGTAGTCTACAACATACATCATTTAATGTTTTCAAACTAATCATAACAGGAAATTAGATCGCTACTACCTAATAATATCTGATAAGGTATTTAGATTTTTACCAGTATAGTGAAGCCATGCAATAGATGAATGTGTAACATCAGCTTCAACTAATATTTTCAAATGATGTTGATTCCCTAATATAAGTATATTTATTATTAATAAGAAATGAAATAACTGCAAAATCGCACTGATGATTCAAGTCAAATTTTTTTTAATTCCTCCCATCTTGTGTGTGAATGAACTTTTTCTGGTAGATTTTAAATCACCGAATTTATAATTGAAAATTAAATTAATTAAAAATGAAAATATTTTTTAGATTTGATCTCGCCTATTTGAAATTTTCATTCATTTTTATTTATGTTCCATTCACGTTTTTTCAACATGTTTTTTTTTTAATAAGACATACTTTCGTCTTACTATCTCGTATTTGTAGCATATTGTTAGCTAGTTATTTTTGAGGTGGGGGCGAGACTTGACAAATTCTAAAAAAAGGGGCGTGGCTTAAAAAGTTCGAGAATCACTGCATTAGGTTGAAGTAGTCACATCCTAATCCCTTGCTGTGTAGTGTGGTTTTGGTGCAACATGCATTATGCATTTAACCACATTGATTGCACCCTATGGGATATCCAAATATTGTTTCTGCTAGCGTATTAAAAGGATTGGCCGCAATATTTTGTTTGTATGGGGTAATTAGAGTTAGATAACAGAGCTCATATCAGTTTGCTCTGTCATTTTTATTTGTACAATCTCCCATTTGTTTGGTATTGGCACACTCATTTGTCGTTATCATTGTCATCAATATTTGCAATATTACACTGTATGTCGTTTTTAGGCTTCTCTCAAAGGTAAATTTTTGAATAGACCTAGGAATTTTGTTGGTGGACTGTGAACAATCTTTTTTATTATTTGTATGTTTCCATTACACATGGTATATGTTATATTTGTATAACAAGTTACAATAAAAAATGGGGATATTTGATTATTGCAGCATCGAGCATTGCAAATCACAAAATAACAGTGAGACATATGCACGGGTCAACCACAAACACCTAACAACTGCAAATTTGGCAATTACAAACTAGAGCTGTGACCTATGCATGAATATGCGTTCCATCCACTCATTTTCAGCGTATTTTTTTAATAAAACATCTTTTCGCCTTACTATCTGTTATTTGTAGCTTATTGTTAGCTAGTTATTTTTGAGGTGGGAGGCGAGACAAATTCTAAAAAGGGGACTCAAAAAGTTTGAAAACCACTGCTCTAGTTATTTATCCTTATTTTCAGGCAAACACTCTTGCACAAGGAACCATCAACATGAATCAATGTTCTGATGTCGTTCATTCAGAAGTTATCACAGGACAAAAATATTCAATTGGAATTTATACAACCGACATGAAATATTTTATAAGATCGGAAAACAGAGAAAGTTCTAATGCGTATGTACAGCATTATTATTTAGATGAATATAAAAGTCTTATAATTTTTCTAGCATCCATGACATTCAAGTTAGTGGCTGCCTAAATATAGCAAATCAAAATGCCACCATCAAGGTCAACCACTTTTATTTTATTGAAAAAATGATACTAAATAATCATAGATGCATAGGCATCAAAATGTAATGTCTGGAATACTGAGAGCTTCTTTGAGGATTCTATTATTTGAGTTTAATTTGGAAAATAGATGTCTAAATCAGACTGGGTCTTATTTCTAGCTTTTTTGTTATCGACTAGGTAAAAAAAATCCACACAATCGACTAGGTCTTATTTTAAGGGAAGGGCTTATATTGAAGTCATTTTTAAAATTTAGGCTAGGTCTTATTACGGCGAAACACGGTACTATGCCATCCTATTTTCCTCTATGTTATAAATCTGATGGTGTTATTCATTCTAATTACATTATTTCAATCAGGTGGTTCGACCAACTCATAGTGTTTCCTGAAACTGCGAAGAAAGATGCTCAGAGGAAGAAAAGAGCTGGGAAGAGATACACCAGGCCTACTATTGATTATACAGTGAGTGTTACTAGAGAAAAACATTTCAATCTTGCTTGTGAAATAAAAAGACTACAGTTATTTCACATTTTAAAATGCTTCGTTTCTGTGTTTTTCACCTATTTTTTTTTCGTTTTTCAAGATTGATCAAGAAAAAAGTACACCACCGGATATACACGACAATTTACGAAGCCCAAAATTGGAAAATACGGATCAACCGAAATCAGAGCCAACTATGGTGCTCTCTTCCCCAGAAGCTGTTTCGGAAAACAAGAATTTTCTTAATGTTGATGTCAAACGTGGGAGGAGTATATCAAGGAAATCGACAGATATGAAGCAGGTGAACAGCTATTACTTTTTAAAATTCTAGCTAGTCATTTAATTATTATACTCATTCTAAATTAGCAAGCTTTTCTCAAGTTTCATTCATCGTATATATAGTAATTTTATGTTTGCAATTTTTTCTCTGTTATTAATAAGCATTTCAGCAATTTATATTTGCACTAATTTATGTTCATTATTTCCTATCCAGGGAACACAAACATCCGACAAGCCACTACGAAGAGCAAAATCGCTCGACCGTGAATCCATTGCTGTTGCGGTATGTTTCCTGTCATAACTTTTATCCAATCATATCTTATCTTGTCTCGTTTCATCAAGCATAAATCTAAGATAAATTAGAACTAAATTGTCTATTTTTCATGCTCGATTTGTACATAATTAGTTATGGTGGTAATTTGATGCCTTTTATATGTTGAATCAAGGTTTTGTGTTACATTCTTGATGGTTCTATGATAATAATATTTGTATACATCGAATTTTTGATAACTAAAAGTATCATAACTGTAGTGTGTGATAAAAAATGAACTGGGTACCATCAATTTCTCTAAGTGAAAATATTAACAAGGCAACATGTTATTTACATTGTTGGTATAAGTTTAAGTAATGACTGGTTTTGTTTTATTTTTTTTGTGGTATCGGTATGCTTGAGTAAAGTTACTTTTATGGTAATGGTATTTTATGTAAATATTATTAAAATCAAATCAATTGAGAAATTCCATGAATATGTACTGTCTAAACTCTCACTACCACTGAGTATCCTCACTGGTTTGGCCAAAATCGAACAATTAACTATTTCAAATATATCCTAAATCAGGTTGTGTTTAATAAAGAACAAATAGTCAATGTATATTAAATCAGTGAATCAGGAAATGCAGGAATTCTAAAATAAACAATAATTTACATCCTTCACAATTGAAGACGAGAGCAGTTCTCAAAGATATGGACACAGATCAAAACGAAGTAGTATCAAATCTTTTACAATACCAGTATTATGACCACCAGATCACTGAGAATCATATATTATAAAACTATTCTTTGTTTCAATTTACTGTTATTAATATAGTCAAATTGTGCATCATGATGTCTTGCAACCTGTTGTATATACCATATCAACTTTGACCAGCTCTAAGTTAGGGATAACTACTGTGTTACTATTAAGTTAACACATCCTTGGACACAGCATTCTTCGATCTACACTACACCATATGTACTTTATCACTATTTTCAGATGGAAGCTCTCAATCAAAGAAAGGGATGGTTGATGATGAAACAAAAAGATACGATTAAAGAAACCTTTTCAAAACATTGGTTCGTTCTGATCGATAATACGCTCTGTTTTTATAAAGATCCCTCGTCTGAAGATGCAGTGAGTTTTCTTCTTTCCTAGTCTAGAATCAAACTATTGGTATTAGTTATTTTTTCACATTTTACTTATATATGTTTCACTACGTTATTCCAATGCATACAAATAGTGGAATCCCTCCTTCTTCAGCATATGGTTGTGGTCATAACAAAAAATATCAATGACCATGGGGTTTTGGAGACACTGTGCTGCTATCATAGCAAGTAGTATTAGCAATTCATTATTTCCTTAATGAAAAGAAACGTTGAATAGCTTATTTAATATTTATTTCAGACACACCTGTATAAATGTTATTTTTTTTGAGAATTACCACTGACACTTGACACTTTTTACCGACTTTAAGTAATATCAACCTTGTCCTTAAATGTGTAAGCTTGATTGTAAACAACCTAGTTCTTGTGTAGATAATTACATGTTTGAAACTGTCAATTATCTTGAGTTTTTTACCTGAGAATTACGTCAACTCTCATTTATGAAATGTCAATTTTTTTTCAAGTTTTCGAAAGCAGAGGGCGAAATAAATCTGACCGAAGTCGAAAGAATGGGAGAAGTTGAACTGAACCGTAATTATGGGTTTTCGATTCAAGTACGTAAAATTTGTTTTGAATTACGGTTTTTGATGTATGACCATTCAAGTGTGGCTCAATGATAATTCCTTGCTCTCTTGTATTATTAATCTTTGGCCTTATATGACAAATTGAAAAAGTGGCAAACTGTGTAGCATTATTGTGTGTAATCACCCTTGATACAAATTATTGTCCATTGATCCTTCATGTGGTTTCTAAATTGGTCATCATAAAATGACAATTGTGTAAATTACTTTTGTTGCGAGATTTGCTGCGTAGTGAGATATTTATTTTTGTTAGTATCTCGATGAGTTCGTATTCTTGTTGGATACTTGATTAGCCCATGTTATGTTAAAATTTTGGCGCTCCAGAAGTATTTGTACCATTATGGAGGTAACTAATTTTGTTCACTTGGCTAACACGAACAGTCCCCAAACTCCTAATCGAACTAAAATAAGGAAAATCTGGAGAAAATTATGGCCTAACCCTAACCTGGTACACATACTACGGTAGTACCAAAATTTTAGTCTAAAATGGGCCGAATTGATTTTTATATAGTTTTATGTTCCAGAATTTTGTTTTCATTTTGCTACAAAAAATATAATATAATATGCTTAGTAGATTTTACGAATTTTTTAGTCAAAACATCTTCGTCAAAATTAATATTTAATTTATTAAACTCATTTTACATCCCTGTACTTAATCTACTTATCGAAACCTTTATTACTGTTTTGTTTCCTTTTGTCCAAATTATTATTAGCGATAAATGTTCATATTTTTCATCGGGTATTTCAACTTGTTTACTCAAATTAAGCCTTTTATTAAAGCCACTTCAAACCTAGATCATACTTGAAGATGATACTGTACATTCCTAATAAGCATTCGATCCAATATACTCAATTTTTTCTGTTTATTTTAATAGATTATGACTTAATCCTATTTGGATTAAGTATAATTTAAAAGGGATAAAGATTGAGTATTAGACTGGAAATGTATCTGGTTTGGATATATTTTCTGTATCTATCAGTGAAACGACTATTTGAAACGATTAAAAATTTGTTATATTCGATATTCTTGATTTCATCAATTTGTATCTCTCATTATAACAAAAAAAAAAAAAAAGGAATTTATTCAATCTCTAAAAACCTTAAACAATGCTATCCTAGAGAACTGATTGAATCATATTTCTCTAAATTCCTTAAATTATTAATTTCAAACTTTGTTATTTAAAATATAATCCATATTCAAAAATGTTGTATGCGGAATGGTGGATTATCCGTTTTAGGCTATCTATCAAATCCCTATAGATATTCCATGTCAAAGTTTATCTGATTATCTGCGATTTATGATTGATGATTGTCTGATCTTGAATGCATGTGATTTTGAAAGATAATAAGTTATTTCCTGTGTAGAGGTTGGAATTAATTGTGATAATCTGAGTTGAATTTATATTAGCTGAGGGACACCAAAAAATTGTTTTTGAAGGAAGTAAATACTTCATTGGCGATAAGGAAATGTGTGTATTGTGAATTGAATAACGAACTGGAATGAATACACTTCCTGTCTTATCAGTTTTCATTCTTTCTAAGTATGCAAATAGAATTGTTTTTATGAAATGACTTTGGCCTGGAATGAGTCAACAGATAAGGGTTCGATGTTTCGTCTATGACTTATTTTACCACTCTCAAACACTCACTTCAACAAGTCTGTTTCACTAAAATAATAAACTGGATAGCAATATTGTGTCTAATGGTGAGTGGGCAATTGGCATTGACTTGCCGTATGATTAGGCCATATTTTTGGCTTTCCTATTACTTAGAATTATCATAAAAATCCACAAATCAAGCAGTATTTCTATTGAAAAATACGAACAAAATTTAATGCGTACCAAGTTAATAATGATTATTCATTTAGACTCATGATGAAGAAATGCTGTTAGCTGCTGTCACATCTGGGATTCGAAGGAATTGGATGAATTCTATACAGAAATGCTTGAAATCTACTGCAGTGGTATGTTCAGATAGATATATTTTATCAAAGAGTTTACGCTCGGGCAAAATCAGTATCTATATAACTCAAATATTAGTCAAGTTGCGAGAAATGGAAAGCATTTTTTGGATACTCCCGTAGTATGCGAACCAAGGTGGCGGACACCGGAACGTAGTATGTGTACCAGGTTAGGGTTAGGCCATAATTTCAGGTTCAAATACTACGGGAGACACTTGGCTTGTCCCGAACTCGTAATAGAACTAAAAATTGGAATAAAATTATGGCCTAACACATACTACGTTCAGGTGTCCGCCGTCTTGGTTCGCATACTACAGAGTACCTTTTATTGTAACATCATTCTTACCAATAACCGCCTACCGATATACTATAGTAGTTCGCATATTGTTAGAATGAATTAAAGCTAGTTTTTGTTATGTTTTTTGCATTAATTCGTGATTTAGCGAGTCACCAAAAAAACATAATGTGTTACTTTGTGACCCACAAGTCATTGGTTCCCCATCGCTGTTGTAGGAAATAATTATTTGCGAAAGGATTGCTAAACTCTTCGCCGGATGGTTGAAGTAACCTCTGGTAAGTTACAGCTTCCTTTACTATCAAGTCCATGCATCTGAAACGTTCTATTCTTCTACCATACCTGAATTGGACTGGTAACTGGACAAGAGGTTGTGGTTCATCATATGATCAACGTTTAGTCGATTTCGACTTTCTGGAGATAAAAATGAAATTCCTTGTCTAATTGGGACAAAATATAATGAATTATTCTAAATAAAAGCTAAGATGTGCAACACTTTTTCTTCACTTCAAATTTTTGTTCTTTTTCAGATTGAGAAAATAATCCCTGAAGCACAAAAATCTCCACCTCCTTATATTTCCGGCACAACTGCTGATGACGTTACTACTGTTGAGATAAAACGACAAAGAAGAGCGAGGATTAGGGATAGAAGAAAAACAGGGAGATCAAGAACTTATGATTTTGCAGAGTTGAGGTGGGATTTAATGAAAAGAAGTTTTGTTTGATTCAAGAATTATTTTTTAATGATTTAGTAATATTGCTTTTAACTGTCGTATTGTTTTTGTTGATAATATATTGTGAGTCACAAACATTAAATATTAGGTTTAGGAAACTGAGATGGCAACCTGCAACCAGTGGGCCAATTGATTTTTAAGTTTTATCTTTTTTTTTTTTTTTCATTTCTGTGTTGTTCGACACCTCTGTATACTCATTCACCAATCTTTCAATCGAAATAGGTGCTCTGCCAAGTGCGAAGACTGAAAAGCTGTTATAAAAAAGTGATGAAAACGCATATTTTTGAGTTTTAATAAACTTCGATTGGCCATCTGAAACTTTAAATTTATGATTGTTTGGGTTGATTTGCATATTTACAACTCTAGCGGAATTGGGCACGAATTTTCATTTTTAATTTGCAACAAGTATTTGCCTCATCAATATATTGCGATGGGTCCTGAGACACACACTCCACTATCTGACAAAATTGAATAGTTACTTCGATTATTTGCAAATATTATGATTTTGTTGAGCAAATCTATCAAATTTAAAATAAACAGACAAAACTGCAAAAAATAATTATTAATAATATCAAACCCAATCAGTTACAGATATTGCTAAATTTCATCTTGGTGTTCTCGAGTATTCAGATTTATGGTAAAAGATTTATAATCTCTTTTTCAGGTCTGCTGTGCATAATTCAAATGATATTGTCCCGGAACCAGAGGTGGATGGAGTCAATTTAACTGATTTTGCAATCGAACACGAGGAGAAAAAAGAGAGGAAACACGAAGCAAAGCAAGCTGAGACAAATCATGAGAATGAAAAAGTGGAAAAAGAAAAATTTCCAGTAGCGACATCACCCAAATTGGTAAGTTTATGTAATATTAGGCACATCAGCAAATAATAACAGGATGGTTTATGGTTTGTCAGTTACTTACGGCTTTCTCCGTCTGATCACTGGCTAACTAATCCCATACCTGACATGGACTGGCAATCGGTCGAGAGGTTGTGGTTCGTCATATAATTAATCCCTTCTAATCAAATTTTCTCTCCCTGGGATCAATACGATTTGTTTTAAGCATTTTAGTAACATTTTGAAAATATTGTGATTACGCTTTAAAAGACATTGTTTTGACCTGTGTTAAAAGGAGATTGTTACCCAGTTTGGGTTACAAAATACTAACTAGGCTATTCAGATACATACATCAACAAAGTTTTTAGGATTTTTTTCTTTTTTTTAGACTACGAGTCGGACGCATGATTTGGATGTAAAAGAAACAGTCTCTGTTAAAAGTCCACACTTCATTGTGAGTACAGATAAAATCCAATATTTTTTTTGGGTATTTTGACATTGTTTTGAATATTTGATCTTTGACAGGATGTCAAAAATGAGTTGAATATTCGCAAATTGATTGTATTGTATGTTTTTAATTTTAGGAATAATTTAGAATTGTAAATAAAATTTTGATGAAATATCGTGAGAGGAAGTTAAAAAAAAACTATTAGACTTTTACCAGCCCCGATCATTTCCAAATACTGAAAATTTTAGATTTATTGGTATGCTAGTCACGGAAAAGGTAATTTTTGTCAACTATCAATAACTTCACTTCTAAAGTAGGAAATAGATATGGCTCCAAGGTTGATAAAAACTGGAATTATTATTTTTATATTTCGTGTTTTTAACACTGTTTGTTTACTTTATTAGTTGCCAAGGTCTGCAGCTGGCGAGTGGACGAAAATAGAGAATTTCGATAACTTTTTGACTTCGACTACTAAGCAATTTTCACCAACGAAAGATTCATCTTCGTATTCCGCTTTAAATGGCTTGAAAGATGAGGTTTGATTTGACTTTTATCTCTTTAAAAATTTTACATATGTTTTTAATCATTGTTTGGTAGATTTTCATATTGTAACACACACTGCCGAGATTGGAAAAAAAAAATTTCATCTTTTCGTCCTCCCAAATTTGCCATATAGTATTTCTATCAAAAATATGTTGCGGTGATATGACAAATATTGAGTTTTCCTTTTTCTCAAAATTAATATATTATGATAAAGTGGACTGTTGAAGCTTGAGGAGTCTGTATTATTTGCAATGTTTTAAATTTTTTTTTTCTTCAGAATTTCAGAATTTCGGATCTATGTCATTTCATATTATTGGGTTTTAAAGCTGAAAAGGCATGCATCTAAAAATTTGAATAAATAAAAACACTTGTAAACTAATATATCATATGAATAAATAAAATAAGTATTTTATGTAAATCACAACTTTTACTCAGGTTGATTCTATTGAAAAACACCTCGAAAAAAGTCAAAAAGAAAATTTGGAAATATTTGACAATACTTCACTCGAATCTCTGAAAGGTGTTGGAAACAGGTTAGTGTGAATCAGTATGGCGAACCTCGATACCGTACTGGAATTTGGATTTCAATATTTCTACATTAGTTAAAATATAAGCAAAATGTATGCATTTTAATGCTGCTCAAATTTGGAGCAGGAAAAAAGTTCCATTTTAGTCATCGGACTTTGTTGGTAACAAATTTAGAGGTTTTAATTGAGTCGGATCGATACGTTATAATTTCACCCATGCCAAAGATAATCGAAGAGTCTTTTTTAACCCAGTGACACTCCTCTTTTATATGTTTTAATGTTGTGACATACAACATAAATTTTAATGTGCATTCTCCCAGAAGTGAAGGAAACTCATTTTTGAGTAAAGTTATATCTGATCCCTGTAATGTCACAAGCTGTTATGTGTTTTTTGGTAGTACAGTAAGTGCTGATGGGTGTGATGTTTGAACAGTTCAAGTCTTATACAATCAGAAAAACATTTATCAGATAGTGAATTCTTTAAAATTGTAGATTTTGGAAAAATTAATAAAAATTGCAATATTTGTTTTCTCAGCATTTCAGATGTCATTGGAGAAAATAATGTCAAACAGGTAATGTGATAAAATTCATTTTATTCAACATCTTTATTGAATAATCTAAATCAGAATAAAGTTTGGGTTTCATAGTTTTTGTATAAAATTTGATTTACGACCTATTCAATTTGGTATAACGTTAAATTTCGGTACAAGATCCCCAAAAAAGTTTTTCATTAGTATTGATTAAATTTTTTTATATGTCCGCATATGGCTATAAAGCAGGGGTTCCCAAACTGCGAGATATCTTCAAATTCAGTTAATTTTTCTTTCTCTTGAATTGGAAGTCTGAGTCGGAGATTTTTATTTGTCACTCAAGAAATCAAATAAATTCAAAAATTTAATTTCTGAATGAAATGAAAATAACAAGAGTTGTTTTTCACAGTTTTTGCAAGGTTTTTGGTAGTTTTTCACTGATTTTTAGTGTTTTTCCAACGCTTTTGAGTGAATTTGGAAAGTTTGAGAATCTCTGTTAGGGTCACTTAGTACACTTCAAATCTTTACATGATTTTTTATATCTTCCTACAGGATTTATCAAGTTATCATAATGAAGGAGATCTTGATAAAGTAAAAGCCTTAGAAATTGCTTACAAGGGTGCAATGGATGAAAATAAAAGACTCAAAGACGAGGTTTGACTTCTGTATTCATTTTTAAGAAAAAAATGAGAAAATTAGGAAATATTGGTTTCAAAGTTCAAGTAGGCTTTTAGATTTTGTTAGAAAAAATAAAAATAAAAATAAATGGGAAAATTTAAAAATATTGGTTTTGAAGTTTAAAATAGGTTTTTAGATTTTGTCTTCAGTTATCATTTTGATTAATTTCAATTTCATAATTAAAATTAATCAAATGTTCACTAATTAGAGATGTCGAAAACGTACTCATTATATTCAATATAAAATTTTTATATTTAATAATAATTTAGAACATTTTTTTTTTCAAATTAAGGAATTTGAGTCGTTAGACAAGCAGGTCAAAACTCGAGCTTGTTCCAAACAACACCTTCATGTTTGTGTCGTTTTAGATGTGATCAACATGAATAATATAATGATAAATGTAATTTTGCACAATGAGAAATGAACTTGCTCCCGATTTAGAATGTATTCTAAAATAGTTAAATGTATTTGTAATAGTGAATTATTCGGTTTTGGCCATTCCTGAACTTCACATACATATATCTGTCTGAAGTCTCTTTCATACGAACGTACATTTCGTAAAAAACAAACAGTATTTCTACTTTTTTAACCTCTTAGTGATATTTCTTCTAAATTCACAATGTAATATTTCCTATAAATATCATTTTTTTCAGATTCATCAAGGATTACAAACGAGGCAACAAGAAAGTGAAAAACTGAACGCTAAAATAAGAGATTTGAAAATGGAATTAACGAAAATGGAAAAACGATCGAAAACACAAAGGTCAAACTTGAAATCAGAAACAAGTGGAAGCTTCAAGGTAGCAATTTATTATTGTTGTACATGCAGCCACTAATACATCGGGGCCGTAACTTTCTATGTGGCAGAATCTTTCCAAATCTAGTGTTGCATATGACCAGACATGGGCAAAGTATGGCTCGTGGGCCAAATCCGGCTGTTGGGTAATTCAATCTGGCCCGCCTGATATTGCCACAACCAAACTGAAATCAAATTTTGATGTTTCAGCTAAAATAGCTCAAGGAATTTGTTGAGATTGCGGTTAAATTTAGTTTTGACACAAGGCTTATTTTTTTTCAACTTTGTAACACTGTAAATATTGTTTAGAAAATGTAACTTTTATGTCACACTTACATGGCCTGCCATTCTAAGTGGGCAAAACATTTGGCCCCTGGTTCAAAAACCTCGCTCGCCCCTACCAATGACTACCCAGGGTGATATTGAGATATATGTGAATTATTTGGTTTTGTTCGTCCCTGGTTCACTTACATATATTTGTCTGTCTGAAGTCCCTGTAAAGCCTTTGTACAAGCGATCTTTTTAATAAAAAACAGTATATGCTACCGGTACATTCAATGTTTTAGCGATATATCGAAAATTTATCCACTTTATGATATCGAGATATATATTGTCGAAAAATTTTTTTTTCCAGTGCTAAGTAGAAATCCTCAAATCCCTGAGTCTCACGTCAAGTCAATTTTAGAGGATGGCAAGTGCATTGTGATTTCCTGAGTCACTCAAGTCTCATCAATGACTCAAGCCTTCTTCGTACTGATTTCTCCAAGATCTCAAATTTTCAACCCCAAATCCACAGTAGAATTAACATCTTTTTTTAACTTTCTAGGCTCGAGTCTCAGAACTAGAAGCTGAAATGGAGGACACTGGTCAAATGCTAGCTGCTCGTTTGTCAGCCTTAGAGAATCCTCGCAGGAGAGAAACAGATGAATCTGATGAAGCAGGATCCAATTCCTCTTGCTCCTCCATTAACCAAATGATGAAACAAAATAAAGAGGATGAGAAAATTGAAGTCTTAACATCCAAGGTAGCTTTGAGAAAATTCAAATTATGTACTTTTATGCAATGACTATTATGATTTTTGCTTTGAACAAGGCCGGACCAGATCAAATTATCTGATTAGATCAATTTTTGAGGAAATATTGAAATAGAATTTGTAAAAAATCGGGTTCACTTCCATCTGAAGTCTCTGTAAAAACTTTGTACAAGCATACCTATTATAAAAAAAAAACGGGGCTCCCGAAGTATGCGAACCAAGATGGCGGACATCGGAATGTAATATGTGTACTAGGTTAGGGTTAGGCCATAATTTTAGGTATAAATACTACGGGAGGCTCTTGGCTAGTCTTCGAACTGATAATAGGATTAAAATAAGGAAAATTGGAAAAAAATTATCGCCTAACCCTAACCTGTTACCCATGTTACGTTCCGATGTCCGCCATCTTGGTTCGCATACTTCGGGAGCACCAAAAAAACAGTATCGCTACTTTAAGTGTCTCTGTGATTTATCGAAAATTTACGTACTTATTGATGAAATGAGTATATACGCTGTTTTTATTTTCTTGAAAAACGCTTGAATTTCAAATTTCTTTGGCATCCCCAACCACTGATTATTAGACAGAAATAGCTTTTCAATTTAACATTATTTAAATTTATACTCTCTCGTTAGTTGCGGAAGAAAGAAGGTGATTTAGATTCAACGCATCAGAGGTTGGAAGAAGTTATAAAAGCTTTGAAGGAAGCAAGAAAAGCTGCTCAGTCAAGGTAATAATGATGGGTAATATCAGTGATTATCACCCGGTGTTCCGTAAATGACGGTCATGTGTTCAGCGTCAAATTATTGTTTCACTTTTTTCCGATTGGCATATTTCATTTGAAGTATGAATCAAAAATCACTTGTTTGATTCAAGACGAGTTTGTTGCATTATAATGAAAATTAGTTGAGTTTTATAACATCATAACAGAAATTCAATTTATCATTTTTTTTGCCAAGTAGTAGGCAGTTTGCGATGATATCACAACGCAATCCGCACGTTATTATCAGTTACGCTTGTTAAGTTGGACAGATATTTGAAAAGAGAAACGGACAACTAGAAACGATTATTTCGGTAAAATCCAAAAAGTGCAAAAAGTGTTCCGCAGTTTAGAAAAGGTTGAAAATTCAAATGATGTCAAAAATTTAACCATTGTGAATTCTGTTTCATGTATAATATTAATATTCTCCTGATGTCGAAAGCTGGGGCATAGCCAGGAATTTTGAAATGGGGGGGGAGGGTTGAAATTTTTAATTTCCAAGTAAGACTGTAATTTCCAGCGGGTCTGGTCGGAGCACTCGGATGCCAGAAAACGGGGGGGGGGGGGTTAAGTATCTTGAGGGTCTAAAAAGAGTTTCCAGCTAAAAAAATTGCTAGTCTATTAAAGGAGGCTTGCATGGGTCAGAGTTGTTATAAAAATGCGATTTTTTTTGAGGCTGGAGTTGAAAACCCAAAGTGTGGAATCCAAAATTTTTTTAACCCAAAGTGTCGGGTTAATTTTGAATTTTTCCAGACTCCACAAACTTGCTACAATTGAAATGGAAATTTAAATTTTTGCCAAATGTTTTCACATGAAAAAACGTTACTATGATAATTGTAATTACTGCATTTTTGTTTATTTTTCATTTAGTACTGATGTTCATGAGACTCTTCAGGCAAATCGAACAACCATAACAAACTTGAAAAAGAAAATAGCAGAAGACGAAAAGAAATGGTTTTCAGTCCGACAATGTTTACACGAACTTCGCGTTAAAATCGCTGAAGTACGAAGTAACAAATTTGTCAAAGAACCTCTAAATATTTTACCGTTTTTGGAATCGGTTTTAGAAGATACATTGCAAACTATTGACGGTGGAAGTGTACAAATAAACTATAACAATTCACAAGTCAACCAAAATCAATCAAGCGAAACCGCAGCATCAGGAGATCAAAATGAAAAGGAAATTGAAAAAATGACATTAGATAAACTCAAACTGCTCACAGATCAGTTGAAAATAACAAGTGCGGACGTAAACGACAATCTATCGTCATCAGCAAATGATACAACTATTTTACCTACAACGTCTCATCAATCTAGAAGTGCACTTTCTTCTTCCATTTTATCAAACTCTCACAATTCCCAGGATAATCTTCCCCATGACAATTCAGTGTTTTCAAATCAAACTGCTAACTTACTAGCGGAACAACTCAGTTTACAAGCAATGGTCGTTGCTGAGATGGCTTCCTCGCTCGAGAGATACGAAGCGAGTACTTCGCCGACGGCAACTCTACATTCAGACGCCAAGGGGGTGTTTCCGCAAACGTTAACACCCGGAGCAGAAAGTGAATTGCTTAAACACGCTGGTGTTCTTGCGGAAAAACTTTTACTAGAAAGTCATTTTGTGAGGGAACTCGCGGATATTCAGATTAAAGAAACAACGAGGAAGTCTTCTCCGACAACAAACGACTCAGAGTCGTCAAGTTCGAGTTCTCGAAAACGTCAACAAGAAACAAAGCATCGGAATTTTAATGTAGAAGGAGCTGGCGACCTTTCGCTCGTTCAAGCACAGATCCATTATGTTCTCCATGTAAGTTTGATCACTTTACTATTTCACTAGAGAAGACAGTCATCCATATCATCATATTAATTGCTCTTGGGTAGACTCTAGGCAAGCATTAATTTTATATATTGCAGTTTTTAAAGTCAGATCCTCAGGATAAAAACTCAATTTGAAATTTTCTGTATTGGACATCATGAAGCACAATCGTTTAATTGAATATGTATCAATATTTGTTTCAAAAAAATGAACACGCACTTTTATCAGGGAGGGCAAGTCAAAGTGGTACTACCCATGGTCCAATAATAGGGTCCCCCAAACTGGGGTACTTGTACCCCCATGGATACATCTACCCCAGGGGTCGGCAACCTTTTGTCAATCGCGGGCCAGAATTAGGGTTGCAAGTCATTGGCGGGCCGCACATATTTTTAGAAAGTTGAAAAACCGAACGCATGGTACTTTTTATAATAAAAATCAAGCAGTGATACATCTCTCGAATAGAATATAGATTTATTTCCTCATTGCATCTCATAAAATTCCATTTGAATATTTTCAGCGCCATTGAACCATTTGCACTTACCATCAACTTTTCTGCGTTTTGGTTGCCATTTGCTTAATTATAATTAGATTTTATGCTCATCAAACGAGTAATTGTGAATTATATAATTGTTAGGTTATAATATAATTTAGTCTAAGGAATATATTTGTCAAAACAGAAGTTTTGTTACTATAAGTTGGTGAAGTGTCGCAGGCCGGATTATAGTGCTCCGCGGGCCGGATTAGGCTCGTGGGCCGTAGGTTGGCGCCCCCTGATCTAGACTTCTTAAGGGGTGAATTAGATTGAGTGTAAGAATTACTCTTTCCATGACTTTGAAATATTTTAACTCCCAGTGTTAATAATATGAAGATGTGAGTTGAGCAACTCTTCAGAAAGTCCCCCCCTCCCCAAGGTAGAAGCTTTAGCTTTAATTACACATACAGAAACTACCGAGTCTACATTCATAGTTCACCTGACTTATTTTGTTCAATCACAGCATGCAAGGCAATTTTTGTGTTACTCAAGCGATCTATGAACTATGCGATTGGGAAACCCTGTAATCCGATAGCTAAGTTAAATTCTAAAAGATTGGGCGTCATCCAAATTTTTGTTAGCAACTCTACCACATAACTTGTTTTATCCAATCACAGCACGGAAGGCAATTTTGGGTTTGCACAGGGGATCTAAGATTGTCCAAAGGGTACCTAATAACATTGAGTTTGGGAAACCATGTAATCTGATAGCTAAATAGAATTGTAAAAGATCCAAATTTTCACTTTCTCAGGTGTACAATGACAGAATATCAAGGTTGACGCAAGATGTAAAAGAAGCCCAACATCGTGCTGACATGCTGCAACAAAAGTTACATGAACTCGTTCATGCATGTAAAACCAGGGATATCGAACTTGTATCGGAATTGGCAGTGGAAGTCGACACTAAAATGTCACTTGCTCAAACAGTGGATGATTTACCTTTATGGAGACAGCAGGTTTGATTTTTCTATTCTCTGAAAAAAATTTCCAAATTTGTTGTATGGGAATTTGATTCTACATAAGATTTTGAATGAAATCCTATGCACATATCAACACTATTTAGGCGACTTCTGTTTTTATTCCTAATAATTGTGAAAGAGGAAGAAATTGCTTCATGCAAATAGGTATTGAGAAATTGAAAAAGTCCTGTCAATAATGAGAAACTTTCATAGAATACCTGAAATTCAGGGAACCCCAATAATGCTTTTAAGTAACGGTAACGCCAGTACTGTGCCAACATGAAGACAGGGAAAAAGGGTTGCGGCCAGCCATCGCGGATCCCAGTTTGGGAAACCCGCTCTAATTGATCACTCAAAGTATCCTTTTTTTTAAGGTTGACTATGGAATGCTACATGGCGCTGAAGCAAGTTTTTCCACCCTTGATCTCCACGTTGAAGCAGATTTTTTCACAAAACTGGCAAAAGATGTTTCTTCCATGTCATCAGATGTTAGCAACCTCACTAACATAGGAACGAGGATTTTGGAATTAGATGCCTCTCTGTCAAAGTATGTCGTTTACTCACCCTCTGGCTGTCTTCTGAGTGTTCCCTGTCATTGGGTCTCCAAGGCATTAGGGCAGGGGTTGGTACTACTGCTCCCATAGTGTGTGTACCAGGTTAGGTTAGGCCATAATTTTATTCTGAATTTCCTTATTTTAGTTCTATTATGAGTTCGGGGACTGTCTGTGTTAGCCAAGTGAATATACTCCTCGCCCATAGGTTTTCATCCCTTCACACAACTTGATGTAAAATAGGCTAACAAAATTAGTTACCTTCATATTAGTAATATTGGTACACACACTTCTGGTACGCCCAGGGGTTTCAATCTGGGTAATTTACCCCTTCCCGGGTAAACTTTTCCTGCATTGGGGGTATATTATATATTTGAATTCATAGTTAGTCTCTAAGTTTAAATTTTGACTGAAGTAATTGAACCTAATACTGTTCAACGATCCAGAAGTTGGGGTCGAAATATTTTTCATGGTAACAGTAAAAGTCGAGTTGAAATTTCAGAATCAAATTTATTTTCCACTGTGAAAAATCAGTTTATTTTAGTTTTGAATTAGCTTTCCATACTTAACGTCACATGGATCCTAATTATTTTCATTTATTTCAATTGAACAGAATGTTGAAGCCTTCTGAAATAGGAGAACATGCATCAGTTATTGCCTATGAAGCCATATCTCAAGCTCAGCTGATGTTTCTTTGTAAAAGGTAATTTTTTATCATTGCACGCCTTAGTTTTCTAATCCTAATTCCACTCTAGACTTGAAATCTTTCATAATTTATTTTCAGGATACACAATGACTATGAAGCACAAATTTCAAAAATGAGGTCTGTGGTTAAACAACAGACAGAACATTGTCAGACATTACAAGGAAAATTAATGGAGATTGAAAACGGGGATGCCACCAGAATGCAAGAAATGGCTTCGGAACATAAACAAAAGGTACAATTTTTTCCACCCAAAGCCACGTTTTTTTTGCTTGTGCTTATTGTGTTAAGCCGATACCAAAGTTTCAAGTCAAATCAGAGCTTGAGTCAAATCCCACTTCGCTGTTTAATTAAGGCTTAAGTCAAGTTCAATTTTGTTGAGCCTAAACCAAAACTCCAAGTCAAATCTAAGCTTGTGTTGACTTTTCACTTAGCTATTTGATAACAGCTTTAGTCAAATTTAATTTTGTTCAGTCGAAACCAATATTTCCAAGTCGAATCAGAGCTTAATTCAAATTTCACCTAATTGTTTAATTAAGGCTCGAGCCAAATTCAATTTAGTCAAGCCTGAACCAAAGTTCTAAGTCAAATCTGTGCTCGAGTCAAATCCCACACTGCTGTAAGATCAAGGCTCGAGCCAAATTCAATATAGTCAAGCCTGAACCAAAGGTCTAAGTCAAATCTGTGCTCGAGTCAAATCCCACACTGCTGTAAGATCAAGGCTCGAGCCAAATTCAATTTAGTCAAGCCTGAACCAAAGTTCTAAGTCAAATCTGTGCTCGAGTCAAATCCCACACTGCTGTAAGATCAAGGCTCGAGCCAAATTCAATATAGTCAAGCCTGAACCAAAGGTCTAAGTCAAATCTGTGCTCGAGTCAAATCCCACACTGCTGTAAGATCAAGGCTCGAGCCAAATTCAATTTAGTCAAGCCTGAACCAAAGTTCTAAGTCAAATCTGTGCTCGAGTCAAATCCCACACTGCTGTAAGATCAAGGCTCGAGCCAAATTCAATTTAGTCAAGCCTGAACCAAAGTTCTAAGTCAAATCTGTGCTCGAGTCAAATCCCACACTGCTGTAAGATCAAGGCTCGAGCCAAATTCAATTTAGTCAAGCCTGAACCAAAGGTCTAAGTCAAATCTGTGCTCGAGTCAAATCCCACACTGCTGTAAGATCAAGGCTCGAGCCAAATTCAATTTAGTCAAGCCTGAACCAAAGTTCTAAGTCAAATCTGTGCTCGAGTCAAATCCCACACTGCTGTAAGATCAAGGCTCGAGCCAAATTCAATTTAGTCAAGCCTGAACCAAAGGTCTAAGTCAAATCTGTGCTCGAGCCAAATCCCACACTGTAAGATCAAGGCGCAGGCTAAATTCAATTTGTTCAGCTCAACTCAGAGTTTTAAGTCGAATCTGAACTTAATTCGAATTTCGCTTAGCCATTGGATGAAGGTTAAAGTCAAATATATTATTGTATAGTCAGAATCTAATCTTTCAAGTCAAATCTGCCTTTTTTCATGTTCCCAAGCCATGTCCATTCTACAGGATATAGATCATTCAAATTTGCCTTACGTATAGGAAAATTGTAATTATAATTTCAGGTTGAAAGACTAATGCAGCAATTATCTATGGTTGAGAAAGCAAGATTAGAAATGACTTCGGACATGGATAAAAAATTATTGAATTTAGCTCAAAAACAACAGAGAGAAATGGAAAGAAATGAAGCTAGGCATAAACAGGTATATTTTTCTTTAAAACCGTTTTTAGCAAATTCTAGTATGTTGTTGGTCGTAGACATTTGGGCACTGCAATATGGACTTATTGGACACAAAATGTATTTTTGTATCGTTTTGTTATTATGTTGTTGTTGTTCTTGTTAGTATTTTTCTTGTTGCTGTTATGAAAATAATCACTTTTCTTTTTTATTGCTGGATAAATTTCTTTGAAATTTCCAGTGGTTACAGATTGTTGTGTCGCTAAAAGGGCGTTTGCCTTTTAATTGTTCCTATATTTCATATAAAATTCCACCGTTGTATTTTCATTCTTGGGAACGCGGAGACAGTTGCCGCGAGGGTTTAGATTTTTTCAAATCACATATTTTTTCTAAATATTGTTATATTATAAAATTCGTTTTATTTTATAGGAAACTGAAAAACTTCGCAAGGAACTTAAAGACAACAAGTCACATTTACAACAAACAGTTCAGGAATATATCGAAGAAATTGAACAATTGAAGAATAGTCTCAAACAAATAAAAGAATATCATGAGTATGTTCTACTCACTTTTCTTTTCTGGGTTAGGGGTTCCCAGGAAAAGTGTAGCATATCGTCAAACATAGTGGGACACATGGTTGGGTTTTCAACCAGGTGCAAATTTACCACTTGGACAAGGATGGTCAGAGCTTAAGCGATTCTCGCTTCTTTATTTTATGAAATTCATGTGCGAAAACACAGATCCACATTTGAATTACCGAAAAAAACGCTCATAATGCTGTTGGAAATTTTCATGTGATAATTTTACTTTAAAATTTACAAAGGGATGTATGAGAGAAAAAGGCTGTGAACCCCTGCTCTACCTCGTCAAGAACATGGTGCAAAGTCAATATGGCAATATGCTACTGGTCAGAGCAGTTCGCTAAATTTTGTATAAATTATTTTTTTCAGGCGACAAATCGCTGACACTAAATCGAGTTACGAGGAGTCGTTATCTTCTGTGAAAAAAGAATACAAAATCAAGATTGATGATATCAATAAAGATAACGAAGATAAGATGGATAAGATAAAGGTATGTTTCAACATTTTTAGATTAGATTTAGGTTTCTTCCATTTTTCCTCCAAACAAGATCCTACACCAGTACACACTTATATATAATAGGCTATTGTCTCAGAATGTTTTTCATTTTGCATGGAATTACATTTATGAGTAATAACTGGTATTTTAATATTGAGTCTCGGGTACATAGGGCATAATTTTATTCCCTATTTTAGTTCTATTACGAGTTCGGGGACTGTATGTGTTAGCCAAGTGAATATAACCCCTGCCCATAGGTTTCAGACACTTTGCACAAATTGATGTAAAGTAGTCGAACGAAATTAGTTACATCCATATTGGTACACGTACTTCTGGAGCGCCCATTTATCGGCAATAACTGGTATTTCATAGTATTGAGTCATTAACTCGACTTGAGTTTTACTCAAGCCACCAGTTATTAAAGACTGAAATTTACTTGAGTCATTTAAATGAAATGTCTAAGACTCACATTCGATTAAATACTAGTGAGACTTTATTCGGCAATTGACTTTTGTTCGTCGCTAAATCGGAGAAAATTCGGTTATTACGAAGTCAGCACCAAATTCGACATTATTAAGCCTTTTTCATTGATTAAGTGTTGAAAAAAAAATAAAAAAAATTTTTGTTTTATTTTATGTACCAAATATTCGTGTAATATTGTATGATTTAGTGTTTCCTAGTAAGTTTTTATACATGACACAAAAGTCCATATCAGTGGTTCTCTTTGTATATCAATATTTCTCCAATATGTACATGTATATGCAACTTTTTTTTTTGATAAAACATACTTTCGCCCTACCCTGCCTGTTATTTGTAGCTTATTGTTAGCTAGTTATTTTTGAGGTCGAGCACAAGACTTAACAAACTTTAAAAAGGCTTAAAAAGTTTTTGAACTGCTGATCGATTTATCTGCTATATTTACCATTATTTTTGTATAGAAGGATGTAAGTCAATCAACTATGGAATTTATTTTTGATTTTTTCAGGATGAATTTAATGAAGAGTTTGAGTTAACTGTGGAATCTTATAAAAAGAAAATATCGGAGCTCGATAAACAAAAGGTTGGAGAAATTGAAAAATTGAAAGAAAAACATGAAAAGGAAATTGAAGATTTGAAAGAAGGTAAATGCAAATACAAAATAAATAATTGGCCGGTAATTCCAAAAAGGGCGCTTCAGAAGTATGTGTACCAATATGGAGGTAACTAACTTTGTTCGCTAACTTTACTCTACATCAAGTTGTGTAAAGCGACTGAAACCTATGGGCAGGAGGTATATTCACTTGGCTAACACAGACAGTCCTGAACTCGTAATAGAACCAAAATAAGGAAAATCGGAATAAAATTATGCCATAACCCTAACCTGGTACACATAATATGAGAGTACCGAAAACAGTTATAACTTACTGTTCGGAATAGAGATGAATATATATGGCCGTCTCTGGGAGAGGGTTATTGGGCTGCCCTATAGACATCAGGCCTAATATTACTGTAGTTACAAAAGTCAAGTAGTGCCTATCAAGTATGGTGTTAGTATAATCAAAATCACTTCAATAAATGAATGGATTAGCTAATAAATCATTTTGGCAAATTGTTGTTGTTGTTGTGACAAAAATTACCAAACGCTTCACATACTTGCTTTTCAAACAGAATCAATTTGTTTAGTTTTCCTTGAGATTTGTTGCGAACTGTTCCAAATACTCTGTTTAATAGATAAAGAAAAAGCTGTCAACAACATCACACAAAAACTAAAAGAAATGATGAAAATGAAAAATGAATTGGAAGAATCTAAACAAAGAGAAAGAACAATGTCTGAGGTAGACTTTTGTAATTTTAGGATTTTTTTTCACATGTGTTGATGATTTAAAAGTATCTTAAAAATTTCATGTCCAACTTGTCCCAAAATCATCTTAATTGTATAAATCTCCCTTCATATGATAACCCAAACGCCCTAATCGCGAAGATATTCTCATGTAAATTTTTTTCCTTTCACTGTCTAGTCAAAACACGACGAACAAATGTCGGAACTTCAAGAAATGTTTGAAAGAAGTGTCACGGATATCAAGGACAACCATCAAAAGCAGGTACCTTAACATATGATAGATGGAGCGTTTATTGACTGTTTAAAGAAGGTTTGGGTACGGCGAAGTCTTTGTTGTCAACATTCGATTTTCTTGGAGCTGGTGTCAGAGTCCAAAAATCTTAAACAGGATTCTGCGGGAACATTGACAACCGACTTCTAACTCTGGGCTGAGAGAATAAAATATGAAATACAATTGTTTACAACCATTGCTTAGTTTTTTATTTCGCCATTTTAAATAGGAACATGATTATAGACAATGTTCATGTAGTAATGATAAAAAAAAACATAAATCTGAAAACAAGCAAAAAATTTTCTACCAAGTTCAAGATGTAAGATTCTATAAAGCAGGGCTCCCCCATTTTTTAAGCTTGCGACCCCTTCCAATATATTTAAGCTTTCTGTTAACCCTTTTAAGTCAGCATTGTTATACAAGCGGGCTGCTTCTCAGGTCCTACCATCAAAGTCTGCAAGGTTGTGAAAGCGCACCGTTTCTCTGATGCTATTCATTGTATTGAAAACTTGAGTTTGCACTAGTTTAATAAAATAACATAATTGTATTTCGTATCAAAAGTCAAAAAAAATTACAATAGATATTTAGTACTTTGTGTGATGTTGGTGTATTCTTTGCGACCCCTAAAATTTGTTGCACAACCCCCAGTTTGAATAGCCCTGCAATTGGGCCATTGGAGTCTACAACTTCTTGTAACTTGTACCAGTAATTAATTTCTAAACTCTTCTATTATCAAGTTGGATGAGCTGGCTGAGCAATATCAACAAAACTTGAAGGTTATTGAAGAAGAAAAAGCACAAGAAATGGAAGACGAAATCACTTCGACTAAGATGGCAATCATTTCTATGGAAAAGGTACGTTTATATTTGAATCATACATGAGAAGTGGTGTATGCAGAATCTAACTGTGGGGGAATGTAGAAATTGAAAATATGTGACATCTTATTATGATGTCATAATTTGTATTTGACACAACAGGGTTAATTCAATGTGATGACACATTGAATCTATGGGAAAAGCACTATTATGTCATGAATGACTTTCAAAAATAAAGTCTGCACAAGTTACTAAATTACTGTTATAAGCAAGTATATATTTAGTACCACATAAAAACGTTATTTGTTGCTAAGATAAATATTAGTGGCCGTTCGAATAAAAGTACATTTGAGTTATTTTTAAGTCAGTGCCAACCCTTCGATAAACTTTATTGGATCTCCGCTCTCTACAAAATATAGAAAATAAATTCTAGCGAATGCTTATACGAAACGGAGATTATCATCTAATGAAGATAGATTTTTATATAGTTCATGTTTGATATCGCCTCGATTGAATGTACTGTGCTCAAATTGTTTGTTTTCATTTTTTAGCATTATCAAGAAGAATTAGAGAAATTAAAATCAACCACAGTTGACAGGAGTGCAAAAGAAGAAACGGATGATCTCAAACGTCAGATTGAGGTAAATATATCCCAGTATTTTAATACAAGGGTGTGCAACCTGCGGCTCGTTGGCCAAATGCGGAACACAAGGAAAAGTTGTATGGCCCCTGAATACAGTTTATTATCTATGCTTATGACGTTACAATGCCCTACAAACTAGCTTGTGCGAAGCCAACAAAGCATATCCCAGGATCAATAACTAAAATTTTTGTGCTTACAACTACTAGAAAGCCTTTGTTAAATAAATGTGCGGCCTGCCGTTACACCCGCATATCTGTACCTGGCCCTCCTGTATTAAAGGTTGCACACCCCTGTTTTTTAATATATTCACAAACATCATTCAATTTCGTCATATAAGTTAGGATAGGATTTACAAGTTTATTCTGGGGGAGAGGAAAGCCGATAGGACAGCCTAATCGTATGGTGAACCACAGCCTTTCGTCCGGTTACCAGTCCATGTCGGGCACTGAATCAGTTAGCCAGTTATTTGGTAACCTGTTTCAGACTCCTAATCGAGCCCAATTTTGTATACCCAATTTTATTAATGTCATACGACCCCCAAAATTTACCCAATATACAATAATTATATACCATTGGAAAGGTCTTTTAGAGTACTATACGCTAGATATCACTGGAGGACCGTAAACCAAAACACCTCTTTCAAGAGGTCTCTCGTAACATCAAAAAATAACAAAAATATTTACACTCTCTCATTCTATCAGCTGTTGGACGTCTATAGCTATTGTAAAGCTGAAATGTGACTATACAGTTGACTGCACATTGGTTTTCTCTTTCATATGATACTAAACGCTTTTCGTTAGCGCGCGTTGTTCAAGCGTTTTGGAAATTTTCCGTTTGAGAAGTCACCACATCGAATCAGGCCAGGCTAAGCTTGATAGATCGATCGGTTGTTTGTTTGTGCTTTATCGCGTTGAAAGCTTTTGTGAGTCATAATAAAACATTTATTATGAATCATAAAAGCTTATAATCGTGAGACAAGGAGAATTTGCGAGATAAAACGCCTAACTTTTTTTCGGTGAGGCAGCTGCGATCAAACGACTCGATATTTTCATAACTTCCTGACGTTGTGAGATGTCCACTCTCCTATGTTATGTAGCATATAAAATGACCTTCAAAATAAGACCTTATCATACAAGCTTTTGTTATTGGTTAGCGCGCAAAGCCAAGGTTTATGGAATCATTTTCTTGTTGTGCGACGTTTTTATATCGCAGCGGGAAGTACACGCGTGATATGTAAGCGAAATTTTATCACTTCTAAATGTCATATAAGGTTCATTCTCATATCGTTGTGTGGGGAATAAGATTTCCTTTCAAGCAAGACCATAACAAACATCCCAGACCTCATGGTAGACACACAGCATTGCAAAACGTCTGAAACGTCGGGCATGCGTCAGTCCGGGAGGATTAGGTTAATTGAAAAAACTTTGGGAAATATTTTTTATTGGCTCTGCGGTGTAGTGCATCGTGCTAAGTGTTAGCAATATGATCACCACCGCACCTCTAATTACCCTGTGTGGGTTCGGTTCGCAAGTTCGAAACCCATGGGGGATAATTATGTGCAATATGATTGCTGGACTTCTCGCCACCTTAGCAGAGTTCACATAACCGATAGTTGGTTACGGCTTCCTCTGCCATCAAGTTCATCCCTCTGAAAAAAATAACTGGCAAACTAAACCCATACCTGATTTGGACTGATAACTTGATGAGAGGCCGTGGTTCGCCATATGATTAAGCCGTCCTATCGGTTTTCCTTTCCCCGGGATAAACATGTAAATCCAATACTATTGGTACATCTTACAGTTCAGCTAAATCTTCCATTCGGGCAATTAAATCTGAAAATTCATTACATAAGAATTTATCTTTCATAACAATAATACAATATATATAACATTCTCAACATTATATAATAATTTTTTCTAGATTCGAATTCACCATGTTATTCACCTTAAAATGTAGATAAAACTTTTTTTATTATCATGACTCAATTTTTTTTTCTGTTCTTGTTTCATAGACATTGTCGGACCTTTATACAAAAAAATGTGTCGAATTTGGATTAAAAGAAAAAGAAAATGGAGATATAGAAGAGAGGTTGAATACAGCTGAAGAAAATAACAGAGTATTGAAAGAACAAAACGATCATTTGTCCACAAATTTTGAAGTAGGAACACTTTTTCATATTAGCAATGAACTTATGTTTATTATTCAATTTTCATGGCCTACCAAAGTTGAGCTCTTCTTGCAACATTGAGTGCCACTTTAGATTATTTTTATAATACCACCGTTAGAAAATTCCAATGTCAGGAATAAAATCCCGAATAGCACACATCATTTTAGTACAATGCGGAATTTGATTAGACATACTTTACATTCCTTAGCTTTGAAATCTGTGAATTACATAACCTCTTATACTGAATAACAATTCTCATGTAATACTCTTCCCACTATCTTTTCATTTGATCATGTTTCATTTATTGAGTATTTATTTATGCTGTCAAATAACATTCTTATCTCAATCAATATTCAAACGCTTACATAATCCTAAGTGATTGAAGATATTACGATCAATGTAATTATGTCACAACTATATTTCATAATGTCACAGAACCTACATTTCCACACTAATTTCCTTACATAATCAAGAAGAGGGTGTCTGTTACATATCACCATATTGTGGTATTAAACCGTGTTTTATTTTTCCACAGATATTTATTATGAAATATTTCCTATTAGATTTCATACATATGACCATGTTTGGCACATGTTTGATTTTATTTGCCCTTTTCTAAGATAAACGTTGCTTTTTTATATAACGATCTTCAGCACATTCTTGATTTTAATTGCCTTTTTCATAAAAGCATCCTCAGCACGTTCTTAATTTTAATTCCTTATTTTATATAACGATCTTCAGCGCACACTTTATTTTAATTGGCGTTATCTAACTAACTAAATAATGGTTGCTCTGTTATATAGCTTTACACAGAACGTCAATTAGATGAGTTAGATCATGGTTTGAAAAAAAATTTTCTTTAATTAAAAGTCGAAGTAAACATGACTTGGTTTGAAAATTATTCATAGGGTACAGTGGGAACGCCTTGATAATTGGGCTGGCTCGCTATCTGTCGAAATTAACCTTGTTTCAATGAGAAAATTTTTTTTTTTTCAAATATTAGGATGAGGAAAAAAATAATGGTTTTTATATGACAATTTTGTGCTCTCGCTCTGAACAAGGCTCAGTGTCAGTAAACACTAATACATCAGGATCAACCATTTATAGAAGGAAGAAAATCTCCCCAGTTTTGGAATTGAACTTACCCAACATATGGGGTGAACAATAAAAATGAGAATCCAGGTCATTTGTGCAGAGCCCCCTATAGATTATTGAAACGTTTGGGTACAATCATACAGGAGTTTTTTTCGCACAAGCAAGAGCCCTGCCGACCGCCTGCGGCGGTGCCTATGCGACCGTTCTTCTAGGCTGAGAAGTGCTCGAGCCAGACGCTCGAACGAGCGCCTCCTACATATTTGTTCAGACGAGGGCTCGCTCATTAGCATCATGTTTGTACTCTTAACTTTTTCGGCCCGGCCTTTCTAGACACCGAAGGGGGATCACCCTGTGTCACCCTGTGTTATCCTTCTTCGACATAGTGTTTTTAACCCAAGATCATTACCAGCCATTTTACCAACCCAAAGTTGGATACAACACACTGATCCATCGCACTGACAATTTTTATGATCATCTGTTTTATTTTACAGAAAGAGATAATGGAAGTTAAAAAGTCCGCAAAACATTCTTCAGGTTCTGGAGCGGATGACGGTGTCTATCAACTACAGGTTCGATATTGCAAATTGCATTGAATCTGTCGTGGCTGTGGTGTCGGAGTTGGAAATATACTCAACGGAGTCGGATTTTCAAACTCCTCATAGTCTAGTCGAAATTTTGAATCTCAAATTGCAATCGAAAGTAAAAAAATCAGTTGACTCATTTTTTATTATCATATCAGGATTTCTGGTATGAGTTGGAATTTTTTCAGTGCAGCATCCAAGTCAATTGTAAATTTTTCCTCGACTCCAACTGCCCTTGTTATGATAACACTGGAATTATCCTTTACCATGAAATTATTCTATGTTAATTTAGATTGAACTTAGCATGAAAAAACTACAGATTGCAGTTTTGCAGCAACAGATGGAATCATTTAAACAACAGGCATCAGTTGCTTTGCAGGTAATAGATTTTATTGTCATGCACACTCGCTCGGAACTATGTAGATAGTATTTTATATTTTTCTGAGGGGAGAAGATAGACAAGATAATATTTGGTTTTCAAGCTTGCCCGTTGTCTCGAGTCATGGACTCAACTCGAGGAGGCTTGTGTCGCCAACTCAAGTCATCGACTCAACTCGAGGGGGGTTGAGTCATCGACTCGACTCGTAGGCTCAAGTCATCGCTTCAACTCGAGGGAGGTCTAGTCACCGACTCAAATCAAGAAGGCTCGAGTTATCGACTTGAGGGGGAACGAGTCATTGACTCAACTCGAGGGAGCTAATGCTGCAAATGTTACAAGTATACAGATTTAGATGGTAAAAGATTGACTCCAACAGCTCTTGTTGTTATGTAAACCAATCTCTTACAGATAATGATCCAATAATCATCTTACATAATGATTCCCCCGGGGGTTGTACATGTTAAGGCGTATTATATTTGAATCGATTCAAACTTGGTTCTATACATTTTGGAATAAAAAATTGTTATAACTGTCACGCAGTCACGCTGGTTTAACTCAAAATGAAAAGATTATCTTATTTTGATTTATATTTATCATGTATTATACAGGGAAGAAAATACCATCGCTCAAGAAGGCTAACGGCAGATGGAGGCATTGGTCTGCCGTCAGGAAAAGGATACGGTTAGTAAATTTTATTGACTAGTTATTATGGTCCATCATTGGCTGATTGCTTTTGAAATTTAGCATAAAGTTTACTAGACTTTCCACCGTTTATCAAAAAAGGCTTGCATATGCTTCAGTTCTTGTTAGACGAAGCACGAAATGTGGCTGTGGATCATTCTGTTGTTGATTTCGGTATTTTTCTTCTTAGTGTTTTAAAAAAAATCGTTTTTTCTTTAATTACTGGAATAATGAAATTTTCCAGTGTTTGAAAATTTGTATATTTCCCTAGAAGACTTTTTTACTAAAGAAGACTAATTTTACTAAATATTTCTGTGACTTTTTCGTCTACTGTGGCAGAATACCCCTACTACTTTGTTTTGGCCTTCGTGTCCATATATTTGATCTTCACTCATATATACCATGTATATATATTTTTAGATATTGTGAAATCCAAAAGTCATCCAGATTTTATATCATTTGAAGATCTTCCATCATCAAAACCTGTCAAAAGGAGTTCAGAAAGAAGAAGTTACTCGAAGGTAAATTTGTGTTAATATATAGAAAAAACCTCAATTAACAAAATACTTCATGTAATGGGTAATTCCTGAAAAAAAAATAGACTTTGTTCGCCGGCGAGACTCGTTTGACCTCTACTGACTCAAAAGTTAGTTTAATCAAAAGTTATATTTGAATGAATTTCACTGTGTAAGAGCTTAGTTTAGGGCTATACATACTAACCTGGTCAAAGAACCACCGGTAACTGACTGAATATTTCAAATTTCTTTTTTTATACAGTTAAGGCACCCCAGCTCATCTCTGTATCCCATACCAGGCAAAAGATTCAATTTTATTCGGTAAACTGTTTGAAATGTATAATTTATTAACCTTTCTCTTTATTTTTTTCAGCTTGGAAGAGAAGGCGTGTCAAGCTAATAAGTCTAAAATATTTTATTGTTCATTTTCATCATGATTTTTAGCTAAACCACGATGTCACACAATGTAGTCTTCCATTTGTTATCATAAATAATTAATTAATCCACATACTATATTATTGTTGTTATTAAGAATTATATTAGTACTTTTCTATGAAAGCAACGGTGCTTAGCTTTTTACAATATTTCTCATCAACCTGACTTGGTATTTCTACCAAATCATGCGCGATAAGGCATGGTCCATGATGGAAATATGGAATAATAATGCTTTTCAGTCAGTGTTGTTTGTTTTATTCTAGTTTATGTTTATATTATCACTAGTTCATCTTTGAAATCATGAAAATTTATGTAGCGTTTTCCTGATTTTTTTTGCTGTGTTACCTTTGGCGCTACTTTTCATAATCTGATTTTGCACGTTTTCCGCACATGAAATTCCATTTTGGCGCTAATTTCAACCAGGCAATTGACTAAAAATGGCGCTTATGATTTGTTTGACTTTTTTTATATGGAAAAATATTCTCAGTTACCCACTGGATCCTATGTAGGGTCCCTTTGTTTATTTTCTGCGATTTTGGTGGATGATATTTTTTGTTTTGACTAAAAAGGGAATTTATTATTCTCGGATTGTTGCAGCTTTCTCTATTAAAATGAAATGTACTGTTGTTGCAAAATAATTTCTATAAATATCTCAATAAATGTGTATGTCCTTTTTTCTGCGTCCTGTTAACTCGTAATTGTTGAAAATGTTGTGTAGTTCATGTGTAGGAAAGAAAGTAGACAAGAATTTAGGCATCTTGGTCACCATCCAACAAACTCATGGTGTTGTAGATCAGTGCTCTTTCAATATTTCTCATCACGACCCACTTGGCATGGTCCAACTTCGCCGTGACCCTCTGGAACTGACATTTTTACAGACCAGTCAAGAGTCTTTTGGCGTATAAAATAACAGTAATCTGGAGATTTCTTTCGGGTAAAGTCTTGGTCATTGCCGGTAACCATGAGTCTGTACGGATTGTGAGGGTTAAAAACAATGTAGAACTCTCGTTTAATGGTTTGCACCGTTAATGCTTTTTGTATTGCTTAAGTCCACCGGATCTTGAAGTACATCAGGTTAGCTAAACCCAAAGGAAGTAAAGCAGCGCCAGAAAAATGAGTGCTTATTGATCGATTTTAAAATATTTCCAATTTTCACAGCTAAATTAAAAGTTTTTTGAGTATTTTACTGAAGAAATCGCAAGGTCATACGAATAAGATTTCATGCCTGACTCTAGCAATATGTCTGTTGATCAAACGACATACAAAAATCAAAAATATTCCAGTTAGATTTGATACCAGATAATTGACACAATTCTGTGACTCCACGAACCGTGAAAAAGTGGTATCGTATGCGCCAGGAGCACATTACCAACTTTCATGACCTTTGAACGATGCTGTCAGCAACATATTTTGAGGGGACACTAGCTTTACGGCGCCATTTCAGACTACGCGCGGTTGTTATTCGTACCTGCTTCGAAAAGCTCACTGTGTGTGAATGTTGCTTCAACAATTTTTTTAATATTATAAATTAAATACTGACTAACATTTGTTAAGTTGCATGTACAGTAGGCCTACCACGTCTATTTGTCGGTTAGGTTGAGTACCGGTATAGTACGGTACCTGGTAGTGGTGCATCTGTACCGGTACTGCAGTACCGTCAGAGGATCGGATATCGTGTACCTTAAAACACTGACATATTACGAAAAACCTACTTTAGTACAGCATCTCTCGGTTAATCTACCGCCCAAACCACATACGAATACAAAGCAAAATCGCAGCGTTTTCTCAAAAAGTGGTTCTGGCAGCAGTCGTCACGCTCTGTTGAATCGTTTCAAAGTAGGTAATTCCGGGCGCACTTGGTAAATAATATAGGCGCTCACCTTGGGAACCGCTGTAATAATGAATATTAGATAATTACATGCATCGATTCAGAAGAAAAAAAGACTCGAAAAAACTCTGGTACAAAAGAATAGAACCCAAGTGTAATAGTCGTGATGATTGCCCCCCAAAATAAAATATGGTTGGCTATAAGTGTTCCCTCTAAGAAAATGTTACAATGAGCAAATGTTTATTTTACTGAGCATGAATATTTTAGGGCTGAGCAGAGTCATAAATGATTTACAAACTATGTGAAATATTGCAACAGTGGGATATATTATCACAATGCGAACAAAGTACACATTTATCACGAAGATCACATGAATTAAACCTCTATGTTTATTTGCCTCAAAAGTGTAATTGGTCTGACCAATGACATTAAACAACATGATGCGCAACTCCGGCATTTTTGTCCGAAGATCGTATTCGATATCACGCTCCAATGCACATACTTGACGAGACGAAAACGAGCGGATGTGTGCTGCTTTCAAGGCGTAGCACGAATGGTGTTCGTGCCTGCTTTGACAGTTGTTGTCGATTTTAATGATATTTTTGAAAGTTGGGGTAAAAAGAAATCGGTAAAAGGTAAGGTGAATACTATTGTTGTATATCACACCCGGGCATCGCACTGTTAAGTACATGTGGGAAAGCCAGCCTTTGTCAAATACTGCGAAGTTATTAATTCAGTACGGCACGTAGTTGCCCATTTGCCGAAATTACATATTTACTTACCCCTTATGGTTTCAAATAGTTCATGCACCTCCAGTTAGATTTTTTAATCGGTGAGGATATATACTCATTGTTGATTGCTGCTCATTGTAACATACTATTACGCATTCACTTTTATTTGCGTATTGAATCAAAGTGTTAACAATTTCACCTAACATTTCACTCATACCGGTCTATATTGTATAGTCTGATTTCTCAAGTATTTGGAGCCACGAATGCTTGTAATTTTCTGACTAAACCCTTTTATTAGTTGGTTTATATACCAAATTCAGTAAAATATTTTTTAAATAAAACATGAGATATTGGATTTATTAGCTTTTCCATTCTGAATCATATAGACTGCTTTATTTATTCTTAACGAAAATTAATAAATCTCCTCTCTTTCTTCAGATGTGAAAGTTGTGGACAAACCTGTCTAAGCATTGTGAGACTCTTGCAGCACAAGAGGCAATAGCAGAAATAGTAAGTATATCAATCAAGAAATTAAGCCGACATAAAGCAAAACTTTCAACTATTCGTCTAATCTCAATTTCCTATTATTTATTCACAGGACAACTATAGCAGACGGGGAGATTATCCGAAGTCTGGCGACATATCAGTGACAGTGTGATTCCAAGAAATATAATGCAATTGAAAATTGCAATAGGAAAAACAACCTATGGAGGCATGCAAAGACATTTGACCCTCCGTAGAGTTGTGTATGGCCCCCACATCCTGCAGGGCTTGAGGAAAATAACTAAAAATTCCAAAGTGTAAGATTGCATAAGCGGTCTTATTTGTAAAAAGGCACAAAACACGCCAGACATACTTAAAACAGCTTTGGAAATGAGGATTACGGGTACCTCACTGCACCTGTGTTATATTTGGTTCACCAACTTTTGGTAGTACTATAGAAGAAATTCCGGAAGGGGTATAATCATCATTCATGATAAAATACTATCATATATTTTTTGAACAACTTCAATCTAGACCAGGGATCTCAAACTCGCGGCCCCAGAGAACTTCCAGTGCGGCCCTCGAACGCTTAACAATAATTGTAATAGTATTTTTGAAGTTTTTTTTTTTTATCTAAATGTAATAGATTTTTCAAACCTTCTAAAGTGAAATTGATTATTCACACAGAAAACAATTTACTGAAAGTAGTTTAGGAATATTAATTTTTTTGTCCACATTTTGACCCAATTAAGAATACACATCAAGCTAGCAAAAGAATACTTGAATAAAACACTTGAGTAATTAAATTAAACGCAAAGTACATGAAGAAGGTGGCATTTTCGAAGAAAATGGGAGTTGTAACATTTCCGCTCTTCACAAAATTCTGAAGCACATTGTTTAATTTGTCATATTTCCGTCAATACAATCAAAAAACACAATAAGCTCAGCAGTCAATATGACAAATTCGAGACCAACTTCGAACAGAAAATTTCCATGTGTTTGTATATTAATATAATTATACAACGACTTAGTTACCAAAAATCAATATCAATAATAATTCAAGCAATCCTATGCCACGCAATGTAGTGCGAAATGTCTTGTCGAAAAAATCTGTCATTTGTTTTTTTACTGATCAATACATGAAATGATAAAAGTAACTTTTCTGCATTACTGGAATTAATTAAACATTCGTAAAGATCCAGATAAACCCATGATCATGTGGCCTCGTTAGTTAGAGTTGGTACTATAAAATCATTTCAGACTGGCCTTAGTATGCTGGTGACACAAAAAAGATGCCAAACGCCAGGACAAATGTAATTATTAAAACATTGAGTTTATACTGTAGTATTTTTGTTAATTTTAGGTTCATATATTTAGATTAAGTTATTTTTAGTGTACGTATTATTCTTTCCTTATTCAAAGCTTGTTCAAAAATGATTTTGATGGTTGTACATAGAATTTTACGATTTTTTATAATAAATACTGTAACTTGCAAATGTTGCAATAATAGTGGAATGCAAATATTAATATGTAATTGCATTTGAAATTGAAGAAAATAATAAAACTTAATATAACTGTTTAGTTGCATCACAATATATGTCACAAACTAAAACTATCTTAAAAATATCTTTTAAGTATACATTATCAAAAACTGTTTGCGGCTCTTTTTACAATTTTCAAAATGCAATGCGGCTCTCGAAAACCCATGAGTTTGACACCACTGATCTATTCTAGACGATTCAAGCATTGCTTTGGGAAATTATATCACTTCAATTAAATTGAAATAATCTTGCTATATTAAATACAAAATCGTTGCTATCGTAAAGGTAAACCAATTCAGCCACTCGAAATATATTGGCCTTCACAAAGCAATGGAGGCAAAATTGAGAGTTCATGAGCTATGAACATTTGTTCTTTTCTTCGTCTTGAACTTTCCATACTCCACAGCCCCTATTAATTTTATTTTAATTATCATGTGATGGTCATACATATCTTTAACTTGTATTTTCTGTCATGATGTATTATCTCAATGTGCCAAACTATTAATTAGTGTGCATATTTTGCTTCCAGATGACATAAATGTATTGTCATGTTTATTACCTCAGCTTGGAGTATTGACAAGAAAAAGGTGCCAGTAAATTAGGTAAAAAAATTTTCAACTCATTGTTATAATCAGAATTCACAATCAATAGAAATTATAAACAGCCAACAATCAGTGAGAATTATATGCGAAATCCCTCAGAGTAAATTTGTCTAAAATCGGAGGAAGGCAAAGAATATAGGTAGTTTCCATCCACACAAGCATTTCAAGAAGACTTGCTCGAGCCAAACTAAATGAGCATCGTCAGGTGATCGGTAAAGCTGCAAGTTGAATTCAGCCCTGCAACCTCCTGCATAGAAGATAATATTAATTAGTGGGCTATGAGCTAAATTCCTAAATTTAAACAAACCTATCTACGATGCATTATGTACCAGCAATGTTACCTACGATTAACTGAATATGTAATATGTCTAATAAATTCACCTACAAAAGCAAGTTCGATAGGTGCAAACTTTGTGTTATGGAATTGTATCGCAGCACAGTTTTGTATGACACTCTCTTTAAATGAAATTTCAATGATTAAGCGCAAACATTAAAATTACCAACTTTGAACTTTGTCATTATCTGCAAAATGTTCCACACAAATCTTCCCGCTATCGCGTTTGTAATCTTCTCTGATAAAAAAAACGTCTATGATGTCCAGAATTGCTCTTTACAGCTTGCCTGTTACTCCAGCTTTCCAAGTAAGCAAAACTTCTTAGATATAGAGATTATTTTGTTTCGTTACAGGCGCAAAAAGGCAGGTACTACACGTAAAAACGACGCCGAGTAGCAAAAGCGAGCGGAAAACGGACGCGAAAGGCGACGAGAAATATGTGCATTGGAGCGTATCATGAAATACAATGTTTTGCCTGTAGTCTTATGGAGTGACGTCAGAGTTGCCTATCATGTTGTTTAATGTCATTGGTCTGACTGATCAACCGTCTATTTCAACTTGGCTATTATCGCCTACTGTCGACGAGCAAGAAAAACTTTTGTGAACAGAACTGTTGATCATTTCATCATTCATTTGCGCGTTCGCACTAAAAATAAATAAACTTATACTTATATAATACCAAAATGCCGTCATTTGACTTTCCTTTATCCGAGCCCGTACTTCATGTTAAATTTAAATACGGCCCGTCGATGAACGAAGAAAATGGTGACGTCACCCCCCATATTTACAATATTAAACGTCTGAAAAACCGACGTTGCCAGATCTAATGAACTTAATTAGTTTTTTTCGTTCGTTTCATGTATTTGATGAATTAGTTCTTAGATAAATTTTTGTATAAAAATATTTTATCCTATTACATTCATGCTTCTTTATTGCTAAATTAGTCCCGTGTCGGCATAGACTAGCAACCGGACAAAAGACCGTGGTCCCCCCTGTGATTACGCCGTCTTATCGGTTACCATTTTTTGGGGATAACATAACATTTGGGTAATAACTTATTCTAAAATTATTGCTAATGAATTTGTTTGGAAATTTACGTTTTTTTTTGCATTCTATATTTAATGATATTATACAATCTGGCAAGGTTTATAAAATGTGTTATGTAAGTCTGAACGGCAAAACTTATGTAACATTCATTCGTCGACGCATCCGCTATGTCGGTCAGTGCGCAGAGCGTTGATTGTCAATCGTTGCGTAACATACCAGTACGGTTCATATATATATGCTTATATTCGTGGTGTATATTGAGATTAGGCACAGTTTAGTAGGATATGGTATACGATAACCAAAGTATTATACTTGTACTCATAAGCATTTACTAGAATGGTGGTTCAGTAGGCTACACTGTCTGACTGTAGTACAGCACTAACATAGCATAGGCCTTGTATAGTTATATGTGTATAATTCAGGTTAGGGGTCTAGTATAGTTTAGTACCACAAGTACTTCCAGTGGGCGTAGCATAACCCTCACCTGACTATGCCATCCAAAAATTATGTCACTACGACGTCACCATCACGTCATAGGGATTGCCAAAGTATATTGGCGGAGAAATTTGAAATCGTCAAATCGAATGGATATGCTTTTCATTAATTGCCATTTTTAATAAATTTAATTGAATTACATTTCCAGCATTTGACGCCATGAATTTACGATCCACAGAAAATTGTTGATGCGTATATTTTGCCGATATTGATCAATCGAACAAAATATCGTTGTTATTTTCAAATCTACGCCAACTCGTCGGCCCCGAATGTCTGGCGTCAAACCTGTAACGGCGACGCAACATGAAGTCGTCCTGGAAGTGAGCGACGTTAGGGTGACGTCAAGTTCAATGTGTGCGTAAGATGCTATTATTGTAATAAAAAAAATTATTCAAATTTCAATTTTTTATCGGGTCTCATATGACCTCTCGCGATCAGTCTAATTTTCTATATACATTGATAACGCCCTCTATCGAATGACGCTATTTTGACGAAGTTAGCATCAGTAGAAGTCACAATTTGAGCCGCTCGAAAACGGAGTGTCAATTTTATGCCAAAACGTGATTTTTTTAATCATAAAATAAATTAAACTGCGCGATTGAATATGATAACAGATTTAGATATATAAGTCCTCACTATAGAAACTGCCATAAGCACAATATGACGCAATGTAGTCGAGATAAAAACGATTAAAAATTTCATCCGAAGTTACCTGCTTTTACGGTACTGTACTTGTTACTGTTAAAACTAAATTTGTATCCTATTTTTCTTTTTCTTGTAATTTAAAGCTAGTTTAACTAAAATGTCTAACACAGAATTTGCTCGTTCTGTACTGGATACAAATTTTATAAATTTTGATGATGAAGTTAAAAGGATATTAAAAAAAGATGCTCGTGGATTTACTAAATCGTCATATGCAAGTACAAGTTCAGTAACAAGTTCATCATCTGCTACAGATAGCAATGCTATCGGAATATCTCGATGTGACGCTTCACTAAAACTTGATGATGTCATAACTTCTGAACTTATGGAAGTTTTGCGAAGAGTGGCAAAGAAGGTGGAATATTAGATTTTTTTTCGAATTATATAGTTTCGTTATTTAGATGACTTTGCTTTAAACATATGCTATTCAACTATCAGACTGATGAATGTCATTATTTTTTATAAAGAATATTTGAGAAATAAAAGAGCAAATGATATATAAATTATCACATTATTTTGTAAAATACCCATTCATTATTTAACTCATGGATATAAGTTTAGATTTGTGTTAGTATATTGTTGTGTTTAATTAGTTCAGTTTCCTCTTTTACTCATTTTGATATTATAAAAATTAATCATTTATGAATATTGCATAAGTATCAAGTATAAATTTTTTGTTTTTGATCTGTTTTAGGTTGCCTCAACAAATGCTAAAATTGAAGATGAAACCGTTGAAATGTTGGTCGATATCCTAGTCGACAGAATTAATCATGCACTTGAACTTGTCGTAGGAAAAAGTAAGGATGCAATTTTGTTATATAAGATTAAAAAAATTTATTTAAATTATGATCATCTGTACTAATTTTATTCTTATTTTTATCTCAGATAAAGTTGATTCTTTTACATGCAAACATTGTTGGGAATTAATTTATGAACCGCTAACGTTACCGTGTGGACATACTTATTGTAAAAACTGTGTTAAGAAAATGTTGCAATGCAGAGAATGCAAGAAGAAAATCATGTTAAAATCATATAGGTGAGAATACCTTTTATGTTTATTTATTGTTGTGCTTTTGATGGTATCTAATGGGAATAATACGAGTTGAATTTTGGGTTGCCTCATATTCAGGCATATTATATTTTTTTCAAGCTTAAAATAGTTTTTTTTTCTTTTAGTTCCAATATTTTGTTAATGAGCACTCTTCAAAAGCTACATTCAACTGAATATGTCGGACGTTCTATTAAAGAAGAAGGAGATATATTAATGACAAATGAACAATATGAAAGTGCAGTTTTAAAATATATGGATGCAATGGAATTCAGTAAGTATAATCAATAATTCCAAATATTTGAAAAGTTAATTTATAACGCGAAATAGTTTGTTTGACAATTTTAGTAACCGCTCAATATTATTGTTTAGTTTTGGTTGTCATATCATGGTTTATTATCAAGGATATGAAGTTTAGAATATTTAAACTGTTTCTGTATTAGCTCGTAAGCATATTTTTTATCATAATTTATTTTTTTTACAGCGCCCCATAGCCGATCCGCCAATATTTGTCGCGCAAAAGCATTTTTAAATCTTGAAAATATAGACGGAGCTTATGAAGATGCCAAAAATGTAGAAACCTTCGCAAGAAACATGCCAGAGGTAGGAATAAATCTAAGTTATTCTTTTTTTAATTTTTGTAAATAGCATTTCTTTGTTCATAAATTTAATTTTAATCTAAAAATTGAAATATTTATTATTTGTTATATGACAAAGCAATCCATGTTTTTGCCATTGAGATAATTTATTCTGGCTGCAAAAAGCATTCGATAATAGTGTGGTTGTTATTCGCTCTAAAATTGTCAAAATCAATATTCTATACATTGCTATTTAATAAACCTAGAAAAGATCTGTTCTTAATTATCTAGCTTGTTTGAAATTGAATTTAAAAATAGTGCTGAAATTATTCAGGTGTATAAAATGAGCTGTTCTGTAAATCATTTCATAAATACGAAAAGTAAAAAAAGATCAGGTCAAAAGGTTCTTTATTTCATTTCTGGAAACTGCCAATTTTCTTCTTGTACCAAATACGAGGAATTCATAAATGTAGATAAATCTGAATTTCCGAGTATATGTACGTGTCTGTTACTGATCTTCTAGAATCTCCATTTTTTCAAATATTGGAATTGGAACATGTATGGGCATTAGATGAGCCATTTACCATTGAAAATTTTTCTATACCCATACTTGGTATATCTATATTATTTACAAAAATACGTCAAATAAATTTATAAGCAAAGATTGTTATCTATCATTGTGGCCTGCGTATTTTGTAGACCCTAAAATATAGCAAATATGACTGTTTTTTTTTATTTATTTAGCCTACGGGCATTTTGTTACATAACCCTCAGTTATGTAACTATAAAATTATATAAGAGGTCGATGCCTTTTTTCACTATTACATAACAAAGCCATCGAGCATAATTCCATGAATTGCAATCGTGGTATGTGTTTTATCCAATTGTAACTTAGTATAACAAATCCAATTCTCCAATCACTTGACAAGCTATGTCAAAAATATAGACATATTATATATAAAAAAAAGTTTTTTTTATACTTTATTAATCAAATCAATCAACTTCAGAATCAGTTAGTATATATATATAAATTCACCAATAAACCTGAGATAAATTTGTGTCACTATTCCACATTGCCTTGAGCGCTGCTATTTTCACTTAATTTGAAGTCGAACCGTCATTAAATTTCCCTGAGATAGATTCACAGATTTTATAATATTTTAAAAATTTGAGCTTATTGCCAGAATTGGAATTGGAATGGTTGCGCTCAATCAAAGTGACTGATAAATGTTATCTAAAAGATTAGATTTGATGTAATGTAGGATAATGAATGATAACATGAAATTTTTCCGACTAACGTATTATTTTCGTAGCACTATTATTTTAAAATATAATATGGGAGTTGTTCTTTGACAAGACAAAATGGCGGAATTTAATGAATTATTGCATCAAGCTTTTCATTAATTTTCAGGATCATTATACAAAAGGTGAGGTGCTGCTCGCCGCCAAGAAACACGGCGAAGCTTTAATGAGCTTCCTCTCTTGTCTGGCGATTGATCAATTAAACACAAATTGTATGGCTCAAGTTAAAAAGGTAATATATATGAAAATACTTTCTTTGCTAGTGAAAAATTTAATTTTAGGAATTGAATGATCCATCTGTAGTTGTATTTTAAACGTTTCTATTCTAATTTTTTCAGCTTTTAAAGACCATATTGATGAAAGAAGTTGACAGCCACAAGATAATATTAAAAAGGCAAAGAGATGTGTTCCTGTCTGCTGTCAGCGATAATTTGAATAGACGAGACGGAATGTTTCCGAATATTGAGACAACTCTTCCTCCATCAGCAAAACGACAAAAAATAGAAGTATGTTAATAATAAATAATAATAATTTATTTAAATTTTTTTATTTCTTCCGCATGTACTACACCAGGGGTCACCAACCTTTTCGAGGCCGAGGGCTACTTTCTGGGTACAGATTAAGCTGCGGGCTACCAGTTCAATGTACACTTCTAAAAAAGTTGCCCGATTAAGCTTCAATTATTGGTATAATTACTGGTATTTAGTGAAGTAGAGACACTAATAAACTCCAGGATTCTTCAGGGAATCAAACGACTATCACAACGTAGCAGATAAATTTTTATCAATGACGCTTGCATTTCAAAACTGAGTGTTTCAAATTGATTTTCAACACTCTGCGCAAGTTTAAGATAAAATGTACTTAACATTTATACCATCAAATGTTGCAAAGTATCATACTCCGATGTGTAACTTGACACTGCAACTCTGAGCAAGTCTTGCAGATTTTCATCAGTGAGGCGTGTTCCGTGTTTGTTCCTGGTGGAGTGAGTCGCGGCGCTGTGGCGCATCGTGTTAAGCGTTAGGTTCGCAGGTTAGTCTCCCATGCGGAGATAGTTATGTACTAAAAGATTGCTGGCAAATAACTAACTAATCCCATACTCGACATGGCTTTTTTCATGGTGGTAAAAATGATTTCATTGTGAAAATGATGGGTTTTTCATCGCTTTTCTGCCATTTTTCTTTGTAATCAATAAATGTATTATTGCTGCTCCACAAACCAACGGACGAGAAAAAGTGCGGGTTCGTGGAAAGTAATATCAGTGTGATGTCATAATTGGAAGAGTGTAAATTGACCTGTCACATTACTGAGGTCAAACAAAAATAAGGTTGATGGTTACAATATTAATATATTGTCATTTCCAGTTTCCATATGAGTGTGATTTATACTAAAATAGCAGGACAAAATATAATTGATGTAGCTTACTTATAAAAGCCGGTATTAAGCTTAGTTTGGAACAGAACTCGGGCGACTCATATGGTCTTCGCGGGCGACTTGGTGCCCGCGGGCAACGCGTTGGTGACCCCTGCACTGCACCATTTTTCTTTTCAATATAATTTACCTTCTTTTTATTTACAGACGTCAACTACCTCATTTTTCAACGACCTTTTGAACTCTTCGAGCAGCTCAAGTCAAGGAACGTCCTCCTCAGGTATTACATTCTAAATTATATCCATCCTCATTCACAAATTAATAGCATTATTTTTTCAAATATACTAATGTGAAAAAACATGGAAAAAATTGAATTTATTCATATATATTTAGATTCTCTTCTCACATCATTATTGAGCGATATTGAATCAAGTCTACTGAGTGATAGCAACCTTGAAAAGTATTTGGAAACAACGCAAAAAGGTTTGACTTCTATACTTTATGTGAAAGACTGGGTTTTGTTTGTATATTCTTTATCACAGATTCATTCTTATATTTTAGAAACAGAAACAAAGCAATTTGTAAGGTGTGTCGATAGAGGAAACATAGAAAGTTCTGATTTTGAGTGCAGTTTATGTATGCTCCTGTTATTTAACCCTGTATGCACACCATGCGGACATACATTTTGTCGAGAATGTCTAGAAAGGTAATTATTTTGCCTTTTTTGTTATCCTTTATTAAACTACATTTGACGCAAAAAAAATAAAATTTTTAAGTTTTTATTTAATCTTATACAATTTTTCCTTTCATAGGTCAATGGATCATGACAATAAATGTCCTTTATGCAAATGTGAGATTTCATTTAATATTACGGACAAAAATATTCATTCATCTCCGACGATTGATACTTCACTAAAACAAGTAATTGAAGACATTTTGCCTGACGAATATGTAGAACGATTAGAACAACATAACGAAGACGTCCAAGAATTATTGTAAGTTGGGTTATCTAACAACGATTTTGGGAGCTCCTGTAGTATGTGCACCAAGATGGCGCACAACCTGAACATAGGATGTGTACCAGGTTAGGGTTCAGGTTGTGCGCCATCTTGGTGCACAAACTACGGGTGCGCCCAATTTTGTTCATATTTATTCCGTGTTTTGGCATAAATACTAAATTCAATTTCTTTGTTATTACAGAGCTTCTACTCCAGTATTCGTTTGTACAATGGCATATCCCACAATTCCATGTCCACTCCATTTCTTCGAACCAAGATATCGTTTATTGTTACGAAGAGCGTTAGATCTTCATGATCGCCAGTTTGGAATTTGTACTCCTTGCGATGAAAACCCGTAAGTATTATTCATTATTTAAGTTTAATAATTTTTTATTTCAATTAATAATAATTTAATATAGTATTTAATAATAGTATATATTCAAGTACCTTACCAATTTGCTATGTTGCTATAATCATAAATTGAATATATTCTCAATATATTATTTTCAGATTTTACAAGTTTGGAACAATTGTCAAAATCCGAAACGTTTCTTTCTTTCCCGATGGAAGGTCTGTCGTAGATTGTGTTGGCGTAAGGCGGTTTATGGTAAAAAGTTATGGAAAAAAGGATGGTTACGACACAGCTGAAATTGAATATCTTTCAGACAAACAACCTGAAAAGGAAGAAGACAAATCAGTTTTGGAGAAACTTCTTGATTTGGTAAGTTTGCCTACTGCGTTTTCTGAATGTTTTCTGAATTAATCTTAATTTAATTTAGGACATTACCATTATACCATAAGGTACCAGTAATATCTATTTTACACAATTCATTATTTATTTATTTCCATTCAACAGATTTACACCAAATCAAAGGATTGGTACGATAACGTTAATCCTGGCACAAAAGATTTGATAAAAAAGCATTTTGGTCAATTTCCAGTGAAAGACGAAAATATTTCGGTAAGCAGATTTCTATTATTTATGGTCAGTGTAGAACTTTGTGCTTTAATTTAATTTAAAGGACCCTCTTGGAAGCATGATAAAAAGATTTTTCCAAATATGTCCAAGCAAAGTGAAAGAGCTTTGCAGAAAATCTGATCTATTTAATACGTAGCGTGTATGAATTTATAAGGAAACTAACTTGTCCTAACAAATGCTTATAAGTATTTTTTCATTTTTTAGGCTGAAGACGGACCGAATTGGTTATGGTGGGTGTTGGCTGTGCTACCTATTGACGACAAAATGAAACGTACCATTTTCCACAAAACTGTTTTGAAAGAACGTTTGATTCTTATTCACCGAATATTAGCCTGCTTGAAAAAAAAGATGTCGCATGGCGGTACTTCATCATAAAATTCACACAATTCCAATTTCTCATGGACTCGATTTGTCCAATGAAAGTATTCTTCGTATGCGCTTAGTGGTTTTATAAACTTGTCAGTATTTTGAACAGAAAGACAATTTCCAGCAGTATTACAAAATAAACTGGGATAAAATTGTCCATACTGTACTGTTCTTCTACTGTCAATATTCTGTAATCATGGTTCAGGGTATTCACTTCAAATATTTTCCTTATTTATTAATTTTATCTTATATACTGCCTGTTGCTTTTAACTCCCATATTGTGTGGGTGTGTCTTTGTTTTTTACGTTGAATTTCACATATATATTTATTATTCTTTCCTTTCTCTTGCGAATAAATAATACATATATCAAGTAATGCTTTAGTTTTATAGTGGGCAAGGAACTAGGTTGTATTGACTCAATTTCATAGTTCTGGAGTGTTGTTCGTTAGTTTCCAGTTTTTTTCCTAAAATTTGACTGTACAATATTAAAAAATAACTCAGTGGTATTGAGATTTAGATACTAGCTGTCAATAATTCTCGAGCCAGCTGTTTGACAAGATAAGGATAAGTTATCATTTTTATCCCGGGGACAGGAAAGCCGATAACACGACTTAATCATATGTTGTATTTTGATTCGATTACACAAACTGATTTTGGCCGGTTGGCTATTGTTTTGTCATTGTGTTAATTAATTTGCTGTTATTACGTAATGAATGCGCGTAGCAATCACTGAGGTTGTAAAATATCATTTCTAGCAAATCAATCATTCGAATGGACCAATCTAAGTGCCTGGTATTAGAACCTCTACCCATAAAATAAAGGCAAAAATAAGGACACATGTCAAAATAAGGACAAATCTCAGAAATAAGGACGTTTTGGCAGCCCTGCGTACTGTTTTTAAAAAAAAAATAGCAGCTCTTTGCTCATCGAATAAAAATGATCGCCAAAAAGCTTCAGCCATATTTTATCTTTAAAAGTTTTCTCATCGAGCGAGCCATGGACCTTTGACCCTCGAAAAATTCTTCCTTATGCTGTACTTTTACCATTGAAAAATTGCTGAGTGGTTTCGCCTGTTGTCGCCTGTAAAATGGGGTATTTGTTCAAACCATCATTATGATTCAACGCATGCAACAATCTGTTTTTCGAAAGTACGGTACCGGAAAGGAATTTTAGCCTAGTCTATCACAGCTTTTTCTACACTAATTTTTCATTACTGCAAATAAATTAAAACTCCCAAGAAGACAGAGTGATCATTGAATTATCTGATTTATATTCAAATTCCCGAAACACAACTGAAAACTAACGAATAGAGTTCGAAAACGCGAAAACGAGGTGATGTTTACGACTTTACGTCCACGCCGGAAAATCTGTCTGAGTGAGAAAAGTGTCTGAGCGGATGCGAAAAGGGAGGTTGTTACGTCATTTTTTGCATCTTACTGATTGGCCAATGTCACGTAGTAAACAAGGAAGTCGGTGCTCGGGGAAAGGTCCATAAGGCAATATAAATCAAATTTTGCTACGCATGAATGCATTCTAATGTCATCCTTCTACCGAAACCGAGATCGGTCTATGAGTAAATACAGTATTCAGTGTTGGACCTTCGCAATCGATGTTTAGTTGTATTTTCATGGATTATGAAACCGAATAAAAGATGAAGCATTACAAAGGTTTGTATAATTATCTTCATCTGTTCCCGACTCGGGAGTTTCAGCACACATACGGTACGTGCAGACGTGACGTTTTGTTGCTTTGTGCGGATGGTAATTTGCAATCATGCACTCGTGAATTGTACGAAAAATGAATGACACAACAAACCTTCAATTACTTCTGCGTTTACGGTATCATTTTTAACAACGAACCATCATGGGCCAATGTAATACAGTACCCCTGGTCTAAGGCTTAACTGCTTACATAATTATATGATTGTTGAATTAAGGAATTTGAATTGAATATTTTAATGTTTTGCCTGTTTCTATGTTTGTATTAACGAATGAGCAAGACTTCGAATTGTAACTCATGGTGCGATGGCGTGGCTCATCGTGCTAAGCATTAGGAATACGCTCGCCACCACACCTCTTAATACTCTGCCATATGGTTGAGCCGTCTCATCGTATTTTCTATACTCCAGGATAAATCTGTAAATTGTATCCATGTAGGTATGTTGGGTCTAGTATGGTTTAGTACCACAAGTACTTCCGGAGTTCCGGTTGGCGTAGCATAACGAATTTTGGATATGTTATTCCTAACCCTCACCTGACTATATCATCCAAAAATTACGTCACTACGATGTCACAATCACGTCATAGAGCTTGTCAAGTATAGCTACTATTGTCCGAAATGGCATCTGCCCCGACAATACCGAACTCACTAACGCCAGCGGTCTCTCTCATATCGGGATCGTTACGACGAGAAAACGAGAGAAATAGCTTGCTAGATTTCGGGTGATCGTCTGCGCGTTTTGGACGACCATCCGTACACTTTGTAGGTATTTATTACGCCACTGTGGCGTCTTAGTGACGTAATTCTTTAGTGACATAGTCAGGTGAGGGTTAGGAATGACATATGCAAAAATTGTTGAGCCAGGCTAACTAGAAGTGCATGTCCTACTAAACTATACCAGACCCGGTATGTTAATGCATAACTGTATACCAGATATAAATACACTGTTGAATTATAGATAATTAGAGTTTACTGATTTTTGCCAATGCCAAATTAATATAGTAAAAGTGTATAATTAGGCATTTAGTTGTAAATGTGAATAGATATAGTTTATTTAATTTGCATATTCAATGACCTTTTCTATTTTGCTTTCAAAAATTTCAGTAATGGTTTCTTTACTTATTTGAAAGATTCATTATGTTTCATTTTCTTTTGAGTTAGAATGCTGGTTTACTATGTAATATACCACAAGCCTGTGGACTTGAAGGTTTTAAATATTTTATACTACATTAGAGGACATTATATACAAAACAATATTAAAATGATAATAATACATATTATATGTTATATTTCAGATCGGAGTTTCCATGCAACAAGGCAGGGAATTAGCAATGAATCAGTGTTGTGGAATCATATCCAGCAGGTATGCAGAAGAGAAGAAGATATCGGGAGGAGATTGTCATCCTCTGCACAATTACAAGAATTTGTTGCAAAACCAAGTTCAAAAGCAGTAAGTTGTTCTTTGTATTTGTAGTCGTTGAATTATTAACATTGAGCAAGAATGAAGGAGACATAATATTTAATTTTGAATTATGCTTTTTCACGCCTAGGTACCACTACAAACCAAGCAAGTTATCCCCTAATACGTAATAACTACTTTGTTTAGAAGGAATTTTTCTGGCCAGATTTTTTTGTGGTCTTCCACTCAGAACAAGATCCTTCGCAAGCATTATATGATATGTCGCTGCCCTAGAACAAGAGTGACTTATGTCCCATTTTGACATTCTGAGAAAATGGCCATTAAAGTTTTTTTCGGGGGTTAATTTTCGATAACAATTTTATTTTTCCATAGCTGTATAAAACTTTTAGTCCAATTTAATTGTTGCATTCTTCTGCATTTTTTAGATTATTTTTTTTCATTTTTTTGCATTCCTTTGTTTATTTTTTTTACACTGTTTTGGACATAAGTCTCTTTTGCACTAAATAATTTGTTTTTATCCTTGCCGCTGGTGTGACTTGAGGCAACCTCATCATATTCATCAATTGCTTAAAACCTAGCAAACATTATTCTATGAAGCCATTTATGATATAAATGATAAAAACGTGCATACAAGTAGCGGAGAAGAACTGTATAAACTATTCTGAGCTCTCTAATTCGACAAGGTATCTCTTTTCTATTGTCGTCATTGGTAAAGCGCCATCATCGATTACATTTGGTGCCCCATGTTTACAGCTCTAAAGTTTTTTGTCCTAATAGTGAATAGTTCTCTATTAAATTAATGAAATTTATTGTGTTAAAAGAAGCTGATTAACTAGATGAAAAAATCTGAATGAATTTCCACAGCACTTTATCTTTCCTGCATATCTCCCAACAATTGTGATAAATAAGCCTTTTCTAATTATTACTGTTTTTTTTGCAAACAAAAATCTGCAAGCATTAGTTGAACAATTCTAAATAACTTCAAGACTTTTCAAATCAAATTATATCTTCTAAGAAGACCTTTGTTGTTCTATTGAAAATGTCAGCTGCAGGACTCAGCATTAAGAACATAATATCATTCAACTTGGTTCCAACAGAATACCAGATAATTAAATAAGACAACCAGAACAAATGCTCTAGCGAGTGGAAACACCATGTAACAAATGAAATATACTGTAGAATTAACAGAAACGCACTAGGAAAACAAGTTAATAACATAGCTTCGTAATATCGTGCAACCAGGTGAAAATATGGAGAAGCAATTATAATACAGCTCTGCCATGATCGATATCTTGTTTCATGGAAAAAAGAGGTGTAAAAACAATATTGGGGGTAAATAGTTGATTTCTGAAATGAACTGACACAAACACGATACAACACCATGGCAGCAACCATATCAAAAATTATAAATGTAGGAACGCAATGAATTATGTGGTGTAAAGAAAAACAGTGATCTCAAGTCAATGAGATGGATGAAACGGTTTTGCATATTTCAATTATTTGTTTCTATTCCACAGTCTTTGCAAAAATTCAATGAATTCCGAATGTATTTTACTACATTCAGTTGCTCGAGGGAACATGTCACATAAGAAACGCCCAACTCTAAAATTGAAATTTGTCTTTCGTGATTATTTCACATCCAGTGCTTCGTAGAAACTGTGGTGCTGAGTTGGGATTAGCTTTTTCGTGCATAACTTCAGCAAATCTTTTTTTTTGTCCGCGTTTATCCCAAGACTTGCAGAGTATAGTTTAGGCAACTTGGAAGGGTCAAAGAACATGTCAATGCTGCTTCTTCTCGTACCTTTTTTGTTAAATCTAACAAGGATGGCAGATTTGTAGTTGACATCATTGTAGCTATATTTGTAGAACATCATGTCTGGTTGGTCTTTGGTGAATTTTATTTGCAATAATTTGGACCAGTATACTTTGTTTGTATCATTGTTCCCATCTGGTTGGTGTTCAAAAATGTCTTTTTTCAAAACATCATTATATTGTGGAAGGGCCTCTGCATTTTTGAAATCAATGAAGTCCTCATGATTTAGCATATTTACTTCCGCTCGCGTTGAAGCAAAGGACATGCGTATAGCAGTCTCCCACTGAGCAATACTAGTTGATTTTTGGTGTGAGTTTCAATGATTGAGTGTGTTGTGTCATTTTCGTTCTGAGAGTGCCCGGTTATCAAATAGTTCATTGTTATTTCATCCAGCCCAAGAGATCGCATAGCGAAAGACAACATAATCACAACCATCCTGTTGTTGTTTTGACCGGTACAACGATCACTAAAGAAGTGGATATTTTTAATGCCAATGCTTTTCAGTTGTTCTATATACTTGAAAAGGGAGCTTGCTACTTCGCATGCACCCTTTTTACCCTCAGCTTCGTTCCACAAATAACAGGACGAGTTTTTGGTGACAATGTTGGTGACTGTGAAATTGGTGACTCGTAATCGCAGGGAGTAATAGAACGACGATGTTGGCCCGTGGGGCAATAACAAAGTTTTTTCCATGTCAAAGGCTGCCACAACAGTTGTCGGGTCATTTTGTGCCAACTCTTTTAAGCTTTTTTTAAATTTTCGGACTTCGCTCTTTTCACTCAAATGAATTTCTTGGTCATGAAACATTTCGTCTGTTAATGCTCTTTGGGGAGTATTGTCATATGCGGCACATGTGTCACATGTGTCATGTTTGAGTTTATGGAATTTAATATTGAATTTGGTATTAAATACTCTGCCATAAAAAGAATAGTTTTCTGGGGAAATGTTCTTTTCATGGCACCAGTCTACATACATCCTATGCATTCTGGACAGTGAAAGTCCCTCCTCCAGATATTCAAATTTTGACGTGCTCCTGACATAATGGCTCTCCACAGTTTTAAACAGCTTGATGTGCTCGATAACTGGTGCTTCTCTGCTTTCATCTACCTTCTTCTGGTTTCCATGACTGCCTCTTCGATCTGGGGTAGTCTTCCCACTAGATGCTATTTTATCGAGTGCCGATCTTACCCTTTTCTCTGATATTGAAAGAGTAGAAAGAAAAAACTTTTGACACACCCGCACTAATTCTTCGTATTCTGAGTTGGGCTTTACTAATCTATAGAGACGACTCATTTGTCTTTGTCTCTTCTTGCCAGTGATGGAGTTTCTTTTGTGGTTCTTTCGCCTTTGGACTGGAACTCTCTTTACATATTTCCCGATGTACGAAGCTTGCATGTCATATGACGCGAGGTCCCAGAAAGCACTACAAATGATTTTCCGCTCCTCTTCTGAAATTTTAGAACGACAATTGTTCCTGCAACCAGACCAGCAGGGTGATTTCGGTGTACAGACTCTTTCATCCGAAGAAGGTGTTTTGTCTCCATAGAAGCGCATCCCGGTATTTAATTTTCTTTTTAGTGTGGTCCTTTTCCATTCATTTGGGTTTCGCTTTTTTCTTTTTTCCTCCATCACAGTCGGTGTCTGAGCAACTGTTGGTGTTTCAGGAATTTTGTATTTTGGCATCTTTTGTACGCTGTTAAAATTCCAAAACACAGCTGCTCCAGGACAGTGTATGTCCTCATCGAAAAGTACCCAAGTAACCGCATCTTTCATTGGTTTAATTATGAAAAATTGACCAAAATTTTGATTTGCTTGCTCGTCACCAACAACACCACACTTTGCTTTGAATAATCTTTTATTATTTTTTGTCAAATAAACTTCCTCATATTCTGACAGTTTGATCTGTTTAGCAGTTCGATCCTCAGAAAGTCCAGATTCTTCATCCTCAGATGTATCAGATTCTTGATCGAAAAAGTGTGATGCTGGCCTTTTGGGATCAGGAATCCATTCACTGTCACTGTCAACTGAGATATCCTCATCTACATCATCTTCACTGCTTTCTGGCTCATCTCCTTCATTCAATCTAACTAACTCGTTTACATTATTTTCTGTTTGCTCATCTTCTATCTGAACATTCTCAGCAACCATCTGCATCTCATTGTCTGGGTGCAAATCCTGCTGTCCTGCTTCTAAAAGCAAATAACCTGATTCAAAAGGTGTTGTATCTCCATCTGCCCACTCAACAATCCACTTCTCCCCCTGTCGTCCTGTCACTTTACCATGTACTCTTGCATCTCGCCAATTCTCACCATATGTTTTGTATGACCATCTTTCAACAACACTCTCACGTTCATTATCAAATCGCCACGCTTCTGTTGAAACGCAGCAACCGGTTTTAATTCTTGGCATAATTCAGATTCACGTACAGATTTAAATTCTAAATATCTGAGAAATAAACAAAACATATTGAATTCTAATACAGAACCTTAAACCTTGTTTGACCATAACTAAATTAGATCTACAGCATAAGTTTCAGACGATAGGCACATTTTGAGCTCATTTTTGAGCAGCATCGGGTTTCAGCAAAGAGTTGTTCACTCTTAAAAAGTAGCAACAGACATTTGTGTGTTGATGAAATATAAAACAGAAATAAATTACATATTGTGTCAACTCAATGATCAAGCACAAACAGAAATATTTAATATCACATATTGGTTGAAAAAATCTCAAATTTGACAGATATAAGTAGACTATGAAAGGTTTTACTGGGTATGTGCAGTCATGCATGAAGGCTTATGTCCAGTATATTTAAAATTTGTTTTGGGGAGTTTAGAGCTTATGTCCACTTTTGTAGACATAAGCCACTTTTGCATAAAAAAAACAACCAGCGAACCAAGACTTATGTCCTATTTTTGAGACATAAGTCACTGTTGTTCGAAAAAGTTGTACAGAGCAAATGAGACTTAAATCTCACCATGAGACACAAGTCAGTCTTGCACTACAGCATAGGGACATAATTTAAAGCTATCTTCTAAACTATACAGTTTCAAGGGTCAAGCTTATGTGCATCTGAAAGAGCATGGTTTAAAACCTCAAAAAATTGAAAAAAGTGAAAATCTCAAAAAGTGGACATAAGTCAGTCTTGTTCTACAGCAGCGATGTATGTTAAACTATGTTCAAAATCTTTGGAATCTGGAATCTTTATGGTCCAACATCTTTTTTGTGCCTTTCACCCATAACAATGCACTGTACAAACTGTCACTGATATGTAAAAGTAAGCTTGAAAAGACCAGAATCTTTCCGATACAACTTTTCCTATTCAATTTATTAACCCTGAGTGTGTCACTTGTGTCTATGGGATTTGAAACCAAGATTTGTAATCTGTGATGTTAAATTCAACCCTTCCAACTACTGGGCAACACATAATGAAATATTTGTTTGACTGCTATTTACTTATTCTGTCATATTTTTGCTCAGCTCTAGGTTTGATCATTCAAGTTGATTACAAATGTTTATGTTAAGGCAAGCAATTTGGGTTATTTTTCAAATTTCATTTTAATCTAAACAAAATCGGTAAAAAAACATTTGTGTGGCATATTTGTTTATCAGTCAAAATAGTACCTATTTACATGATTTCAGTAGAAAGAAAAATGTTATAATTCAAATTCAATACCCAAAAATCCCTATATTGACGAGATTAAACTATAATCCAGCATAGTGATACTGATAAAATTTATAATTTTACTTTAGCTGATATCTAGAAATTTGGATCAAGCTCTCAATTCATTGCTGGATGTTTTCTTTGAAAGAAATGTGGATGAATTACAGCGTCGTGTTACAAATATATTGGCAAATATTGCAATCACACTGTCATATGATGCGTATCCATTCTTTCAGGTATATCAATTGTTTTTGAAAAATTCATCCTAACAATCACTCAGACTATAGTTGAAATCAGGGTTAGGGAGCCTCTGTCTGACGCCATGGAGCTGTAATATTTCGTTAGAGTTTGTACCAAGTTTTCCCATCTAGATCAGGGGTTGCCAAAGTGAGGTTCGCGGCCCTCTGAGGTCCTTAATGTTTGCACAGGGGGTCCGCAATGATATGAAGAGAACCTCATCTATCATAATTCATATTAATATCTTTCGTGTTGTAAATGAAACATTATTCTCCCTTGTTGGTTAGTAACAGAAATTAATACAGCATAGAATGGGGATCCGTAGAAAATAAGATCCACGAACAGGGGTTCGTGATCCAAAAAGTTTGGGAAACCCCTATTTAGATGGAGCTGGACTTGAAGCTACCAGAAATTTATGGGTCTGCAGGGATACACATGTTGATTTGTTTTTTAAAGTAGACCGATAATAGTTTTGTGTGTGCTATATAGGTAAACGGTCACATGTATTTCTCATGTTTTAAATCTTATTTTCGCAGTTTTACTGATTTTTCCAATGTTAGAGTGTGATCTTTATGTTTTTTGGGGAATCAAAATAAACTTATACTATACATATTTATTGTGTGGGAGATCAAAGTGAGAGTTCTATCTAATTGGATGCCGTAATTTGGTTAGAGTAATAGTTAAGCCTTACCAATTTTGGATAGAAGCATGGGGTTTTAAAAATTGCTTTATTAGGATAGACCGTCATCTATGAGTAAAAGCAGGCTGAGGGTTCCCATTCGGCCCATGCAGGCCAAATTCCATATTGGACAATATCTATCATTTTTGAATTAATATTGCCTTACTTATAAAAATATTCATTTGAATTAATTTATTTTTTTTATCTTGTTAATTTTTATGCAGTGGTTGGTGAGGCAATTTCAAGGAATAGCGAATGATACAGTTCGAAATTTTTTGCTCAAAAGCCTGACTGAACTTTTACGGAAGGATCTTCAATACAGATACTATGGAAAAATGATGGGTGCGTATTTTTTTTTGTTATTTTCATTTTAAATTATAAATGTAAAGCTTTTCAGGCCGAACAAATAATTCCATATAAGGTAATAAAAACATATAAGGTATATTGCCAAGCCATGCTTCGTCTCAGATTTTAGTTTTTTCTCAGTTTTTTCTCAAACATGATGACCTGAATTTTATCCAACTTCAATAAAACTATTTCTGATGACTGACCTATTTCTGTTTATTGCAAAAATACCACTTTAGTATTCAGCATTACTAGCAGAACCAAGTGTTAGGAACAGGTTTGAGCACTTTTCATTATGAAGTTCCCGGGTTTGAATTCTGTGGGGGTAATCATGTGTGAGTGAGTGCTGGACTTCTTGACACATGCAACAACTCGTTCATTACGGCTACCTCCATCACCAAGTGCATCTGACAATAAGAAATGGTTAACTATACCATGACCAGCATGGACTGGTAAACGTACAAGAGGCCTTGGTTCTCTATATTATTAAACAGCTTTACACTCTCCTGGGATAAATATGAAGAATCCTACTAAACTTTTCATTATCTTCATATAAACTAACTATGAGGTAAAAGAGTGCTAAATGATCAAAGATAGGGAGACCAGTAAAATGTCAGAAGTCGCTAAATTTAAATAAAATCATCACTGTTGCTTACAAAGCAAATATTTTGATTGACAATATTTTAAAAAATGTTGTAAATTTTTCTTTTAGTATTAAAGTTGATCATGAGTTCGACCCAAAAATAATGAATATTTGATGTTTGTGGCTTTATTCATTTTTGGTTTTGCAGGTTTGGTTCTCAGTGAACTACAAGCTTTACTTGAAAGTGTTGATATTCCAGAGCATTTACCAGTTTGCATCGATCCATTATTGTTGATTTCTAAAAGTTATCCCGAGGTTGGTAGTGTTATTTTATTGTACTTTAAATTGTGGTCACATCTTTGCTCAGGAAAGAGCTTTAGCTTCTAGAGCAGGGATGGGCAAGGTGTTTGAGCCAGGGGTCTGAAATTTTACCCATCTAGACTGGTGGGCCATGTAAGTGTGACGTAAAAAGTTACATTTTATGAACAATATTTACAGTGTTGCAAAAGCAAAAGTGGAAAAGTCTCACGTCAATCGCAATCTCAAGTAATTCCCTGAGCTATTTTGTCAATAGTCAAAGAAAATTAAACAGTACGAAATGCACAAAAGTGAAAAGAAATAAATGGAAAATTGGACTTTTATGCCAGATCTCAAATTGAAGGATCAGTTATCTTTCAAGGAAGATTTTTCCATTCATTCCCTTCTTGACAATTCCACTGATCTATCATAAACCCCCCAAAATTATATCCTGGACCCCAGTTTGAGAACCCCTTGAACCCCTGGGTTAGACTTTGCTTACTAAATTTATTACACATCGTGTGAGGTGGTGTGTGGGGTTATAATAAGTAGAGCTCGACCGATATCACTTTTTGGCACCGATACCGATAACGATATATCGGCCAACTAGTGACCGATAACCGATATCGACATACCGATATCTACAACCTGAACCCGCAGTAAATACAACTAGTAAGAAAAATTCAGTTTCAGTAAATCAAAAGTTTATGTTGAAAAAAAAAAAAGCAGTCAGTTGATTGTAATTCCGGAAGGCATATTTTTCTTTCTCTCCGTGAAACAGACATGAAACGAATTTTACCGCCGCTATGGGCCCTCAAAAGGAGAGAAGGCTACTTTCTTTTCCCGACTCAATCACTTTTATTAATACAAATCACGGCGCATTAAAAAACAAAATATAATTTATAAGCATTAATTTACAACGAGTTACGGGTAAGAATTTATCGCCGACTAAATAATTAATATTTGATCTAAATTTATCGCAAATAATGTTATAACATTTAGGCCGCGAAATAATTTGATATAAAATGAAGCTGGTAATCGGAATATCGTCAATTAATTCAGCATCAATAATTATTTATAAAATGCTAACTAGGTAGCAAAGTCGGATAATGTAAAAAAACGTAGCAATAACAAGTCTTCGCCGCAGGCAAGCGCAGGTATAATCAAACGAGAGAATGCGCTTGTCGTTGATTAAAAACTTTAAAACCCGAAATTTTTATTCAATACGAAAGTCGATTTTAAAAAAGCCAACTATCGTTTCATACATATTCGTATACCAGTGTCGGTAATGATGAAAAATTGGATCGCCAAATTGGGACGGTTAATTTGCAAATATGATAAAGGAAGATCACAGCCAACACAAAAGATAAAAATCAGAATAAATTTAATTTGAATTCTCTCCTTGGTATTTGTCTTTAACATCTGTCGCCGGCGTGTAGTACTGTCGGTAATATGAAAACCAATTTCGATGCCCCGTTTGGAAAAGAAGTGGATTCAAATGGTTGTTATGATAGGTTTAAATGTGTGAAAAAATATCGCAATTACGGGGTCATTACGTAATCAATTTTGCCGTAATTACAGAATGATTTTTTGTCGATTACGTGCAAGCCTAGTTGGGACGCAAGATATTCGAAGGCGAGGATTTTGCGCCGCACGACGAGATAAAAGAGAGAGAGAAATATAGAAGAGAACTCTGTTCACTGAAAGGCAAAATGAGAGAAGCGAAAAAAAGAAAACGCTCGGCCGCAGATATTTCCCGGGCAAAAATACTCATTTTTTAGAACAGGGAAAAGCGACTAACACTGATATATATCGGCCAGATATATCGGCCGGTTGGGCCGATATGATATATCGGCAAACACGCAATATCGGCCCGATATATCGGTTGGCCGATATATCGGTCGAGCTCTAATAATAAGATGTTGAATTAACTTGTGACGTCAACATAATTGGATGCAACACTATTACCAGTGGTTCTCAAACTGTTAAAGCTGCAACATTTTTTAGAATTTGTCTCGCACCCCACTTCAAAAAAACCTAGCTAACAATAGGCTACAATTACAGATAGTAAGGCGAAAATATGTTTTATTCAAAAAACACGTTCAAAATACGTGGATGGAACGTAAATATCTAAAATAAGGCGGGCAAGATCAAATCCAACAAATATTTTTATTTTTAATTAGCTTCACCCCCCTCAAAAAACTGTCTTATCACCCCCCCTGTGGGTTGCGCCGCGCCGTTTGAGAACCACTGCTTTGACTACATTTCATAGAGATTATATATAGTCTAATATTATGACATTACTCTTCGTTGAAGGTGTTTTTCAAGCATTTCCGAGATATTGTTGATATTCTTGTTGGTTGGCATATTGATCACTCTCAAGATATCTCACTGATTATATTTTGTGCAAGTAAGTTGGTTAATTTCTTTATTTTCACACATTTTAACATGTCAATGTCATTGTTTATGTGAAATTTTTTTTCTTAGACGCATTACAAAGCCTTCAACCACATTGGCAAAATGACCTTGACTTTTCTCTGACCTTACTGAATCAATTTCTCGAAGATATGGAAGCATATGCGGAGGTAAGTTCGTATATTTTTAGATTGTTTTGGAATCCAGATATTTTTATTGATTTTATTTTGCTTGCAATTGAGTGTCTACATTAATATCTTACCTAATCAAGCTACAAAATTATTTGATAACAACAGTGATACGTTCAAAATAGAACTTTTTTTTTTAATATAGGGAATTGACAAACTCCAAGAAACAGTGGAATTAGCAGAAAATCCAGAATCCCTATTGATGAAAACTGCTGCATTGCTCCGGGCTTTCTCAACAGTAGTGCGTAGCATAGGAAGTGCATTTCATGCTGATGAAACCGGTGCAATTAATGAATCTTTTGTTCTGGAGGTTAGTGTTTGTATTATAGGCTCCTTTTGTAAATTTTGTTGGAGGTGCGAGAATTTTTTCTTTTTACCAGGTTGCAACACTGTTTCCATCAACATAAATCGTATCTTAAATTCCTTGCCAATGGTAGATTTCTGTTCAACTATTTGATGCAGCTCGTTTCTATATTTCCTGTTTTTTGTTACAATACATAAACGAGTATTGTATGCTTTAATAATGACTCTGTTAAGTTAAAATGACATGGACTAGATATGGAATCATACTGTCTCTATGAATCACCACATTTCTATCTGAATGCTGACCTGATTTAGGTTTGGAATATGATGGAGTCTGATTTTTATTTTTGAAACAAAAATTGTATCCAATAACACCTTATTATTAAAATTAATTGATTTTGAAAATCAATATATATTTTTAAATTTTCAGTTTACTTTTTATCTAAGTTACCAGCCATTTACTTGAACCATCCTAGGGTCACGAAATATCCAGCAATCCTCTCACACATGTATACTCCTACAGGATTTGAACCTTCGTATACACACTGGGTAATCAGAGCCGCGGTGGCGAGCATATTCCTAATGCTTGGCATGATGCGTCACATCGCCGAACTTATAAAGTTCTTTGAAAATTGTATTAAAATTACCTCATTATATATTATTGTTGCTTATTCATCATTTACTCTGGTTTTTGAGGATGATGTTTATTTTATTTTTTTTATTTAGTTACTGCAGAGAATTATTGTGTGCGCTCAACTTGTCGGCGATTTGTCATTTACTGCCACATGTGCAGCAAACGAATGCATGCAGTTATTGATCGCAGCGATACATTGGAAACGTGAAGAAATGCTTTCCGAGTCTCTGTTGACTTACGTTGTGCATGGAGTAGAAAGATCAGAATCAGAATCTAGACTTGTGCTGGCATTGAAACTTGTTATTGTTGTAAGTCTGAGGTTTTTTAAGTCATTTCATATATATCTCACTCGGAATGTGGCTATGTGCTAGAAGTCACTTTCAGATATGAATATATAATATTTTTGCACAGTCCAGAATCTTTGTGGTTTAGCGTTGCCTAAACCAGTGGTCATCAAACTGCGGCACGCAAACGTAATTTTTTGTGGCCTTCAAACGACTTTCATGCATAAATCAAAAGTTGTTCGCAAACTTATTTTTATCTGTACACTGATATATTATGTCCTAACAATGGCTGTTATAAAGCATTTGTTTTGTAATAGTTAACTGAACTACTTTGTCGTTTAAATCAAAGATATTGACATAAACAGTGCAATAAAAATAAAGAAATTTGAACAAAAACTTGAAATCATGTCAATTTTTCGCTTGAATTACATTCTTCTAAAACAAAAATAACGCCGTATGTAAATTCAGATTCACAAAACTTTTTACAAACTAACATATATGTTTCAATATTTCAGATTTTTTGATGTTTTTAATTTTTAATGTAGATGGTGCAAGAAATTGGATCTGCTTTACCAGCATGGTTTGTTGTTGGTTTACTCGGACCAAGCTCAAGATTATTGCCATTAAAATATGGGAGAAATCCCGAAATAACTTCCGAATTATTATCCTTGTATCAAGCTTGTTTGTCTGTTCGAAATGTTTCACTTCTACAAACTGCATACAGGTAAATAAAATAATTTTTGTTGATTTGACGTTTCATCGGCCGTTTTGTCTATCGTCTCGCTGCTCCAGCTTTGTATCACCGCGACCTCCCTCCCTTCCCCTCTTCGCTTCCTTCCTCTGCTTCGGAACTCTTTATTCCTTCCTCATTAAGCGTAAGAACTATCGTACTTTATTTGTGCAATATTTAATTGATCGGTATCTAGTGTTATGTGTAAGTTGCACTCCCGCTTTTGTACAGTTTAAGTAGTTTGCATAATAATTGGGCGCACAACCTGATAACCCTACCCTTGTACACATACTATGTTCAGATTGTGCGCCATCTTGGTGCACATACTTCTGGAGCACCAATAATTGTGTGCATAATTAAATGTTATAGTAACAATAAACAACTAAAGCATAATAGCAATACTATGGCGAATAAAGGGCAAAATTTTTTCCCAAGAACGACGAAATTCCTTTCTAGTTGGGAAACATGCCGCGAAGCTATCTTGCCCCAATGTATTTCTTATATTACCTCTTAGAAATGTGATTGGTGAACTACAATACGCACTGAATCAACTATTAAAAAAGCTCGATCCAGAAGCAGAGTCGATTCAAATAATAAAAGATGATCCATTCGGTGAAGTTAACGCTCATTCAACTTTTAGTGGGAGTTCGAAAAAGTAAGTTTCTACTTTTAGCTGGGTAAGCTAGGTTTTCTACATGATTTGAGTGATGGTTGTTTAAAACAACTACTTAGAAAATTCGAAACTTTTGAACTGCAAGAACACGTTTGCCATCTCATGTTGGTCATGTGTGTCCATGTCCATATATCCAAGCATTGCTTGCCTATTCATTACTATATGGTAATTGGTAAACAAATCGTATTAGATTACCAGTATTCAATTGAATATCACAATAAATATTTAAATATGTTCTGTATCTTTGTTAAACTTTTGTTTGAAAAATATTGTTACAGTTCAAAATCACAAAGAAATTGTGTTGAATTTATGTTGAAAACTGCATTATTTGATGTCACTGCTCTGTCAGAAGTTGCCGATGCGAAGAATTCTATTATTGGGGTAAAGTAGATTATAATCTGTTTCCAGTGTCATATATTCACTATTACAATCGGGGCCGTTGAGTTAATATTGGAAGTCTTATTTTCAAACTCCCTGGAGCCGAAATGAAATTCTGATTTTGAATTAAAGACTTTTCATAGAGGTCCTAATTTGAACTAGAAAAAATGGAATTCGCTAAATGAAGTTGTCCATTATAAAGAAGGCTCACATGGAGAAATTTTTTATATTAAAATTTGACTTTCCAAGAGTTCGGAGCTAGAGTGGAGACGAAAATCTTTTTAAGTTGGACTCGGAGTCAAAAAATTTAATAGTTAGAATCAAAGTCAAAACTTTTTTTTGTAAGTTGGAGTCGGGAGTCAAAACTTTTTTCAAGTAGGAGTCTGAGTCAAAACTTTTTTTGAAAGTTGGTGTCAGAGCCAAAACTTTTTTTTAGTTGGAGTCGGAGTCCAAACTTTTTTTAAGTAGGAGACGGAGTCAAAACATTTTTTGAAAGTTGGAGTTGGAGTCAAAACTTTTTTTAAGTAGGAGACGGAGTCAAAACATTTTTTAAAAGTTGGAGTCGGAGTCCAAACTTTTTTTTAAGTAGGAGTCGGAGTCAAAACTTTTTTTGGAAGTTGGTGTCAGAGCCAAAACTTTTTTTAAGTTGGAGTCGGAGTCCAAACTTTTTTTAAGTAGGAGACGGGAGTCAAAATATTTTTTGAAAGTTGGAGTTGGAGTCAAAACTTTTTTTGTAAGTTGGCATCGGAGTCAAAATTTTTTTAACTTGGGATTCAGAGTCAAATTTTTTTAATCTAAGAGTCGATTGTCAATTTTCCCTGTCTGCACAGCTGCTGTGCTTTTACTTTTATTTCCTTTGATTTTCTTACTATAACAATTTTTGTATTTTTATGTTTATGTGAGTCTTTTTACTTCATTTAATATACCTGTAAGGGCCACCAATCTATATGTGGTATCGATAAATTCCCTTTGCAGTTTAGAAAATTGTAAGACTTCCTAAACATCCAGTGTATTGCTTCCATGTTACTCGTCATCTCGTATTTAAAAAGTTTTCTTTTGTTTCAAGATGTTTGCATTATCTCCGAGCATCTTTGATCTTCTGCATACCGAGCTTGAAATTGTGCATGATGATTTGCTGTCTTCAAGATATCCACAGATTCAATATATCGTCATTTGTACTCTGTATTCTCATTGCCAAAGGTAAAACCAAAATATTTTGTTTATCAATGGAAATTACTGCGTAGCTGAAACGTAATATGTCTCCATTAAGCTGCCATGTATATACGCATTGCACAAAGACGGCCTTTTAAATAATTAGACCGAAATACAAAGTGCAATTTGGAAAAGTCTGGAGTTAGTTTATTTGGAAATCAGATAATTAAACTTATTCATTCTGTAAAATTATATATTTTTTCATTGAAATTAACATTTTCCTATAAGTAATGTTTTGCTGTGAATTAATTCTATTTAGAAAACTGCAGATCAAATTAATCGTAAGATAGAATTCTGGAATATTCAGCTCTGACTCCGACTTTTCTAATAAAACATTGTGAGTGTTAGGAACTCTTATTTAACTTAATTCTTCGCAGCTGTGGAATCGGACTTGCTTATATGTATGAAGTGTAAAGTGTTAACCAAAGTTTGTAGTTTATAAAAAATTGAGAAAATCCCATTATCAGATACTACAATCTATATCTAAGCGAATCAGTTTTCAATCTTAAATATCTTCTTTTAGACACAAACATTTCCTGAGTACATACTTAGGTGGATCAGTGCCTCAGTCTCCCGTGCCATCAAGTACTGGAGCATCAACAGTCGCTAATATCACTCATGGTCATTATCCTCAAATATTGACACTCATCTCGAGGCTGTTAATGAAAAAGGAATCTCTCCGATGTCAAGGTACTATGTTTTTGAAAACTATTTGTTTTTTGTTTCTGTTCTCATTCATTGCCATTAATTGTAATAGTATTTGCTAAACATGTTATCTATCCTGTTGATAACTACTGTTCTGTCGTTACTGACCTTATTGATGACTTCATTATAACTGCATCAATCTCTCCCACGAGCCGGCTTAAGCAACCAAATTCCAAATTCAACAGCACATGTCCGTATATGTGTGTGTGTGCGCATATTTCCGATAGTGGCAAATTGGGATTCGGAGTTACCCACTTCAACAGCATCCACTGCACTTACCTAATTTATGGCTTTTCTCAGTAAAAAACATAATTAGTAAATATGCTGCACCTATGACATCACTCATTATGCTCAGCCATCTAGGAAAGCACTAGTTGCCAGAAATACAATAAAGAATATAATTCTTTTCGATTTTTATTACTACTACTACTACTACTACTACTTTTACTACTCACATTTTTATAATTTTTAAAACTCTCTATTTTGGTTTTGTATAACTGCCCAAAGAATCAAGCCTCTTGTTTATATGGTAGCCCTTTATGAAGGAAGCCATACAAATGGCAATTGGGATCGCATATCCATCCCCATTCTTATTCTGGCAATCGAAATTCATATTTTCATCTTGTTTCAAAAAATCAAAGCTGACAAATTGCTCAACGTAATGAACATTTTCAGGCCAAATTTTTTTTGTAGCCTTCCTGGTATACCTATGAAATTGTATTTATTTTTGAATTTTTTTTCTTGATTTTTTATTTACAATCTACAGGAACCTACTACTCCACTGGTCTGAAGATTTGATCAATACATTGCTAAAATTCAAGGAAGCTTGGCACGTTGTGACAGAACAAAATTTTCTCAATTTGTTGAAATCTCTCTCGATTGCAGGTTTATTAACACAGTTGTAACATTTTTTTAGTATACATTCAATTTTTTGGTGGCGTATCACATTCATTGGTTTAAGTCAGAGTTCATGAATCTGTGAAGTTTGTGAGGCATTTAATAAATCATGGTGCATTTGGAGGAAATTTTGGCCTCATTTGCTTTAAATTACATCAAGGATAAGCTTTATAATTTATGCCTATTCAGTCAATCCTATGCGCCAGTTTTTTCTGCACATAGTGACCATAATTTGGTGCGAAAATCCTCTTTTTTTTCATTTTTCACAACGTGCAATAGATTTGATCATTCCATATCATTTTCTAAACGCGCCGGCAGATAAAAGCTTTCTACTACATGGTGTTTTCAAATATTGGGTCTGTCTGACCAACAAATTTTTGTACTGACGGTAGAGGAAGCCGTAACTGACCAGCGTAACATGAACCGCCCCTGTGCAGTGTGCACTGAGGAGTCCTGCAATCCTCTCGCACACAATCATCCCCCACATGATTCAAACCTGCCAAATCCCAGCGAAATGATTTTTCCAGTTTGCAAAGTAATCAATCCATGACCGATACTGGCATATTTAAAATGTCTTCCTTTATAAATTTAATTGTCTTCATTTTAACCTGTAGTTCCATCGACAAAATTAAGGCATCAATATCTTAAAATGCCACTTTCCAATCAAATATTTTCACTGCCGATTTACTCCTTAATTTGTCTTTAGCATCTCGTCGCAGGTGTGATGTATAATAATCGTCAACGGATTTACAATCCTGTGCAAGTACAAAAAAAAAAAATAATTATCGTGTTGTGGCACAATTTTCTGTAATTTAGGGAGAATAAACACCAACGTGAACGTGTTTACGGCCTAAATAACATGTCACGCTGGCAAAAACAATCAGCGACTTTTGCAGAATACAATTGTACGCGATATTGGCCACTTTTTCAGTTTTCCAAAAGGGTGGGTTTGATCCCAAAACCCCACCACTGGATCCATCCACTAATTTTTGAATTTTTCTATCATTCAGGTACTCATATGACTGATAAAACGTCTACAATAGTAAAGTGCTTTACAAATGTATTCACAATGCTGGAGACAAGAGAGATTTCTGACATTGACGACAGTGAGGTTTATGCTATCGGACTTCCATTCATCATGGCTCATATTTTCAGTATGGATTCAGAAATGCAAACTTCTTGTTTTATGCTCTTGGAAAATATTCCTGTCAGTCAGATTGAACGGTAAGGAGTATTGTTGGATTTTTTCAATAAAATTGTCATAGAAAAATATGACGCTCCAGAAGTATGTGCACGAATATGGAGGTAACTAATTCCGTTCACCTAATTTACATCAAGTTGTATAAACTGTATAAAGGGACTGAAACCTATGGGCAGGGGATATCTTCACTTGCCTAAAACAGACAATCCCCGAACTCGTAATAGAACTAAAATAAGGAAAATTGGAATAAAATTATGGCCTAACCCTAACCTGGTACACACACTATGGGAGCACCAAAAATACTACTACCATTGGCAAATGTTACAAATTTTATTTGTTGGATACAAAGTTGGCTAAATTTTTGTTGATGGAATTCTCGATGGAATAGGATGTTGTTGTTGTTGTTTTTGTTGTTAGGATAATTGTTGTTGTTGGAAAAAAATTTTGGTTAGTAAAGATGGAAGAGGAACGCTATTAATTTTTTTTTTTAAATCTATTTTGAGACTTGATATTTCATCAAAAATGTTTAATTAGAAAGGAACACGTTTTACTGTACTATGTCTACCCTGCTCTTCTATGAATATACTCTCAATGAGTTTCCATCATTAATTCAAATCGCCATGTTTAATAACCAACCAACAAACGAAAACAAAAAATTAATGCATTACACACCACAGTCATTAAATTAAACAAACCACAGCCAAATTACTTGGTCATAATATTTGAATCTACAGCATTGACTCAACAGTGTGTTGTTTGTTTCATAGATACTGTGACACCACTTCCTGGCATGGCAGTTTATCTCAATTCCTAAAAATGTCTCAAGAATCGAAAAATGGCGGAAATGTAGTCACTCATCAAAAGAAATTTCATCGCCATAACGGGAACAGAACAACACAGCCGCTGAATATCTTAGATGCAAAACATCACTGGCTGGCTAAACGTAGCCATATGTTGAAAATACTAACGCAAGAAAACACTTTCTATTCTCATCATTTTCAGTCTATGATGCAGATTTTGCTCAACGGATTTACGTTCACAGAGTAAGTGTTATCTTTGTTTGTACTTTGGTAACGTACCTAGCTTGATCAATTGACAGTTCATCACTAGTCTTTTAGTCCACATATCCTTTTTAATTCCAAAATCTTTCACTTTTCATTGTAGCCATGGATAAATGACTGATATGCAGTCTTTAATCAGAAAGGCAACGACATGTATATTCCATATATGGTATACAATATGATGGGTAGGCTTGCATGTAATTGACGAAAATCAATTCCTTAATTACAGCCAAATCGATTACGTAATGACCCCGTAAGTTGTCATGGTTACGCTATATGTTAACAGAGGCGTATTTTTAAGCAGATAATGAATTTTCCCTTGGGCGGAATATTTATTTCATGACGGATACAAGCATTTAAAGTGCCTCGCCATATTGAATTAATTGTATACAACGTACTTTGCGGCTGAGTTTACTAATGACAATATATAGACTAAATTTATTCTCAAGTTTTGTTTAATATCCCTTATAATCATAAGTTTTCTCATAAAACTAACAATCACTTTTTTCAGTTTGTCTTCGACTTTGGAGAGAATATTTTGGAGTTGCCAACATTCTGGTCTTGAACCAACCAGTTGCAAAGAAACATCAATTCATAGAAGTTATAGCTTCGTGTACTGGTGGGGATTGTGGGAATGCGCTCTGTTCACAGTTTCCAACAAGCTTAGAACGCCTTTTGGAAGACCACAGGACACGTTTCAGAAGATTGAAGGTGTGAGGAGGCCTAAATTTTAATGCTGATTGTGTTTTCATTTTTGAAGTGTTGCAATATGCATTATGATACCGGTACTCCCTTAGTGTGTGTACCAGGTTAGGGTTAGGCCATAATTTTATTCCGATTTCCCTTATTTTAGTTCTATTACAAGTTCAGGAACTGTCGGTGTTAGCCAAGTGGATATACCCCCTACCCATAGGTTTCAGTCCCTTTACACAAGTTGATGTAATATAGGCGAACAAATTTAAATACCTTCATATTGGTACACACACTTCTGAAACACCATATTTTTATAAGGCGCTTATTTTTGCCCTTCTCTCAGAACAAGGCACTGTATAATTCTCCATGAAGCTACTGTTTTTTAAAGTCTTGTTTTTTTTCCAGTCTTTTCAGTTTTTACAGAGCCTTGTTCAGAGTGGAAGACATAAAAAGTGTCATTTGAATAAAAATGTATCGATTAAAAATGTAACATACTTCCCACTTTCATTCATGATTGAGAGTAGATGTTAGTGCGAATGTAGACCTAATTTTAGGGCTTCGTGAAGGCAGTGGGGGAAGGATTCGTGTTAAAAATAATGAAAAATAAAATACACATGACAAAACAAACATACATGCAATATTGAAATCAAAATATGATGACTCATCGAATATGACAATTAAAAGAATAAAAAATACATTAAAAATTGACAAATTCTGTTTAAAAAGAAACCTGGGACTGCGATTGCATTCAGCCTTCAGTTCTTCATGAACAAGCACCAAATTTCCATTACAACACATTTTTATTGTAAGAGAGCATTTTAAAATTAAAACCACCATAGCAGTAGCAGACTAAGCAGCAAGTCACACATAACACGTGCACAGCTCGAATACTAATAATCACAGCCTCAGATATACAAGGTATTATATATCAGGTGCACCATATATAACAGCGATAATATTCTTCAATAGTTAATTACCTCTCCAATTGTTACAGGTGCTTTACGAGACTATGACCAGCAGCGTTCGTCTCCACAGCTCTTACTACCTTCAAGAAAGAGTTCAGTAACGTCTGCTGCAGATCTTGAAAAAATTTCTTTTCAAAGTGAAATTCAATGCGTTATGCAACGTCCTCATCTACTACTCCAGTTTTTGTTTTCACTTGAAAAACTGATGTTCAATGCGTATTGTGGATGCGTTTCTATTGCCGCACCAAATAAGGTTAGCCGTTTTAAAGAACGTTTTAAAAAAAAATTGATGAAAAACAAATATACAAACAAATTTTCTTATATCTTGTATTTCACGCAATATTATAATATTTTAAAATATGTATATATAATTTTTTTTTTTTTTTTTTCGCAATGCGAAAATCTATTATGTCCAAATGAATTTTTCATAGATAGGTAATTAATATGTATAGAGGCATCATATCTGCATATGTTACTTAATTGTAGTTGTGAGAAAAAAGTATTAAATTCAAAAACGACCTCAAAACGTCACATGTTTCTAGTTGCTGAGAGGGGGAAGAGCATGGCCCAATGCAAGACCCCCTTGAGATACGCTAATGCTCAGATTGGTAAAGAGATAAAAAATAATGGTTTTTCCATAAATTTAGCTTGTCAGAATTTTTTTGACATGGAAATAATATCCCATCCAAAGTTGAAGCAATTACATTGTGTAACATCAATTCATCATTTTTAATGTTTTTTTAGGCTGTTCGTACATTCTTTTCAACTAATCGTTCAACTTGTGAGCAGTGGCTAAATCGACTTAGACTAGCTGCAATGAAGGTTTCTCTCAATTGTGGACTTTATTGTGAAGCCATTAATCATGGTCAGAAAATTTTGCAAGATATGAAAATCAACAATAATACTCAGGTAGAGAATATTATGATAGGAACACTTTCTTTGTTTCTCAAAATGTCTAGTTAATGTCTGTCTTTGTCTGGTATATATTATGTGGGTGTCTCTGTCTGATAATATTTAATGGGGGGGTATACACCATGATTGCTCCAAGGATAGGACTAACATATTTGTCTCTCTCGAGGAAAGCCTACAGCTGGTAATCTACAGCCTTATGTCTGGTTACCAGATGATTAAGGTTAAAGAAGCCGTAACTGACCAGCGATTACATGAACCACCATATGACGGCGAGGAGTCCAGCATTTCTCTCCCACATGGTCGGTTACAATCAGTTTATCCACGATCAATTCCATGCATCTGAAACAAATAACTGGCTAATTAATCCCATACCCAACCCAGACTGATAATCTGATGAGAGACGGTGGTTCGCTATTCAAGTAAGCCATCTTGTCGTAACCCCGGGATAAATATGTAAATCCTATCCTATCAATCAAATTGAGTCATGGGTCGTCAGAGTCAAGTCAATCACTGACTTTAGTTTCTAACGATTAGTTGAGCATGCGTTGAGTTCTTTCATTTTGATGAATTTAGTCACCTAGAGTCCGGTCAATGACTTAAGACTCCCCCATACTGCTTCTATGCTTGGTACATATTTATCAAAATCAACATATTTGTCAAAATCGTCAAACTTAAAATTCATTCATATTTAGGGATCTGAGTTTGAGCAAGCAATTTTTATGTCTGTGGAAGCATTAATGGAATTGAGATCGCCACAAATAATAGCGGGATTATATAAATGGTGCCGGGAAATTTCGAAATCTCAATCACCAAATTTGTCTACAACAGCTATTAAACAAGTTTGGTCATGGATGAAACCAGCTAAAAATCAAGCTAGTTCAAGGTATGATTGATTTATATTTGTTTTTAAGATGCGATGCAATTATTTTCTTATATATGATATTGTTCAAACCTTTCACTCCAAACTAGGCACTTCTCAAGCAACCACTTGTATGTAATGAAGTACTACATTATGGAAGAGTCGGAATATTTCTGGTTTTCGCATCCAATTTATCACTCCCAAGGTGGTGTGGCGGGCTTCAGCTATGAAGACAAGATAATTAACCTGAGGTGCCATGTCTAAGGCTTTAGGGGTGGGGCATTGAGACAGCTGCCCATGATGGCACATTGTAGTGTGCAGCAGATCAGCAGAGCTGACATTACGTGTATAGTCTTGTGTGACCACACTTTCCCGCCTATGTGCTCGTCTGATCATTGTTTGATTTAGCGCATTTATACAAACATTTCACTCTTACTTGACTTTTAATTTATTCATTCTCACAAATAACATCTGTTATTTGTTTATCCCACGAATTTATTTTAAGTTAGACATAAAATCAGGGGCCACCATGCCTCTCAAACAATTTTTTGAAAAATTTGCTCTTTTACAAAAATTTAGAGCAAAAGATATTATGTAACATTTAAAATTGTTTTTCATAATGTATTCAAAGTGAATTAGCCAGTTTCAGTCAGTTTTACTTGCTTATCTTAGCGAAAATACAATAAATACAATTTTTTGAAAAATTTGCTTTTTACGAAAATTTAGAACAAAAGATATTATGTAACATTTAAAATTGTTTTTCATAATGTATTCAAAGTGAATTAGCGAATTATCTTAGCGAAAATACAATAAATACAATTTTTTGAAAAATTTGCTTTTTACGAAAATTTAGAACAAAAGATATTATGTAACATTTAAAATTGTTTTTCATAATGTATTCAAAGTAAATTAGCCAGTTTCAGACAGTTTTACTTACTTACCTTAGCGAAAAGACAATAATTGCGTTCCAGAAAGCCAATAGTTGTGCTGTCACTTAAAACCCACATTAAAAATTGAAGAAAACTTGTATTTTTTTTCTACAAGATACGAAGACGCTGCTCGGGAATATCAATCTATTTTCAACAATTTAAATCAAAAAGATGAAGAATCTTCTGTATCTCATTCTGGTGCAAAACGACTCTTTGTTGTAAAGCAGGTATGCTCCTTTTGTTTATTACAACTGCGCTTAATCATAGTCTGTAATGGAACACAGGACAGTGCTTACTAACATTATCGAAAACTGTGTGTCTGAAAGAATCTGTGTTTATGGTTCATTCCTATATGGTTCATTTTAAGAAATTGAATATTACTTTTTTTTATCTGTTTTAAAGACATTTGCTCTTTGATAAATAGAAAAGCAATAATACTCTGAGATATTTCGTACTATGAAGAATTAGCGCAGTATTTTGACTGCTTTTTTTCTCTCGCTAATTAACGTGTCTAATTTAGAAGATAATGATTAATTACTTTCGTGTCTTTACTACTGGAGGATTTATAGTTGAATTGCTCGGACATCCAAACGCTTCCATATTTCTGTTTTCAGATTTCGAGTTGTTATTGTGCTCTTGGTAACTGGAGTTTGGCATCAAAATGGATCAAAAAATATGACGAATTCGCAACAGATTCAGACAAAGAAATTCCATATTTGGAATATGTGGAGTAAGTATTTATTGCTGGAATATATGATTTGGTGGGCCGATAAGATGCTTTAATTATAGAATCACGGCACTAGTCCATATTGGGTATTTGAATATTTATCCAACTATTCATTTCAGATACATGAATCTTTATTTAATTTGTCCTGATTTTGAGAGCGAACTAAAAGTATGGTAGTAATGGACTTGTTGTTATGCTGTTTTTCATTTGAAACGAGTTCTAGCCGCAGTATCACTGTTTTGGAAAGCTTTTATTTGTCGATTCCAGTCATGTATATTAAGTGTGTTTATGCCAGTGGATTTCATCCTTCGTTCTAGGCTCCCTAGAGTTCTGCCAGTGCAACCCAGTAATTCTACAAATTTACAAATAATATTTTGAACATCATTTTTGAATCATTCAGCCGTTTTAACACAAATTTCACTTTTAAAAAATAAAACTATCCCATTATCCTACAGAGCACTGTCATCATTCGAAGATGGTAACCTAAAACAAGCCGAAGAAAATCGCAATAAATTTCTATCTGGAATCGCGAATTTGGATAAACATACAACTGGTGGAACCACGTCCAAGGATGGACTGCATACATGGAGATCATCAATTTTGACAATGTCCAGTGACATGCACATCATGAAATTCTTGATTACAAGAGATGATGACACGAGGTCTGTTTCATTTGGTTGTTTTGCCCTTTTTCTCCGAATAGGATTTGTAAAAACAGGTTGTCAGACATAAAAGGGAAGGAAATAAATGCATTTATTCATTACAGAAGAATTGAACAAAATATAGTCAAGTTAATTCAAATTAATGTTGTACGTAGTGAAGGCTTTTGCTCATGGCCCTCTAGAAAACCCTTCCGGGGTTAAACCGAGATAAAAAACAGAATACTTTACTTCTTCTAAATGCAGTCTGAAATAATAGTCTTCAATATGAAATATCGACTTATTCTAAATCAGTTCAAGTTTAACAAAGAACACATATGAGTAGGTATGTTACAAAAAAATCAAAGTTCATCCGATTTAAATAAAAAATGCACCAGTGGATAGATCTAAGTGAAAATAAGAAAACAATACCAAGTTTGCGAAAAATGGTCAAGAATTAACGGAGATATCTGCATTTAAGTACCGCCCGATAGGCCAATTTTTTCCATAAGGATTGTATTGCGCCGACTCAAAAACTGTGACTGCGAGAATGTCAGACCGATAAACAACAGTATGTATCTCGGCTATTTTTGGAGGTAATCGAAAAAAATTTTGAACGAAAAGTTATTGTGAATAGAAGAACCTAATGCAAAAAAGTTTACAAATTCTTTTTAACGATATTAGCTGCTTTTCAATTAAATATGTACGAGAAAGTTTCTGAACTTTACATAACCTCTGGTCGGCAACGACTTTCCCAATACGCAAGTCCCCGCATACGCGGCAATTAACTGATTTAGCGTTTTTCATATCCGACCTTAGTGAACGATTAATTATCATTTAATATTCCTTAACTCGTAGGAGATTTACCGCGCTTAGTGAAACGCAAAACGAGAGAAATCGCTGCGAGGGAAAATGTCGGCATTCAGTCGATAACTGATGCGCGTTGACAGACGCGTGCTAAGATCATACTTCTCGTGCCTTGAATTAATTTGTACCGTTTCGTAAACGTATGCGAATTGACTTTTTTCAATAAGAACTTTAATAAATATGAAAAAAAAAACACATATCAATCTTTAATTTTTTGATGTACGTCACATCTAAGAAAATTCAGATTACTTTAGGATTTTATTCTGGCAACGATCATTGAGGCCGTCGGAAGATCGTCGCAAATCAACCCTGGAGTTGAGCATATTAGTTTGACAGTGCCTCGTTGCGGGTAATAATTAACGATGTTCTGATTGAACAAACTTCATAAAAATTGGTAAGTATCAAGTTAGGAATGACATACATGCGTCTATATATATTTTATTGGTGTCCATAGACAATATCATTAATTTGCAGTACGTATAACTTTAGCGTAATTTTTAAAAGCCCCGAATGTTGGGAAATTTATGCGCTAATGAAAAAATTCAAATACCAAATCATAGTTGCGCATTTTATCTAAGTTATGTCCAAATTTCATGGAATTCCAAGCAACAGCAGGCAGTCCGTAGTCGTTTTTATGAGCGGTATTCTGACACGGCGTTACGGTACTTAGCAGACGTGGTGCGTACATTTTTTGGCGCGAAAAAGCGCGTTTTGTAACATTCCTAATATGAGTCAATTTATATTCATTAAGTTTTTGAATTGTAACTGGGAGTTGAGGATGATTTATGATTTGACTGGTATTATTTCTTACAGTTTTCAGAAATAAATGAAGGCTAATATAGTCACTGATACCAAGATGAGCTGATATTTTTGAAAGAATTCAGCATTGTCTTCTATTTGTAACACGCTGTGTAAGGGGGTTGAAATATGGTTGGAATTGGAACCCAATGTTTTTACCTGCGATGGTGACATAGTTAACTCTAATAACACTCTAACTAGGGATGCCACTTTCGGATTTACGAATCGGATCGATTCGAATCGCATCTTTTCCGAATCGATTCGAATCAGATTTACGCGATTCGGAAAAGAGAGCGATTTAGCGAAAAAAAAACATTGAACGTTTGTTAAATCGTCGTTTTCGGCGGCTTTAAATCTGCCAGAGTGTGTTTATGCGGCACTCCAAATAACGGGACCGAAAAAAAAATATTGAACGTGTGTTAATCGTTGTTTTCGGCGGTGTTAAAACTACCGAATGCGTTTATGCAGCACTCCAAATAACACCAAATTACGGGACCGAAAGAAAAACATTGAATATTTGTTAATCGTTGTTTTCGGTGGCGTTTAAACTGCCGAATGCGTTTATGCGGCACTCCAAATAGCAACAAATTACGGGACGTAAATAAATGAAAATGAATTTTTCGTGATTGACTTTTTTACTTGTCTGCCGTCATTTGTTTCAAGTTCGACACAACACACTCTTTTACGCATCACTCGAGATGATGTGTGGCGTAATTACCAGCAAACTGCGAGTTCAGTTTTCCACTAAATAGCCGAAGTTTCCATTATGCGCGAATTCAAATGGATCGTATACCTGAAAATTCGTGACAATTTTGATGAAAATTTTCAACAGCACACCTGCGCTGCCACTAAGTTATTGTACGCCCTGGCATGATTGGATAAAGAATCGGCTACCGACGTCTAGATAATGTTTAATTTTGATTGAAATTTAATTTAAACTTTGTTCTGAGAGCAATATTTCGCGTACATTTGAAGAGAACTATTGCTGAATGAGTTCATCGGCCGGCAATGTTAATTTACAATCATGTATCTCATCCTAAAATATATTTTTATTTTGTTTGCGTTTGTCAGGCTTCCACTCGAGTGGCGGTTAACGAAATTAGGGGGACATAATGTAATAGTACATACACGTCTTTTTTCAGCTGTTACCAAAAAAAGTAGTATTTACTTTTAATTTTGTTAGCGCGATACAAGCGGATAAAACATTTCGGATTATTTCGAGCAAATGTCATAACGGACAGGTGGGAGTAAATAATACTTGAGGAATGGCAACTTGTGCACTGTTTTACATCAACACGTGGCAGATTTCATACCAGACCGAGCATACGGTGCGAATGTCGTCTTACTTTAGCCCCAGCGACCATGTTTGATCGAGATAAAGCGTCAACCAATTATCGCTCGTCAGCGCGGCGTCCAATATGCACATTTGGACTATCTGAATTACGAAATTAAACGTAGTCCACATTAATAATGAAGCCCGAGTTAGCCAATAACGCTGTTTGCCACAAATAATACTGTCTCTAATATTTATGGAAATTTTTGTTCGCAATCGTAGTCGGATGAACGATTGTTTTTATCGAAATTAATTTAATTTAATCGTGGTTAATTTTATCGTCTTCAATCATATTCTTGTAAGCATTTCCCATTTATAGTAATTCAGATGCAATTAGAATGTTTTTGTCGTATTACTCTATGCTGCTAGCATAAATATAAAATATTGTACTAAGATTTTGAAGATAAAGAATCGGTAATAAGGCCGTCCCTAATTCAATATAACAAGAAGGGAAATACCACGGTCACATATACTGGTGTGGGACAAGGGAAAGCAGTGCTGTTACTGTGTTTACGACATAACAGTACAACTGTTCCCTGCTTATTTTCTCATATGAATTCCATCAAATTGCCTCAGCCCTGATACAAGTATAACACAATAACTCAGTATTGTAAGACTCACAGATAAGTTGCAACAGCAAGTTTTTCATCAATGCATTTATTAGTGATATCTATGACCTACATCTTTTTTATCATGATGAAAATAAGTGTGGCTTATTCACTGAAAAACCCTCATCACCCTTGCTATATAGCCTATTCCATTTTCAAATTTTTTTCTTCTAGATTTGAGCTTTTTTGTGAGTTTGGCCAAACATACGCATGTAATAAAAAAAAAAAGCTTAATGGAATCAGATTCGGAAAGATTCGATTCGAAAAGTTTTGATTCGAGATTCGATTCGAAAAAAAATGTATCCAGAAGTGGCAACCCTAACTCTAACCATCATTTACCCAACAAATTATCTAGGTCTGATGTCATAAACAAAGTGAAACTTGTTTCCGAAGCAGCGATTAAATTGTCGTCGAACCATTGGCCGATCAATATCGATACTAATTTTCTATCATTGTTTGCAATTTCAAACTGGATCGAGTCTGGCAAATTTGTGAGTATTGCTTTTTACGTTATATGAAGCATGAAACTAACATAATTTATTTATATCCCATGCTTGGCCATTTTATTTTTTTTTTAATACTTTTTTTTTCAGTCGCCACCGCCTTCTCAGATTTTCAAAAATTCAAAATGGTTTCCCGGAGGCAGAAGATTACTTGAATTCATGAGAAGCGATTACATAGAAGAAAAGAATGTATTGAATGACGAGGTAGGACAGTCGTTCCTAAACTTCCTCAATAAATTATGTCTATTCTGGCACTTTTTATTCCTCCCTTCCTATGCATAAAACTATCGTACCTTATTTATTCAATCTTATATGGATCTAGTATTATGCACAAGTCACACTCTCGTTTTGGTAGTTTATTAGGTGTTCATGAATTAATACTATAGTGTTAATAATAAATAATTAAAGAATATTAGTAATTCTGTAGCGAATACAAATCAAAACTCCTCTTCCAAAACGGTGAGATTCCGCCCCCGTTGGAAAACGCAGGGATAGGACAATTTAAATGTTAAAACTCGTTTTCTCAGGTCTTCTTCGGTTACGCGCTTTCAGCGTGCAAGATGCATCGAAAACTTGGAAATTTTGACACATGTACGAAGTTATTTGAGCATATTATAAACAAAACAAAGACTGGAACAGAAAATGGGTATATTTTGCACTTTTTAAACATGTACTTCATATCAGATAGATAGATATTTAATAAATAGATAATTTAATTGTAACTCTGACATGATACAAAAATGACAATTAGAAAATGCAAATTTAGGAATTTATATGATAACTTATCTTATTTACCTAATAAATAAGTATATTCATAACCAGATAGTTTTAATTTTTGGATTGACGTCTTTTGCAATATATCATAAAATATTCAAATTTATTCAATGAAAACTTGATCTCAATTAGGGATGTCACTTTTGGATCGAATTTCGAATCAAAAATTTCTGAATCGAACCTTACCGAACTTGAATCCGTTAAGTTTCGAATCAATTCAATCCAATAATGTGGCCTTCAAATAACATTTTTTTGGGGCCTTGAACGACTTTAATGCATAAAACAAAAGTTGCTCACAAATTTATCAGTATCTGCTTATGGATATATGTCGTAACAACGGCTGTGGTACGGTGTTTGCTTCGTCGTGCCTATATCAAGAATGTGTTGTTAGAAATTGTTTGCACCAAGATGGTCCTTACCTTTTCAGAAATGTAGAATTCAAAGATTTAAATACTGTTGTCGAGATGTGTAAAAATTTGAAAAGCAGTTCTACAACAACTTCGCATATTTGGGACATTCAATTTGAATTGTCGAAAGAACTTATCGCAGTTGGAAATAAGATTCCCGGCATTTGTTTAATGGCTGATACACTTTTGGAATGCTTGCATGATGGTAAGGGTTCTGGTACAAAACTAATTTGTGGAGAATATGTTGCCTAATACATTTTAATCGCATTTTTATTATAGGATCCGCACACCCTCAAACAATTATTCTCAGTCATTCTGTTTGATGGCTCTAGCGTCTAAATGGCTGGGCAGATCTGAAATTTCTCATTTGGTTTATCATATCACGCTGGTAATGTGCATTCCACCGAAAGTTCGGATTGATGTTTCATTTTCGTGGAAGATTAAAAACGCTCTGGTTGTTAGAAAATTTCCAGTTTCATCACAATTTATCACCATTTTCTCTTTAACTTAGCCATAATTAATGTTCTGAGAATGCTACCCTCGGTCTTTTATCTCGGTAGTCCATGAATTGGGAAAGCCTTGGAAATTTTAGTGAAGATGTTTCGATTTTTAGTTACAGCTTACCTCGCAAGGATACTCATGAGACCCGCAGCGCTCAAAATGTTCTGACAGTCTCGGTACAATAGCACCACATTTCTCCCATTTATAATAACCCTGAACGAACACGGGTTTCAAGTATAGATAGAGATCCATTCTGGGTGCTTGCTAGCTTGTAATAATTTATCTAGAATATGTTTTTATTAAATAATCATTTTTTTTATCATCAGCTCAAAGTGGAGTGAAATGCGCTCGCATTCTTTTATCTTTCGTTAAATCTTTGCAATCTGAGTGGAAATCTGTCAGTCCTACTTTACAACAGTTCATCAGGTAAATTTAAATAAAATGTACAGTTATTTCAGTGGTTTACTACGACCTTGTTTTGGGAATATTCTTCATTCAAGGAAAGCACATGGAGACCAAAAATATTATACTTTATTACTCTTTTCCCAGCAAGTCTTGAAGGTCTAAAAATTGTCTCAAGCTATGAACAATTGTTGTCTCATACAGAAAAATGCTTTTTTTACATTTCAAAAGGAGCGGGGCTTCGACCCGACCCTCACCCTTCCTGGCTATGCTCCTGAACAATATACACAAAAATCTGTTGGCCTTCATCAAAAATAAGAGATTCCTTGTTAAACCCCTTTTGCAAATCTCATCAGAACCAGTAAGGGCAGGTTAGAACCAGATTTGAGCGATTGTCTCACAACAATAACAACAACAATTTTGTCTTATGATCCATACTCCCCACTACATGTCCGAAAATTTATTGTTATATAACGTTCTACGTCAAGATTTTCCGCAATACTTTTTTTAGTTCATCTGACACTGAATCAACGAATGAACTCATCAGCAAATTCCAATTACTGGTAAATCATGAAAAACTTAATCCATGGTTCAAAAGTTTATCATCAAATGAACAACTAATATCTGAAGGTATGTTGATTTTGTTTTGTTTACTACTTGCCAAAACCTATTTTATGTTAAAACCGATTTTTGTTATTGCTTCCTAATCGGCCATTATTTTTACAATTTTGGTAATAATATACTGAGCTTCACTCTCATTATTTCTAATAGCAAATGCTGAAATACTTCTTGGAACTTTGGTGAACGCCGCAACAATTCAGAATCCTGATCTCGCCAAAGCATGGTTTCATTCAGCGGGATGGTGTTATAAATGGGGAAGAAAAATTGTTGATACTGCCAGGTTGGGAGACATTTTTCTACTTGAGTAGGATAGGATTTACATATTTATTCTGGGGGAGAGGAAAGCCGATAAGACGGCTTAATCATATGGCGAACCACGGCCTCTCGTCCGGTTACCAGTCCAGGTCGGGTATGGGATTAGTTAGCCAGTTATTTGTTTTCGAAAGCATGGACTTGATGGTGGAGGAATCCATAACCGAACAGCGGTTACGTGAACCACCCTACGGCTGCAAGGAGTCCAGCAATCCTCTCGCACATGATCATCCCCGCATGGGATTGGAACCTGCGATCCCACGAAGGGTAATCAGAGATGCGGTGGTGAGCGTATTCCTAATGCTTAGCACGATGCGCCACACCGTCGAGCCGGGTATATATAGTATAGTCTTACATACGCACTCAGAAGTAAAGCAGACTCATTTCTTAGCGAAGTTACTAGTAATCATTGAAATCCTATCTGAAATCTGTTAAAATCTTGAGAATATGATGTCCTGTCGTCTGGCTTCAGTAGTCGGCAAACTTTATGTACTACTGGGCCAAAATTCACATTGATGTTAGTTGGTGGGCGGCATTTGTTTACACTCATGAACAATTGCCACATTAAACTTCAAAATAATCGCAAACCAGTGACTCCTATTGTTGTGGTAATTACAACTATAATTACCTAACGATCTTGATCGGTAAGTATGTTGATCTTGATAGGTATTTGTCTGTTTGCTTGTTTGTCTGTTAGACACTTCCTATATTACGCAATATCTCACGAATGCAAGGTTGAATCTGCTCCAAATTTTGCATGTTCATTCATCTTATCTCGGACCAGAAGTCTATTGATTTTGGATGAATTATGTCGTATAATTAGCGAGTTATTAATTAATTATTTAATAATTTTCTTTTTTTGTGTTTTTTTTCCTTTCTTTTTTTTGCGTTTGATCGATAAGTCTTTGGTCTCCGACCGATATTTTCGTTTTTGTTTTTGTGCATTAAAAGTGAGATCGTTATAGGGACAAAAAAAATTTGTTCACTGAACTTTGGCTCATGGGCCTCAGTTTGCTGATCACTGGGCTAAATGGTATAAGAGCCGTAACTCTTTAAGTCGGGGCTGTGGTAGTCAGGAATGACATATGCAAAAATGTTTGTGCCATGCCAACTAGATGTACTTACGCCTTCAATGAACATGCGTCCTCAAGTCAGTATTCAATTTAAATGAATCACCCAGTGTGTGTCCGCATGGAGTCAATGCTTTTACACATAATAATTTTCTAGAAAATTTGAACAAAAGACCACGCATTTTAACGAAATTAGCCAATATTCAAGCTGGTTGGGACAGTAACCAAATTTAAATTTTAATTTCATCTTGAGTGTTTTTCTATGGATTTAGATAATCATCTTCATTATTTTACCCTTGAATTAGCCTTCCAAGAAGTTCCAGGTAATAAAAGGGCTATTCATATGTTTTCAGTAATTCTGGCAATGTGGAACTGACAGAGGAAGAAAAACAGCAAGTAAAACAGATATTAGAAGCTCATGATTGTGACGAAGAAAAATTGAAACAAATTTATGAAATTCTAGGACAAGCTCATTGGACTATCGCTAATCAACAGGTAATATTTATGTTGTTATTGTTGTAAACTGCATGTCTATGGAAGGTTATTCATGGAAGTGGGTGGAACTAGGCATTTTGAATCGAATAGTAAATTATTTGAAACGGTTCAGACAAAATCTCGAATTGCCACCATCTTGTTTTGTCGACTCGTCCGCCATAGATAAATTCCTCATTTTTTCATTGTAGCCTTTTTTCTTATTGTCTGTGAACACTCAGCGAACTGTCTGCGTGATAGATTTATGTTTCAGTCAATATATGTCTGGAAAACCCATTACAATAAAATATCACATACAACTAGAGCTGCGTGCAGCTTTAACAGGCTTCCCGCGTAAAAAAAAACTGAAGAAGCGTTTTGCTCACTGGAGCGTGAAAGCGTGGTCAGTCATGCATAAAATTTGCAATTTATGATGGGGGACTTATTATCTGCATGTGATGTAAATTTCAAGTCTCTAAGTAGTGTCGTTCTCGAGAAGAAGATGAAAATGTAAAATCCTAGATTGCTCACTGGAGCGTATCGCCGAGGTCACTCATGCGTATCCTTGACATATCGTATCCGGAACATGTCCATTAATCATTGTTATGAATTTCAACCCAATAGCATGTATCAATTTTGATAAATCGCAAAAAATCTGAAGACGCGTTTTGCTCATTGGAGCGTGAAAGCGTGGTCACTCATGCATAAAATTTGCAATTTATGATGGGGGACTTATTATCTGCATGGGATGTAAATTTCAAGTCTCTAAGTAGTGTCGTTCTCGAGAAGAAGATGAAAATGTAAAATCCTATATTGCTCACTGGAGCGTATCGCCGAGGTCACTCATGCGTATCCTTAACATATCGTATCCGGAACTTGTCCATTAATCATTGTTATGAATTTCAACCCAATAGCATGTATCAATTTTGAGAAATCGCTAAAAAACTGAAAACGCGTTTTGCTCACTGGAGCGTGAAAGCGTGGTCAGTCATGCATAAAATTTGCATTTTATTGCTAGCTGAGAACTTCTGCACATTTGAGGTGAATTTCAAGTTTGTAGGACCAATTTGAAAAAAAAATAATAAAAATAAATAATAATAAATAAATAATAATAATAATAACTAGAGCTGCGTGCAGCTTTAACAGGCTTCCCGCGTAAAAAAAAGCTGAAGACGCGTTTTGCTCACTGGAGCGTGAAAGCGTGGTCAGTCATGCATAAAATTTGCAGTTTATGATGGGGGATTCATTATCTGCATGTGATGTAAATTTCAAGTCTCTAAGTAGTGTCGTTCTGGAGAAGAAGATGAAAATGTAAAATCCTATATTGCTCACTGGAGCGTATCGCCGAGGTCACTCATGCGTATCCTTGACATATCGTATCCGGAACATGTCCATTAATCATTGTTATGAATTTCAACCCAATAGCATGTATCAATTTTGAGAAATCGCAAAAAAACTGAAAACGCGTTTTGTTCACTGGAGCGTGAAAGCGTGGTCAGTCATGCATAAAATTTGCAGTTTATGATGGGCGACTTATTATCTGCGTGTGATGTAAATTTCAAGTCTCTAAGTAGTGTCGTTCTGGAGAAGAAGATGAAAATGTAAAATCCTATAATGCTCACTGGAGCGTATCGCCGAGGTCACTCATGCGTATCCTTGACATATCGTATCCGGAACATGTCCATTAATCATTGTTATGAATTGCAACCCAATACCATGTATCAATTTTGAGAAATCGCAAAAAAACTGAAAACGCGTTTTGCTCACTGGAGCGTGAAAGCGTGGTCAGTCATGCATAAAATTTGCATTTTATTGTTAGTTGAGAACTTCTGCACATTTGAGGTGAATTTCAAGTCTGTAGGACCAATTTGAAAAAAAAATAATAAAAATAAATAATAATAATAATAAATAAATAAATAATAATAATAATAATAATAAAACACAGGAATACAATAGGTTCCCTGCTGACAAGCAGCGGGAAGCCTAACTAGAGCTGCGTGCAGCTTTAACAGGCTTCCCGCGTAAAAAAAACTGAAGACGCGTTTTGCTCACTGGAGCGTGAACGCGTGGTCAGTCATGCATAAAATTTGCAATTTATGATGGGGGACTTATTATCTGCATGTGATGTAAATTTCAAGTCTCTAAGTAGTGTCGTTGTCGAGAAGAAGATGAAAATGTAAAATCCTATATTGCTCACTGGAGCGTATCGCCGAGGTCACTCATGCGTATCCTTGACATATCGTATCCGGAACATGTCCATTAATCATTGTTATGAATTTCAACCCAATAGCATGTATCAATTCTGAGAAATCGCAAAAAAACTGAAGACGCGTTTTGCTCACTGGAGCGTGAAAGCCTGGTCAGTCATGCATAAATTTTGCAATTTATGATGGGGGACTTATTATCTGCATGTGATATAAATTTCAAGTCTCTAAGTAGTGTCGTTCTCGAGAAGAAGATGAAAATGTAAAATCCTATATTGCTCACTGGAGCGTATAGCCGAGGTCACTCATGCGTATCCTTGACATATCGTATCCGGAACCTGTCCATCAATCATTGTTATGAATTTCAACCCAATAGCATGTATCAATTTTGAGAAATCGCAAAAAAACTGAAAACGTGTTTTGCTCACTGGAGAGTGAAAGCGTGGTCAGTCATGCATAAAATTTGCAAATTATGATGGGGGACTTATTGTCTGCATGTGATGTAAATTTCAAGTCTCTAAGTATTGTCGTTCTCGAGAAGAAGATGAAAATGTAAAATCCTATATTGCTCACTGGAGCGTATCGCCCAGGTCACTCATGCGTATCCTTGACATATTGTATCCGTAACATGTCCATTAATCATTGTTATGAATTTCAACCTAATAGCATGTATCAATTTTGAGAAATCGCAAAAAAACTGAAGACGCGTTTTGCTCACTGGAGCGTGGAAGCGTGGTCAGTCATGCATAAAATTTGCAATTTATGATGGGGGACTTATTATCTGCATGTGATTCAAATTTCAAGTCTCTAAGTGGTTGCGTTCTCAAGAAAAAGATGAAAATGTGAAATCCTATATTGCTCACTGGAGCGTATTGCCGAGGTCACTCATGCGTATCCTTGACATATCCTATCCGGAACATGTCCATTAATCAATGTTATGAATTTCAACCCAATAGCATGTATCAATTTTGAGAAATCGCAAAAAAACTGAAAACGCGTTTTGCTCACTGGAGCGTGAAAGCGTGGTCAGTCATGCATAAAATTTGCAAATTATGATTGTGGACTTATTGTCTGCATGTGATGTAAATTTCAAGTCTCTAAGTAGTGTCGTTCTCGAGAAGAAGATGAAAATGTAAAATCCTATATAGCTCACTGGAGCGTATCGCCGAGGTCACTCATGCGTATCCTTGACATATTGTATCCGGAACATGTCCATTAATCATTGTTATGAATTTCAACCCAATACCATGTATCAATTTTGAGAAATCGTAAAAAAACTGAATACGCGTTTTGCTCACTTGAGCGTGAAAGCGTGGTCAGTCATGCATAAAATTTGCATTTTATTGCTAGATGAGAACTTCTGCACATTTGAGGTGAATTTCAGGTTTGTAGGACCAATTTGAAAAAAAAATAATAATAATAATAAATAATAACTAGAGCTGCGTGCAGCTTTAACAGGCTTCCCGCGTAAAAAAAAACGGAAGATACGTTTTGCTCACTGGAGCGTGAAAACGTGGTCAGTCATGCATGAAATTTGCAATTTATGATGGGGGACTTATTATCTGCATGTGATTCAAATTTCAAGTCTCTAAGTACCGGTAGTGTCGTTCTTGAGAAGAAGATGAAAATGTAAAATCCTATATTGCTCACTGGAGCGTATCGCCGAGGTCACTCATGCGTATCCTTGACATATCGTATCCGGAACATGTCCATTAATCATTGTTATGAATTTCAACCCAATGGCATGTTTCAATTTTGAGAAATCGCAGAAAAACTGAAAACGCGTTTTGCTCACTGGAGCGTGAAAGCGTGATCAGTCATGCATAAAATTTGCAATTTATGATGGGGGATTTATTATCTGCATGTGATGTAAGTTTCAAGTCTCTAAGTAGTGTCGTTCTCGAGAAGAAGATGAAAATGTAAAATCCTATATTGCTCACTGGAGCGTATCGCCGAGGTCACTCATGCGTATCCTTGACATATTGTATCCGGAACATGTCCATTAATCATTGTTATGAATTGCAACCCAATAGCATGTATCAATTTCGAGAAATCGCAAAAAAACTGAAGACGCGTTTTGCTCAATGGAGCGTGAAAGCGTGGTCACTCATGCATAAAATTTGCATTTTATTGCTAGCTGAGAACTTCTGCACATTTGAGGTGAATTTCAAGTTTGTAGGACCAATTTGAAAAAAAAATAAATAAATAAATAAATAATAATAATAATAATAATAATAATAAAACACAGGAATACAATAGGTTCCCTGCTGACAAGCAGCGGGAAGCCTAATAAAACACAGGAATACAATAGGTTCCCTGCTGACAAGCAGCGGGAAGCCTAATTACATATCTTCCAGGTATTCGAGATTTGATTCGAAGAATTATTCCATTCAATTCCATTTTTTGTTGGTATTTCAGGATGATGACATATTAGCGCAACAAGAAGATGCCAGAAATGACAATTCGGAAATTGTTAAAAAACAATTACAAACGTGTTGCAATAATTGGTTACAGCAAGTACCGGAACAAGCAATTGATTTGCTATTAAATGTTTGGCAGAAAGTATGCGCCAGGCCATTCACATTATACCATGTTGCTGCCGATGGATATTTCAAATTTCTACGATTAAATTTGACACAACAGGTATGTGGCAAAGTTATCTGTATGAATCTTTACTCAAACAGGTTGCAAAACGCTTTTTGAATTGGGCAGAAACTCAGGCAGAAGTAAATCCACATATCTTGTTCTTGTGCTTTGAATTTTTATATTTGTAATTTGTACATTCGCAGGCAAAAATATTGCATGAAGACAGTACAGTGACAACAACATTACGATTGCTTCGTCTTCTTGCTAAACATGCGTTAGAATTGCAGGCCACATTAGAAAATGGATTGAAAGAAACACCAACAACTCCATGGAATGGTAAGTACCATCAAGTTCATCTGAAACAAATAATTGGTTATCTATTCCCATACCAGACTTGTACTGGTAATCAGGGTCCATGAGAGGGTTACGACTTACATTAAATCATTGAAAGAATTATGACAATGGAAGGGTTGGAATGCACTCTTATAAGAAGAGTATAAACAGTATTTTGAGAAATTTATTGTTTCCTAATAATATATTACTCTTTTACATCTATATTCAGGAATCATTCCGCAATTGTTCTCGCGTTTAAATCATCCTGAAGTATACGTACGACAGAGCATATCGGATCTTCTATGTAGAATTGCGAAGAATGCAGCTCATCTGGTTGTTTATCCTGTTGTCGTAGCAACTACACACGCAGATAACAAATCTCGTAACCTACTACGATCTACTCAGTTAGATGAAGATGGGAATCAACTGGTAATTCTTTCAGTATTATATTCTTCAAATGCTTTTTTATTTGAACGAATGTTACCTTTTCACAGCTTCAGTTCATGAAAAAAAAGAATCTTGATTTTTTCATATAATCCATTCATTTTGCAGCCAAGGATCATGTTAGGATACGATTTTACGTATATTTTGGGGGGAGATGAAAGCCGATAAGACGACTTAATCATGTGTCTCTCGTCCGGTTGCCAGTCTATGTCGAGCATGGGATTACCGATAGTTAGTTTTTTGTTACAGATGAATGAACTTCCTCCATCATCAGATCCATGCATCTGAAACAAATAACTGGCTAACTAACCCCATATCAGAACGAGAGGCCATATTTCATCATATGGATAAATATGTTTATCCTGTATTCTGACTGTAAAGGTTTTATTAAGTGATTGTTTCAAAATTAAAAATATTCTGTAACATTCCATCTGGCCAAATTATTTATTATGTGGTTACTTCATATTTAGGATGGAGAAGAAGATGGAAGCGGTATTCAATTCGATTCTGGTCTCAAATCAGATATTGCCAGTAAGTTTCAAAAAATATTGATGACTTTGAGTACAAATTTAATGTTTTGCATAATTTGCTATTGACTAGGTAAATTTAAATACGGTTCCTGATTAGTTGTCAGAATATTCAGACACAAGTAATATTATAATCAATTGTTGCCCAAAATGAAATAGTTTTCGCCCGTAATGTAAGACGTAAAATAAAATTTAACGATAAATGTTTCCCTGAGTCTTAGTCCCAGAAAAATTCCAACTTTACAATCACAAAATTTTCAGTGCATTTTTTGAGACTGCTTTGGGAGTTGAAAGACAAAATAACCCATGGGTTGTTTCAGTTATACATTAATTTCGAAAACAACCAATAACTGAAATCCATGAAAATGAGCTAATGTTAACAACCATGCCTGAAAATCTGTCCGAGAGTAAAAGTGTCTAAGTGTCCGCTAAAATTTCAATTGTTGAGTCACCATTGACATTTTGCTAATTGATCATTGTTACAGAAATAAACAAGGGTGATGCTCTGGGAAATATCCATATTGACAGAAAAAACACAAATTTCTATATATTACATAAAATTTTCTCATTTCGTAGGCCAACCGAGTGCAATTGAGATTCACGCTGAAGGTTATGTGAATGCTTGCTATCAGAATGTGTTAGAAGCTTTGAAATCACAAAACGAAGGAATGGTTCGAGACGTCAGATTATTAGTTTGGGAATTGTGCAGAATCACTTTATTATGGGATGAATTATGGCTCGGTACATTGAATCAACATCATCAAGATATCATGAGGTCAGTTGATTCTGTTTTTGCATTTTTTTGTCATTTGAAGTTAAATTCTATGTCACAGTGATTCAGATTTTATATTAAACATGAAGTTTTTTATATGTTTTTTACAACACACCAGTCATTTAAAACCCGAGTAATGAGGGGAGTCATAATAAGTCATTCTTAGTCTTAGAGTTGGGCGAGTCGAAGTCCAAAGTCGAGTCGTTATTTGAGTTGAGTCCCAATGGTGTTTTGTTGAGCAGGTCTCAAAGTCATTTTGTTTTGAGTTTTGGATAAGATATGACTTGAGTCAATAACTCAAGCCTCCCCGACATTGCAAATTTTCACAATTCAATTTAAAAATTGATGAGAAATTATACAGATGCAAGCTTTGTCTATTGGTCAGCCTACTGTTATATGTTGTATGGTTGTTCTATACTGTGTCTAGTTTCCTAATTTTTTATTTTCTGTAAGATGAGCATGCTGGCTTGGACCTGAACATGTAGACATTGCAGGTTGAAGATCATGGATTAAAATTCCATCCTATCTTACCCGAGGGTGTGTTAGATTGTCTGCAGCAATGCTAAATCCAAAAAAAATTCAGTACTCTCTTAAACACTGGTCTCTTAGTGTCAGTGGCTGTTGGTTCAGGTCTTTGTTTCGATTGAAAGTGTGAAATGTCTATTTTAGAGAATTTATATATACTTGTTAAAAAATATACTTTTTTCAGGCGATTGCATCAACTTCATGATGAAGCAAAGAGAGTTAACTCAAATCATTCTCTATCGAAGTGAGTTGTTTGGTATTAACAAGGTCTGTGAAATCACAGATAGTCCCATCTGAATTCTTTTTCAGAATATTTAACTTGTCCTCCAGTACAACAATCAGTTAAATAAGTAAAACCTTAGCAATCCAATCATTCATGGACAAATATTTTACTCATCTGAATACATTTTGAAATAACATTTTCGAATATAGAATATCAAATATATCCTGAATTAATTTGCATGTTCATCAAGAAAATTTCAATATAGTTTTGTAAATTGATTATTTACACTATGGAGTTCTTAGGAAATTTTTATTTATTTTTTGTTTCATTCAAAATCTTCAAGACCAAAGCTCTACTCTCTTTTATATTTCCAACATATGGTATTTTTTGTATTATTCAAGGGATGAAAAGAACGCAATTCTAAAAGAACAACAGCAAGCAGTGATGCGGCCTATCGTTTATGCATTACGTCGAGTGCAAAGAATCACGAACGCTGCTCCGGAAACTCCACACGAACAATGGTTTGCGGAAAACATGCAGCCAATCATTGACCAAGCAATGACGAGATTGACTGATCCTCCGAATCCACAGAATCCAAATTCTTGTTGGTCAGGATTTAAACAGGTTTGTTTGAAATGCTGTTTGATAAGCAAAAGGGGTTGGTTAGTTGTTAAAGCGTTAGACCTTATCATGATAACATTACTTTTTATTGTAAAGAGTCCTCCAGACGCATAAATTACTGAAAACACAGAATCCAATTCTCAGTCAGTTTGCTGATTTGTCACACATAATAAGAAGCATGTTTCATCAATAACTTACAAGAAAGAAAAGAGTCAAATGTCAGAATTGCCCTACGAATAAGGGGTTTCAATAAGATTAATTGCCAGATTCACTTCAACCTTCGACAGATAAAAAAAAAACAAGATTGCAGTGATTCACAATTTTCTTCTGAACTAATTCGGAAAAAATTCTATTCGATTAAATTCGAAAATTGGTTTCGAAACGTCCAGCCCTGATATTGACGACTATATCAGAATGGACTCGCCTTGCTGTCCACATAGATTAGAAGTCAGATAATAACTTAATCTAGTCAAAATAATCAACGTTAACATTTTTCCCATTTTTAGCTTCACTTCCAATTGAGCACTAGAGCAAGCAAACGAACATCACAAATTCTTAATCTTGGTCAAATTAGTCCGAAGTTGATGGGCCTTAATGCAACAAGTATGCCCATTCCAGGTAATGTAATTAGAATACGGCAATAATATTGATTTTGGGGCTCGTAGTACATTGAATGAAATTTTTACTGTGAATTTTGTATCAATTTTTTCAATGCAAATATGCTAGTTACTATTACGGTAGTATACGTGGGTTTAAATATGAGGGAGGTTATATCTTTTGAAATATGTAAATCAGGAATGAATGCTTTAAAATAATTTCTTGTTTCAAGATAAATCCCTTGGCCATTTTTTAAAATTTTTATAAATTATTCTTCATCATTTCAGATAAACATCGAAAATATGGTCATAACTAAATTTCATGGTATACAGTGGCCATTTCCAGGTTTTTAGGAGAACCACCAATCGTACAGGCGATTTTCGTAATATATTGCACACCTTTCGTGCAAGTGGTCAAAATACTTTCCAAGTTTGAATCAAAGATTCAAATAACAATTACCATGGCATCTCCATATTATCAATTTAGAATGTCTCTTCCAAAACAGGGTTGGAGTACTGTCATACTTGGAGTACGTTAGAATTTAGGATTTGATCATAGCTCAAGAAAAAAGTTGAAAAGCCTTGTAAAAACGTTCTATGTTGTTTATTCATGGGATTGTGGTACAGGTTTTTTAGATTATAACAATATGTTTAGATGAAATATGGGAATAGCAACTCAGTTTTGTTCTTTTACAGGTGTCTCCATTGGCGGAAACCAAGTAACGATTCAAGGATGTAGTAGTGTTGTTTCAATTCTGCCGACAAAAACTAAACCGAAAAAACTGCAATTTATTGGATCAAACTGTCAAAGATTCACATTTTTATTCAAGGTGATTAAGAAAATTTTAATGAATTTGTCTCCATTCATATCTGTTGTCAATCAAATGGTCCCTTTATACAACTTGAACACCAAAATTTCGACTCCTGACTACAGGGAATTCTAAATTCCAACACAAACTGCACAGCCACTTACTGCCCATACTGTTTGTTTACTTTGTTTCTTATGTTTTAGTTCAAGTAATATCGCCTAAAATGGTCAGCAAAAGTGACTATTAATACTTTACTATGTTGGGTTACCACTCATGACAAAAATTGCAAAAAATTTACTCAATTTACCATTCATATTTAAAGGGTTTGGAGGATCTTCATCTTGATGAACGTATCATGCAATTCTTGTTTATTGCTAATCAATTGTTGAGAAGACAACATAAATCCTCTGGATATGCAGCAAGACATTACTCCGTTACCCCTCTCGGTTCCAGATCAGGTCTTATTCAATGGGTTGATGGAGCAACTCCGCTATTCACTTTGTACAAGAAATGGCAACAACGACAAGCCTTACAAGCAGTAAGTGTAATACTTGTGTAACAGGTTGTGTAGCATCTATCTCAAAACCCATGTTGGGAAAGCTCAGTCATTCTTCGAGTTCTATGTCAGGTCTTATTTAGTGCGTTGTTTGAGCGACTCCAATCTTTACTTCACAAGAAATGGCAAAATAGACACACCTTAGAAGCAGTACAGAGTGGGTTGCTTGTCTAACAGGTTGCGTGACACTTAGTTTAAAAACATAATTTGCAATACCCCTGTGCTAGGTTCTAGATCAGGTCTTATTGAGTGTTTTGACGGAGCGACTTCATCGTTTCCTTTGTACAAAAACGGCAAAAAAGACAGCCTCACAAGCAGTACTAAATGCGATGCTTGTTTAACAGGTTGTGTGACCTTTATTTTAAAAGATAATTTGCAAGACCCCTGTGACCCCACTTGGTTCCGGATCAAGTCTTATTCCGTGAGTTTACAAAGCGACTCCACTATTTACTTTGCACAAGAAATGACAATGAAGAAATGTATTATATACAGGATGATTCATATTTTGCCTAATATATATTTTCATACTTGTATTTACCTATTCATTCAGGCTGCTCAATCAGAATCAGGAATAGCGAAACCAATATTACGACCAAGTGTTGTTTATTATAATAAACTAAATCCTGCACTGAAAAAAGGTGGCGTCGACATCGACAAAGTTAGAAGAAAGGTATGGAAACTGGATTTTAGCGAACTCAACTTAAAATCATGATTAACAATGTTGATTTATTACTTATCGATTTTAATCGGTAAGTATGTTGATAGGTATTTGTATGTCTGTATGTTTGTCTGTTAGATGCACGCGATATCTCACGAAGGCAAGATTGAATCTGCTCCAGATTTTGCATGTGCATTCATCTTTTCTCGAACAAGAATCCTATTGATTTTGGGCAAATTATGCCGTATAATTAGCGAGTTATCAATCAATTATTGATATAGTGATCTAGATTTTTGTAAAGCGAGAGAATTTTGAGATCCGCCGAGTGTGTGTGTGCGATGCGCAGTGCGCAAGTTACAAGAGCGGATGAATCGAAACTGCAGTTTCTGTTTTGGGGGATCCCCTAACTATCGATCGATAAGTCTTCGTTTCCCAACCAATATTCTTGTTTTGGTTTTGCTCCATAAGCAGTTCTCACACGTATAAGTATATTATGTAATTGATTAGCAAAAGAATATTGTGAAAGTGAATGCTGAAATATCGAATTTCTGCCGTTGTTTGCCAATTCTTGTGTTAGACTACGGGGATTTTAATTCTAAAATGTAGTTACAAGTAAAAAAATGTTAGGTTTTTGAGAAATAAGTTTTTCTGAGTTTTCGTTTTGCTATGCAGGATTGGCCGAACAACATTATGAGAGATGTTCTCAATGAATTGATATCAGACACTCCACCTGATCTTTTGCAAAGAGAACTTTGGTGTACATCAACTAGTGCAACTAAACTATGGGACGTTCAACAGGTATGCGAAAGTTAGATAGAATATACATGGGAATATACATGGTTCATATGTATGAGTTATTGATATTTATCAGCGAATGTGTTAAAATTGAATTGGTTTTTAGACTCCAATGCCAGTATAGTCGCTCAACTCACTCACTGGACAATCATGCTCACATTTAAATCGTTTTTATGCTATAGATGGGTCACAATCTTTTGAATGTCGCTGATCGAATATTTTTCAAAAATTTACGCTGTTTAGTGAGTGTCATTTTCGCTTGTTGCGGGAAAGTTGGTGTTTTACTAACACAGTATAAAGTAACGAAATTTAGCGGCGACTTTGCTTCCCCAGTAAACTGTGTGGTTTCTTTTTTCTCATAATTTGTGTACGATATCGTTTTTATTTGTTAGAAAAATAAATACTTGACTCTTGACATTTTCTCTACTCTGGCCAATTTTGATAAAAGGAAATTGTTAACTTTGCACCTGCAGTTGTATCACACTAACCTCATACATAAACTATATATATTCTGTTCCTATAATACCATATCTTTTTTCCAGAAATATTCTTGCTCAACAGCGGTCATGTCGATGATTGGATATGTAATAGGTCTGGGTGATAGACATTTGGACAACGTTCTAATTGATCTTGAGAGTGGTGAAGTATGGCTCAACCTTTTTTGTGTTATATTTTTTCTATTTCGAAAAAATATATGATGATAATATATTTTGCTTCAAAATATCAGAATACTTATCAAAATATAGCTCTAATAATAATAATATAGCTCTAACCTTAATTGTGTCGAGAATAACAAATTTCCAAAATGTAGAAATTACGAATGTTATACAACTTCTATTCTGTGGAGTTTGATGATTTATATTAACCAGTTATATGCCTTACATGTTTTTTTTCATTGCAGGTCGTCCATATTGATTATAATGTGTGCTTTGATAAAGGTACTCAACTTCGAGTGCCTGAAAAGGTGCCATTTAGACTCACTCAAAATGTCAAATGTGCACTCGGACTTACTTCAGTTGAGGGAGTGTTTAGATATGTTTGTGAGCAGGTTCGTACTTTGATTTAAATGAAGTTTGAGTTGAAATATAGGTACTCCCATAGTGTGTGTACCAGGTTAGGCGTAGGCCATAATTTTATTCTGATTTTCCTTACTTTAGTTCTATTACGAGTTCGGGGACTGTCTGTGTTAGCCAAGTGAGTATACGCCTGCCTATATGCTTCAGTCTCTTTACACAATTTGATGTAAAGTAGGCAAACGAAATTAGTTACCTCCATATTGGTACACATACTTCTGGAGCCCCGACATGTGAATTGTTCATATTACAAAATTAGTACAGTTTTTTTATTTTTGTAAATTCTTTTCATCATTTTGAAATGTCTTGGTTTTGGGAAAATGTTTGATACATTTTTACATTACAATATTCGTACAATTTTTGTCTCGAAATTCAGTGCTTTTTCCTCTTGAAGGTGATTTCAACATTACGCAAAGGAAGAGAAACATTGTTAACATTGCTCGAAGCATTTGTGTATGATCCACTTGTAGATTGGACAGGTGGGTTGAAAAACATTTTATGAGCTGTGTTTTCTTATAATTATTGTTGAGTCTAAAGATTTTAATGGAGGCGGTGTCATATTTTTTAACTCTTTCGAGTTTGTAGTCAAACTCAAGTAGTTGTAGTCAAGTTTGGAAATTCCTATTCCCTTGGGTTGAAATTTCAAAGATCAGTCAATGAAGATCAGTTTGTCTACAGAAAATGAAAACCATTAGGTGTACTAAGCAAACTTTCAATTAAGGATTGCATATGTAACAGTATTTTTTTTCAAAATTTAACTCGCTCTGAGCTCGATTTGAAATCAAAATTTCTTAGTCTGAGTTCAAGTCAATTGTAGATTATCCCCAACTCAACAGCCCTGCCTTGTGCCCCACTGTTAAATGAACGATGAGGTTTTAGGAATCTGTAAAACGACAATTCAGACTTATTTTATAGGAACTATTGAAGGAGGTTACGCTGGAGCTGTTTATGGAGGAGGTGGACAGGGTGACGCTATGCCGATGACCAAATTAACAAGACATGATATGGAACGGGAAATATCGAAAAGTTTGTTTTCATCTCGGATTGCTGAGATGAAGCAGGTTTGAAATGTTTCTCTCGGGCCGCATTCATGGTTCATCATATCTAACCAAAAGAATATTTATTTATTCCAGAATTTAAAATGTTCATATAGAATGATATTATGAATGAAAAAAAAATAATAAAAATCAGTTCAAAAAATTAACTAGATATATATATATATTTATATCTATTTTTGACTATCAATATTTATTTCTGTTTATAAAGAAATTGACATTATTTTAAAATTGGAATTAACACACTGAATACTTTCAAATTTTCTACGGGACCCGACATGAGACACATGTTTCTTCACTCATATATTCAACCCTTGTTTTGCCTTAACTAACCGAGTTTTTTTGTTCATTTATCGCAGGGTTGGCTTGAAAATCGAGATGAGATGGAAAAAGCTCTTTCAAACAGTGTTGATGAATTACAAAGATATAAGAAACATTTTGCGGCTCATGGTGACATAAATGAAAAAATTAAAGTAATGAAAAATACATTTTTTTGCTTTTTTTCACAATATTTTTTTTATTTTCTTTGCTCTATCTACTCGTTAGCGGACACTGATGTTCCTAAATAGAAAAATCATTTAAAACTCACAAAAAAGTTGCCAAATTAAGGGGTCGGCTTATATGCACATAACTCAAATGATCGCTTGTGTGCTTTCGCTATGATAGGATTTTGAGACACTTCTTACGGTTATTAATAAAAGTAAAACATAACAATAATAGTTACCATTTCCATTAATTCTATTTTGCAACCATTTGCTGCGATAGGTGAGTACGGCGTGTTATGCTTTGTAGGGTCAGCTTATATTCGAGGATATACGGTACTTACTTTGTGCTGACCAGGAATAAAGATATTTAGTTCCAAGCAGGGATAGCCTCAATTGAATAATTCATTTTTCGGAAATATTCTGAATATTATTTTTAAAAATGAAGTGGCAACACAAAAATTTATCAATTTTTTAGAATCTACTAGAAATGAAAGTACAAGTCAAAACAGCGTCGACAAATGCACAACATCCACTGCGTAGTCTCAAACAAAGATGGTCACAACATGAAATACAACAATCGAAAAAGGAATCAGCTTTGAAGACTTTACACGTATATCATACTTGACTATATTACTTTTAATAGTGAAATAGGTGTGATCGTTAAAAAACTAATACTCTATCATGCGATTTTGGTAAAATTTGCAATATAGCAATTCAATGTATTTTGATTTACCAATACGACAAGTTTTAATATAAATCTTGGTTTTAAGAAAAATATCATTTATATTCAAAAGAATTGTATCCTATTTCCTTCTCACAAAAGTTTTCAATACCAAATATAAACTGTTATCTTTTATTATTCACTCTAATTTTTGATGCAAAGGATTTTTAAGCAACATTAGATACCAGTTGTTGTTGTGGTCTCATCACAAAATTAGAATTGACTCCAATTGGAAAAAGTTTTGACTTAGACTCCAACTCAGTTGAGGGGGAATTTCGGATCCTGATCTCAAATTTTTGAGGAAATTAACTCTTGATAACAAAAAATTGGGCATATGCAAGCTTTCTTCAATAGACTGTTATAAACGCTCAATCAATTTTTTTTTTGAGGGGGTTTCAGTACAATATTTCATTTCGATTATCACCATGCAAAGTCTGAAATTCTGAATTTAGAATCTGAGAAGTTTGAAAATACAACTCTGACCACCACAAGCTACAACCCTGATTACACTGATATCTATTTTTCTGACACCCATGACTCAAAGTTCATTTCCATTTTGTTTTAAGGAAAAAATGACAATATGTGACTCCAATATTCAAAAATACAAATCATTCATTGCTATGCTTCAAACTCCCGAATTGGCTGGCTTACTAGCGGAGGTAACATGTCCGTTACAACTAGGAGAACCCATCTACCAATCAGCCACTTCTTTCTTAAACGGAGCAGGACAGGCTGCAATGGTCAACCAAGCACAAGCGGTATGTTTGGAATATTAAGATACTGTAAGCAAGATATACAAAATTGTGCAGGCCGTATTGAACATGAATGTCATATTCTTAATATGAGGAGTTGTCTCGGCCCTGAATTAAGTAGGTGGTATGTATATATTGTTTGATAAAATGGCATTGATGTACTTTCTGTCTTGCAATAAAACGAACATCCCAATTTTTGAGTAGTCTTATTCAAAAATGATCTCACTAAAAAATTTTTTTCATATTTTAGACTGAAAAAGACTTGGTATCTTTGAGTGAACAATGTAGATTGGCTCAGAGTTCATGCATAGAAATGCTGACAACATTCGCAGCGATCGTCGCACAATTTCCTCCTACTGCAGTAATCACCAATCACAGTGATTCAATATGGGGATCTCATCTTTCACAACTTGCTTCCAACTTCTCAGAAGAAGAATGTAACTCGGTACAAAATATCGTCAAGAAACAATTGTCGAGAGAATCAAAATTATCCCAGGTAGTTTTTATGTTGTGCTATCGATTGGGTTACAGGACTTACTACTTATCCTTCTTCTATGCTTTTGTGTCAATATGAGGATGCTTCAGTAAGAGTGAAGATAACTATTCTAATTGATTCAAGAGTCGAAACACTAGCAAAGTATCCATTACAGATTGAATAAATGAAGTACAGTAGCTTTATGCATAGGGAGATAATAATAAAGAGTTCCAAAATAGGTGAAGGGATGAATTTACCGTTAAATGATAATTCAAACAAAAAAGCACTATGAATATCGTTGATAAAAAGTTTGAAAATGAAAAATGACGAACACTGACTTAATTTCTGTTTAGGCTCGCTTGGCTTCTGCTAAAGACACCATGCTTCAACAAGAAGTCGCAGATTTAAACAAATTATTGATGAAATTGTTGGAGCGACGAAACAGTCAACTTACAACACCGGCACAAGAGTGGGCCAATCTTGAGAATGCTGTCGCTGTGACAAGAGACTGTATCATTAGTTTTGTACAGGTACTGATCGTTTGAATTCTTAGTTAGCATTTTCAATCGATTTGTAACTTTGGGTTGAAAACAATTATGTCTCTGACTCTCGACTCTGGTTAAATTTTGAGAAAATTAAATTGTTGCTTTTTTCTAATCAAAGAAGTGTGCAAAAATTTATATATTCACGTATTGTAGCTAACTTTTTAAAATTTGGAGAATTAGATCAAATTTCAATTGAATCTAAATTAATTAATTAATTTGAGCAAATTATTTTAACTATAATACTCTCTTTCACAGGAGAACGGGATCCTTGGAATGCACACAATATTAAGCATCCTCACTCTCGCATTGATTGCATTAGCTCAAAGAGGTATTACTATGGAAACGACAGCCGCTAGTGCTGGTCACAGACTAGTTGACATGACATCACAAGATGGAGATTGGTTTCTGGAAGAACTTTGTAGTTTATTTGGTAATAATTTTAATACTTTATGGTCATGTCATAATAATTGATTCCTGTTGTTTTTTGTTATTTTGCTCGAAATTATTTGTAAATATTTTGTCTTGAAGGTCATTTCCTGCCAGAGCAGGGTTTACTCAGCAACTAAAGCTGTATATTCAAGCATTGCTGTCTTTTTTGATATTCCCGTAGTGTGTGTACCAGGTTAGGGTTAGGCCATAATTTTATTCGATTTTCCTTATTTTAGTTCTATTACGAGTTCGGGGACTGTCTGTGTTAGCCAAGTGAATATCCCGCTTGCCCTTAGGTCTCAGTCTCTTTACACAACTTCATGTAATAGTGACGAACAAAATTAGTTACCTCCATTGTGGTACACATACTTCTGTAGCGCCCATTTTTCTGTAATCAAGATTTATCACTCTCAGATATGAATAATTATAAATATATACAATTTGTTTTGGACATTTCTGGCTACAAAATGAAGTTATTTGTAATTTTATGGGTATTTTTAATAAAATCTTTTGCAGGAAACGTAGTTCAACTACTCCATGTTGGCGACCAAATATTGACAATGACAGAGGTTGGACATTCCGTTAATATTGAAGCCGTTCAAGCACTACTTACAGTGGATTCGTGTTTCAGATCTTTAATGGTGAGCGGAAAGATTTATTTTTTATCATATTTTAATGCAAGGTTAAACAAGATTAGTGATATCTATTTTCATGCAAGGGCCAGAAATTCTCAAAAGTAAAATTCACCCTCTATCTACGAAGACTGCCTTTCTATTTCTTTGTGCTTTAAGTGGATTATGGAATAAGACCACTGCGCTAGACGTTCTCTAATCAACCGCTCACGAAATTGCTGGTCGGTTATGGCTTCCCCCACCATCAAGTCCATGCATCTGAAACAAATACCTGGCTAACTAATCCTACACCAAACTTTGACTGGTAATCGGACTAGAGACTGTGATTCGGCTCCCTACTTCCCCGGGATCCTAATTTTTCAATGTAATTTTGCATTTCAAATAAGTCATGTTTCAATTTTGATTCCAGGACTTGTACAACAATTTTCGAAACATTATATTACCGGAAGCTGTTAAGTTGTTACAATGTGAAGAACCGTCTGTCATAGAGATGGTGAATGAATTCAATCTGATTTTACAAAGAGAAAAACTTGATGATTTGGCAAAGCAGGTGTTGATATTTTCAGTTTTTATATTAGTCCAATGGTCAGAGTAGTAGATAACTTAATAACTTGCTGTTGTTTGTTTAATGTTTCCTTCAAGTCTCAAGCAAAAATCATTGAGCTTTAGAAATTAAATCTTGAAATTGCAAATTTGTGCTGAAAAATATTTTTCAGTGTCTTACTCATCTATTTCTATACATATTCAGTTAACAGCAGGGTTACGTTCATCAGAAACTAATTCATCTTCTTCACAATCATGTTCCGAAGCTCTAGCTGTCGTAGAAAAAATGCAGACACAATATTCGTTACTATTACACGATGCAAGACAGGTCAGAACCTATTTTTATTTTTTGTAAAAAATGTTTTTAATCATTCTTTAGTGAGGTGTATTTGCTCTGAACGAGACTGAATAAGCAGCAGCCACTGATATCCAGAGTCGATACATTTTTTCTTTCTTATTAATTATTATGCCTGGGGTGAGGTCATGTGATGGGGATCGAACCTAAATTCTTGTTGTTCTTTTGCTATTGAGGTTACGGAACATTGCTTTCTTCCGCAAATTAGGGGCCAATCAATATCATAGTTTCAGTACCTAAAGAAAGAGATAATCATTTTTGTTGGGAAGATATTGCTTCATTTTTTTTTCAAGTTCTTCAGAACTCAATATATCATTCTATATTTTGCTTTCTTTTGTAAAACTTTAATGATATCTGGTCCAAACCTTCAGATGAAAGTTATCGTACATATTTTGATGAAAACCAAATTTTGTTATTTAAGAGTTTAGATGCCTTATTGAATAACCAAGATACTTCACCATGCTTGGGTTTATTTCACTATATGATGTTTAATATAGAAATTTTCATTCTTGTCGATTAATGTCACGAAAATATCGGATCTTCAGTCTTGTTGATACACCCTGGCGCAAAATTATTCGTGTAATTTCGTCAATGCTATTCCAAATTCAGAGTCAATGTGTTGTCACTTGTCAGTGCTTTTTTTCAACCCTAATTTTACTCACATTGCGATAGTCATTTGACCTTCAGGTTTATATATATGTCTCATGTTTTTATTTCAGGAGGAAAGACGACTCCTGGCAGGACAAATGTTGCTTCAAGGCTTTGACGGACTTTTCCGAACAGCCCATGCACGTTTCATGGATCTTATTATCGTCCACAATAATTTGATGGACAACATGCAATTTCCGGAATGGATCAAATATGTCGACGTATTACAGAACCCAGATGTTCTACAGAAAATCAAAAATATGCCAAGTGGGTACAAACAGCGGGAGGCAATTTATAACCCAATATTCGAAATTGTAGAAATAAAATATAGATACTGTATGAACCTTTTACCAACAGTTATAAAAGATTTTCATATTATTCCTCAGCATGGTGCTGTATTGTTCTATATTGTTATTGGATCCATGCTGTTATACTCTAGCTTTTGTTTGAATCATTTTTCCGGATTTCACAACAAAAATGTTTGTTCCGTGTTTGAACCATACCCTTTTATGTATTGTTGTCATATGCTTTAATATGAGAATGAAAATAACCATTTCCAATGGTTTACCAATCCAGATCCTTTTTTAATTTTCAGATGTAAAGAAGACAATGTTGCAAGCCTTGCTGTTTGTTAAACAAATGCAGTCAATGCATGATTTTTTTGTTTTATGTCAATCTAATGCAAGATCGTTTGTCATTGAAAGAAATACAGGCGCAAGTGGTAAGTGGATGACAAATTTTTGAATTCCGCTTTAAAGATGATATTCTGCTAATCGCTAGGTTTTGAAATAGTTGAATCATCACCACTCTGCAGCATGGCGCATCGTGCTAAGAGTAAGATATACGCTCATCACCGAACCGCTGATTACTCTGCGTGGGTTCGCACGTTTGAATCCCACACAGGGTTACTTATGCGCGAGAGGATTGCTGGACTTCTTGTCACCGTATGTTGGTTCACATACCCGCTGGTCAGTTCCACCATCAAGTCTATGCATCTGAAACAAATCTATCTAACTAATCCTATACCCAACACGGACTGGTAAGAGACGAGATGTCGTGGTTCACCATATGGTTAAGCCGTCCTATTGACTTTCCCCTCCCCTGGGATAAATATGTAAATCTTATCCTAAATGTACTATTAGAGCAATCTCTTTCAGCATTATGATAATGCATGAATATACATTATATATCATAGTATTATAATAAATTACACGACAGTGGATATGAAGTTCATAAATTATTTATTTATTCTCATTTTCTTCTTGTACCAGGATCTCATTACACATCATCGAAGACCTTATATTCAGAAGAAAGATTGATGAAACCCGTCAAACACTTCATCGCACATTTTGTTCAAGATTTAATGATTGGAATACCTACACAGGTTTGATATGTTAAATTAGTATAAACGTACAATTAGTAGAGCCTTTAAGTAGTTCCCAAACTTTTATGGCTTGTGCACTCGTATTTTAGCACTCGTAGCCCCCTTGTTTGATATTCCGAACAAAGTAGCAGTTCACATACTAGGCCATTTCTATTTACTTTGGTGAAGCCGAAATTAAAATCAATTTTGTGCCTGGTATAGTGGCCCCTCCAACTGCTCTGTGGCCCAGTTGGGAACCGCTGATATACATCATTATCTCAGTAATGTCCCTGATAGATTCAAGTCATGTTATCTGAGTCTGAAGATAAGTCGATCACTGAGTTATATCTCACTGACAGTCAGTTTTGAGACTACCTTACGCTGGTCTAAAAATGCGTTACTAATTTTGGATGAGCAATGATTTTTTTTACTTACCGGTACCAATTTTTACATCATGACTGGCCCTTTCAGATAAAAAAAAAGTATATTTAATATGAAATGAACTGTATTTCACTACCAAACATGTACATTCATATATAATGACTTGTGTGTGACACACATGATTCACTCCATCTTATGTGGAACCACTGTTTTTGCAAGGTTGTTGTAGTTTTTCACTCTTTTTGCAAGGTTCCACCGCTTTCAGTGTGTTTGTGAGGTTTTTGGTGTTTTTTCACAATTTTTCCACGTTTTTGCAAGGTTTTTGGTTGTTAGAAAACCTGTAAGGTTATTTTAGCGTCATCATAGGCTGCAGGCGAAAGTGCTGAGATAACTGACACCTTGGGTATAATATGGTGTGATTATATTCTTTCTTGATTTGTTTTACTTCAAACTTGTTGATTACCAACCTTTCACGATTTTATCATGTCACCCAGCCAACATGTATTTTTGTTTTAATTCTCTGCAATTAATTCACAATCATTTGTATTCATTTTTTTCAGATTTTGGGTCTTGTATTATGTAGTTACGTCACAACATTAGGAGTTGATATCGACGCTCAAATCAATTCGACTATGAGAGGAAATCAGATTGTTATTGAAAACGTCTGTAAGAGTTTGATAGACGAAAAGTACACACAGGTTAGTTCATACAGTGATTATAAAATTACAAGGCTTCTTTTTTCAAACAAATATTTCAAATTGGGAAAATGCTCGCTTGAGGAACACACTTTCTGTTACAACTCTGATTACCCTGCGTTAGATAAATATGAAACTCTTATCTTAAATAAAGTAGGAAAATTTTTCAAAATTATGCAAATTCATAAAGTTTGTCAATTGGCAATGATATTAAATAGTTACGAAGGTGTTTTTTATATCATCATACTGATTCAAATTTAAAATATTCAATCATTGGTAACAGGTTAAGTTTATTCAAGCAAGACGTACAATCGCCATTTTAGGTAAAGAATTTATATGGCTCGGATTTAAACTTAAGGTTTCCTTAACACTCTACCCACAAGGTAACAAACACCCATTTTATCATTTCAGACTGTATTGAATAAGCAGAAAATGTTGATTTATCAATTCAATAAAAGCTGGAAAGATCTGGACAAAGCACAAAGACTGGAAGCAAATATCACTGCCGTACGAGCCAGCTTGCAAAGAAGTAAACTACAGGTGTGGACAACGATTTGCTTATTTTGTAAGAACAATTCAGAATAAAAAGAATTGATTTTACACTACTGGTAGTTCAAAATAATAACATCACAATTCAAAATTTTGAGTTCAAATTCCGTGCCCGTCACCTCACCCGGGGCGGTAGGTAAGCAATGCGAACCAGGACAATTCCAACCTTTCAAACAATAAGAGCTCCTGATTTAGCATTCAAAGCTTATACAGTGCCTTGTTCAGAGTCAAATGTATTAAATAATTGGGATATGGCTATTTTCAACGGTGGTTCTTTTTCTTTCCTGTAAATTGTTTTCCATTTATTTATTATCCAAATATTCTAGTTACCGGTAATTTATCAATTTCTTGGTATATTTCCCAGCACACTAGATTTCAATGGCTCCACGAAGATATTTTGATGGAAAGTTCATCGGTTAAATTCAATCTTCCACAAAGATTAGACGTCTTACTGGATTTAAATAAACGAATGAATGCAATGCAACAATTGGAAAGACTTCTCCAACAAATTCAAGTAAGGATTAGTTGTATTAATAGTAATCGATGTATCACCGAGCTTTGTTTATGTACGTAGCATTGGCTAATCAACAAGGTTGAGACGTAATTGCTGTTTTAACAGCGCTCAGAAACTTTCACAGTTGTAATTTTTAGCTCTTCTCAGTAGTTTTGCTAGCTATTTGGCAGTTTTCAGAAATTTAGATATAACTCTTTGATCATTTTTTCTTCTGAGAAGTTTTAGTTTAGTTGCAAGAATCAAAATTTAGATCGAAAAAGCTGTGATAGACTAGACTAAAATATTTATCTTGGAGGAGAGGAAAACCAAAAAATCAGCTTCACCATATGGCAAGCCACGGCCTCTTGTCTTGTTACTAGTCCATGTCGGGTATGAGATTAGTTCGCCAGTTATTTTTTTTTCTAATGCATGGACTTGAGACCTAGTTATATGAAACGATATAACTAATTAACTATTCCCTTACTTGAAGTGAATTGATACTCAGACAAGAGGCCTTGGTTTGGCCGTTTTGTTGACTTACTTCTCCCTGAGATAAATATGGAAAACCTAAACTAACTGGAGAAGTATCTAATACTAAAAGAACTTTAGCAAGAGATTTTAACACTTTTGTTATTGAAATCTGTTTTTATTTTTCATTTCTATCTATTAGGAAACAGCAACGTCGCAAAATAAATCAATCTTGCAAAGACTAAAATGGGCAGCAGGAGCCAACCCTTCCTTGCAAGGAGTTCTACAGGAAGTTGAAAAAAGTATGCAGAACAGAAATGCTATCATGAAAGCTGAAACAACACTGAGGTGATTCATTCGTTATTATTGGATCTCCACTATAGGAGACCCTTCTCCCTTCTTCTTGGTCGTTCTGTCTGTCTGTCTGTGTGCCGAAGTTGTAGCGTCCAAATGACTGGACAGATCTGGATGAACTTTTTCATGTGGGTTATTATGTCACCCTAGTAATGTATGCCTCGTTGAAAGTCTGGAAAAAGTTTCATTTCATTTCCACGGCAACAGCAAAAAACCTAAATTCGCTTAGAGTTTAATTTCCTCAATTTATGAGTGAGTGACCTTTCTTTGAGCAAATTTTTTTAAAAAAATTATTCATTCAAATTTTAATTATATTTGGTACTTGCATGTCATGATTTTCAATGTTATGTTATGTTACGGAACTATCAACAACTGCAAGAGGCAAATAATTTACTGTTCATAATCTCAGTTTATTTTAAATGATTCTTGATAAATTTCAAATTTGGTGTAATGTTTAACAAAAAAATGCTCAGAATTGTATAATCAATGAGTTTAAAATTTGCGAATGTGGAAAAATGAAGATAAATGGTATTTTTCAGTTTCTAGAAATTAAATTAAGCCATTGTCAGTCTTACTAGAAGACCTCAATTGCTCAAATTAAATTTTTCAAAATTGAGCTGAAATTAAAAATATTTGGAGTCGACACAAATCCCTACTATATGTGTAGGGCTATACGTTGAAAAACATAGGATAGGGATAGGATTTACATATTTATCCCGGGGGAGAGGAAAGCCGATAAGACGGCTTATCCATATGGCGAACCACGGCCTCTCGTCCGGTTACCATTCCAAGTCGGGTATGGGATTAGTTTTTACTGTATTGTTTGTTTTCGGAAGCATGGACTTGGTGGTGGAGGAAGCCGTAACCGACCAGCGGTTACGTGAACCACCCAACGACGGCGGGGAGTCCAGCAATCCTCTCGCACATAACCATCCCTGCATGGGATTCGAACCTGCGAACCCATGCAGAGTGATTAGAGGTGCGGTGGCGAGCGTATTCCTAACGCTTAGCCCGTTGAGCCACACCGCCGCGCCATAATATACGAAATGGTGTGATTATCATTATACCAAAACTATCTTGAAATTATTGTCTTTGATTAGTGACATGATCTGGTTATTTCATAAGTATCACAATTTACTTCACGAAAGAAAGCATCATAATTTCAGCCTTCAACCACAGAATACTTATTATCGTTTTTAGTCAAAAAGTTGCAGAGTTTTGTCAAACAGCAGTTGAATTTGAGGAAAGTCGAATTCAAGTAAAAGAATCGAAAACAGATAATTCTTTCGCAAGACAATGTATGGATGCCTTGAAATTATGTCTCGATACAAGTAAAGAAATGACAAACAGAAAAGTGAAAATTTCTAATCTGGAGGCTACATTGGTCAAAGTGGTAAGATTTTTAAGCTTCCATTTTTTACTTCTCCTATGGCAGTGATTCTCGAACTTTTTAAGCTGCACCAACCTTTTTGAATTTGTCAAGTCTCGCACCCTCCTGCAACTAGCTAACAATAGGCTACAAATAATAGATCGTAAAGTGAAACGTGAAAGTGATAAAATGTATGTTTTATTCAAAAAATATGTTGAAAATACGTGGAAGGAACGTAAATACCCAAAATAAATAATGTAAATATCTAAAATAAGGCGGGTAAGATCAAATCTAACGAATACTATTATTTTTAATTAGCTACACGCCCCCTCAAAAAATTGTCTACGCCCCTCTTGTGGACCGCGCCGCATCGTTTGAGAACCACTGTTCCATGGGCGCCTGTGCATAATTTCTGATTTCTTGTACCTCTGACACCTGCCTCTTTATAGTAAACTTGGCCCCTGTTTCTAACTGTAACTTCAGACTTATGTTTATATTTCCTATTTCATAGGTAACGGAAAATGAAAAGTCGAACATCCTGAGTGATGATTGGATTATAAAAGCCGTCGATATTTTACAACTACGAGCTGTTCATTTACGCCAAGTTCGACAACAGGAAGAAGGCAAAATGCAATCGGTGAAAAACAAAGTCACAAATATCGCTAATTCCATCAAACAATTACTTGCGACACAAAGCAGATTGCTGTCTGATGTTAAATCGCTACTAAAAAGCTTAGCAAAGGTAAGATTCACCTAAAGTGTAATAAATTCAGTTGGCACTGCTTATACATGTTCAGAGCTTTGTTGCTTAATTACGAGGCAAAGAACAAAACAGTAATTTTTCTTATCCGAATACCCAAATAATGCCTTTTAATGTTAATATATTTTTCTAACTCGGAAGACAAAACGACCATCGAGGTATTTAAGTTATACCTAGATTTTTTGAAAGCACAAATGAAAACTGGCAAATAGCTAGCAAAACCTAAACGAGAATATCGGTCAGAGACCGAAGACTTATCGATCAAAAGTTAGGGGATCCCCCAAATCAGCGCTTCTACTCCATAGTGACACCTTGTGTCCCATCACTAATTAATTAATACCTCGCTAATTGTACGACATAATTTGCCTAAAATTAATAGGCTTCTGGTCCGGGATATGATGAATGCACATGCAAAATCTGGAGCAGATTCTTGGGAGATTGCGTGCATCCAACAGACAGACAGACATACAGACAAATCCCTATCGACATACTTACCGATTAAAATCGATAAGTGATGAGATAATGTTTCAATACATGCCTGAAAATCCATCTGACTAAAAAAAGCGGCTGCTAGATTTGAATTGTTACGTCACTTTTGACCTCGTACTGCTTAGCCAATGTTGCGGAAATTTAATAATAGGTCTTTTTGTGTGATATTTTTATTAGTTTCATTTTTCGTTTTCCAGGATGAAAAATCTGAGGATCCGTCTTCATCTGGAAGTGTTGCCAATGTTCGACAATTTCTCGACGATTATAAAACATTTTGCGGAAAATTAACCGACGTTTTAAATTCATTATTACAAAGTTGTGAATCTGGTACAATGCCAGATCCTGATCCATTAATTCAAAGATTAACAGAAACGTCACAATCAGTTTCTTGGTAAGATTTTTTTTATGATATATTTATTCGCATTTTGCTATGAACAAGGCACTGCACGAGCAGCAGAATTTTGTGGTTGTAGACGAACACCTCTACTTTCACATTAGTGACAGAACAATTATAATGTCACACACGAACGTGTGCATGTGTGATATGTGTGTCTAAAGCAGAGGGCTGACGAGTAAAAATCTATCCCTGTAATGGCTGTATGCCCATGTATACCTTGGGTATCCAGTGAACCAGGTTAATTAGCACTCAAATTCAAAATACCTTGGGTATCCAGTGAACCAGGTTAATTAGCACTCAAATTCAAACTCACTGTTTTCAAGCCCAATTCCAGATTCAGTTTGGGGTCATCAGCGCTAGAACGTTACCAGCTCCGAGAAAGAGCATTTGACATTGTAGTTTTTAAAAAGATTTCAGATTTCAAATTTTCACATTTCTCCCAGGGAGAGGAAAGTCAATGAGATGTCTTAATCATAATGTGAACAAGCATATTGCGATTTTGTGAACCCCAGGAATTCTCTCACACATTATTATCCCTCACAGCTTCAGAGGTGTAAGGCCAAGCGTGTTCCAAGGGCTAAGTGTGTCGAGCTAACATGTGGTTTTACATTTAGAGAGGCTGGTGTTCTAAACCAATTTTAAGAATCTGTGGTGTGAATAATCATTTTTAATAATCTGTTATTCACTTATCAGGATTTATTTCCGATTGTTGAGTCTTGGAGCACCGGCATCAGAAGATAAAGATATGAGTTTCATGTCCTCTCCTTTCAATAAAAATGGAAACAAACCTTCGAAACTTAAACTTGATTATGAACAAGTAAGATATTGGAAATTACTGTGATATCCATTTACAATCTCAACACTGCACAAAAATAAAAAATAATTTTTTTAGGTTTAGCGTGATAAATTCTTGCATATGCATTACAATATTGCAACATATTTCGCATAGAAGTGATTATCCCCATTGAATAAATTTTATATATAGAACGATTTTAATGCAGCGTCAAGAGCAAAAAAAACATGTATTTTCACCAATGTGTCTTTATAAACATGAACTGTTGGACACCACAATTCTGCCATTGATTTGGGCTTGTCACCTTTCAGCATAGAAATGCATTGAAATTGCAAGATTTGAAATTCTTTTGAACCTAAATTAGAATAATGGTTGTGCACCAATGCTTGATAGATTATCAACTATCAATTGAATTATTATTGCTGTATCCTTATCATTGCAACTAATTTTCAGACTGATGAAAAGCAATCAAGTGAATCCATTCTGAAAATTGAAACAACAACGGCAAGCTCAAAAACTGCTGTAAAAAAGAAGCAAGATCCACGAACGGGAAAAGGTATTTCTTCAAAAACGTCTGCTTTTGAATAATACCAGTGATGTCGAAGCCTTGTGTTGCAACTTTCTAATGCAGCGTAAAATAGTCTCTAAAATTAATCTATTTCCTAGCCTTTTCCATACTCTTATTTGCCTATGTTCGAAACATGACACGAAATGATCAAAATTTGGTCGTGACATGTGAAGAACGACCCCCGTTATTGACAATCAACTGTGTTCTGATTGTTTATGTGCACAAAAACAAGCTCGCGTGTCACATTGATTAAATATGTACATATATGTTGTACATAATATTCTGATGATGGTAAAGTCAAATTTATTTATAATGTATAAGGTTCTGTGTTTTCGCAAAAGCTTTCATATATTTTTGGTCATTGACGCATGTTTGCACAAAAAGACCGAATTGCAATTCTTTATTTTTTATTTTTTTTTTAGAGAACTCATGCAATTTTAATTTTTTTTACTTTACAGTTATTCAGGAAAGAAATTGTTTTGCTGTCAGTGTATGGAGACAAGTCAAAGCTAAATTAGATGGACGAGATGTTGATTTCAGTAGAAGAATGCAAATATCTGAACAAGTAGGATATAATTTTATGGAAATTCAAGAATTTTCTTATTATTTGCTTTTGTACTGTTAATATTTCAATCCCGTTATTTTTGATGAGGTTGAAAGTGAAATGGTGCAATGGCCTAGTGCAGGAGGGTCCAGGCTGGTCAACTCCGGGGGCCACAAAATTATTTTAGCATTATTCACGGGCCACAAATAGTGCCAAGAATAGGTAAACAGTGCAATACAAAACAACACTTCAATTGTGCAAACACATTGGTCAGTATTTGTCTATTGTCAAGCTAAAACTTGCAAAAAACCACCAAAAAACCTGTAAAAGTCTTTTTATATCTACGTTTAGTGTAAGATTTCGACGGAAAAGGGTACTCCTGTAATATGTGAATCAAGATGGCGGACACCGGAACATAGTATGTGTAACAGGCTGGGATCAGGCCATAATTTCACGTACAAATAGCTAATACCAGAACTAGTAATATAACTAAATTAGGGAAAATTGTTGTAAAATTATGGCCTAACCCTAACCTGGTAGACATACCACGTTCTGTTGTCCGGTATCTCGGTACACATACTACAGGTGTACCGGAAAAAGTGCCATAACACTAGTTAATTCAGTGACAATAGTGATGTAACAATATGTTGAAAGATTTTTCTGGTTAAGTTTAAGACGAAACAACACCAAATGTGATTTTTTGATTACCCTCCGATTCCGACGCGGGCCACAGATAATGCGGGCCTGAGTTTGGACCACCCTGGCCTAGTGGGTAAAGCGTTAACTATGTCGCCAACGCAAGTTACTCATCTTGTGTTTGAATCCCATGCCCACTACCTCATCCCAAGTGTAGAGTAGAGGCATTGCCGAACCGAAAATTTTTTATTTTTTCGAATAATTAGAATATTGCTTAAAACAGTAGTGCAAGATAAGTACATGGCCTTGTTCAGAGCAAACAGCGTGAATGACCATCATATATAAAATGTGACTTATGAAGATAGACTATTTTCCATATTTGACTCCATTTGTCTCAGAGTTATGCTTTCCCACCTGTAACTGTTGGAATGTAGAAAGTTATTTTCAGCTCTTGTATCACTGAATATTTTGATTTTATTTAAGGGCTGAGGCTTTGTCTCCAAGTCAAAATATAACAAGCATAATACCATCATTTTTAGGTTGACTATGTGATAAACGAAGCTACGTCGGTTGATAATCTGGCGTTGATGTACGAGGGTTGGACCGCGTGGGTGTGAAGAGACAATAAAGACTGGTCAATATTGTAAAGACCGGATGCCGGAAGTTCACTCGTCAGAAAAAAATTTTCCATCTTGGAGATGGTGTTAGGGATGTCTGAATATACCAAATTATTCTTCATAACTTTTTTCGATTGTTGAAATTGAAATATCCCAGATTTATTTGGGGAAATCTGAGGCATTGTGGCTTGAATTTCACAGTCAAGCCTGATCATAAAATCTGCAGCACTGATAATTTTAAAAATTTATTTTGCCATCTTCCCTTTCAAGTAAGATTAACAGATTTCTGGAAAACACTGTCAAAGTATCTATTGTATAGCAGAGGAATCTCAACAATGTCTCAATCTGCTATGCGGCCTTTAACTACATCTTGTCCCTGCTTGTAAAATTCACCTCCAGGGAATTACTTTGTTACTTGCTTACTCCCTGGAAAGTAGTAGAAAAAAATCTGGACGTTCTGAAAATCTTTTGTTAAAGAATTTTTCATAAAGTAATATGCATTTAGAAAAAGTGAATTATTATCGGTTCATTGATGTGATTACCTGCGGTTTGAAATTTTTGGAATAATTTCCCTAACTTTATCTTAATATTAAGTGCATAAGATTCCAATATGATTTACCTAATCTGGGACTAAGGTTTAGCCTTGACAGAAGTATAAATTACCGCTCACCTTTTAGTTGTGAAATCAAATTTGTGTTTGTAAAATCCGAAAGACACAAAGGACAGGATTTTGAGGAAAACCTCTACAAGCTGGACCGAGCATGCCACTTATCTTGGCATCTAAGCTTATGAAGATCGGCCATCACAGCCTTGTTTAAATAATGGTTTCGTTTGACTGAAGTTTTTACTGGGATGTTGAAATTTGTTCAGTATGTTACAATCATTGTTTGTAAGAAAGAGCTGGAGTCTTCTGACATGTCATGAATAAAATGAGGTCAAATGACTGTGTGTTGTTTTTATTGGAGAGAAAAAGCGAGACTTGTTTATTGATGATATTAAATTCCTGCAGTCTTTTTCGCTGTGATGAGATCTGATTATATAAATTCGTTATATATACACTGCAAAAATATCTCGTTGTCGGCACTAAAAGCTTCCGTATTTTGAGATCTTGGTCGATCATGTTTGTATTTCGATCGACTGATTTGAAGCATGTGATTGAGGCACTAGCAAGGTTCAGGAATGTGCTGGAAGTGTATGTATTTGCTTCGTAAAACTGTCCAAATTGATTGGTAGTCTATACCTAGTTGTGCTGAAAACTTCCATGCGTATTCGTATGGTCTGTCTATTCATTGATGCCAGGTGCAGAATTTGTTTTAATTAAATAAGTAAAACCGCGGAAACAGTTATTGTAATTGGTACCGTTTGAAGTAATTTGCAGTGCGCCGCTGAAATTATATTGCAGAATAAGTATTGTTGAATTTTTCCATATATACCAAAGAAACAAACTGAATCAAAAATGATAAACTTAAAAACGGATTCGCTACTTTTAGAATCATGTAAAATTTTGAGAACTGTTAGACCAATGACAATGTGAGATTTTTTCTCGAGCTTTGGAGAATCGGCCATAGTTTTTCCAACCGAACTTTGCTCTCTTTTAGGCTTTATAATAATCCCAGCAGTGTTTAAAATTTTGTCCCCGTCGATCGCCAAAGATCTTGAATAGGGTACATCGGTAGAACGTTTCCAGCTTGACTTTTACGAAAATTTGTTTCCGACCTGGCGTTCATTCCGCTGCGGACATTGATTTTCAGCAAGCATAAGTTCATTTGATCCAATAATATAATTGATAAAAACAAAATAAATAAAACTGATTACAGAATCGGGAGCAAACAACGGATTATTTTGAATATTGAGTAAACTTTGTACTTTTACATACACCTACATAAACGTCTACGTGCGACTTCCGATGCATTTTGAAGAAACAGATTCACAAAAAAAATTGTAACATATTCTCGCCTGAATCATTAAATTTCGCGGTAAACTGATCAAATTTCTGCAAGTTTTACATACATATTTTTTATAATATATATATATTTTTTTTTAATTCAGATTTTTTTAGCCGTTTATATAGAAAGTCAATAATTCTTTATTAAATAAATTGGTCTTTCGCGCTAAAGGCTTCGCTGTGTTTTCATTTTTGTTTATGGGTGTGACGTCACGCATGAGCGCAGTTAGTGTCCATCCTTGATTTTGTTTCCCATTTCCCTTGCATTCAGCGGTTCGCCAGCCCTTGAATATTTGCATTTTCTGATGAGTTTACTTTCTATCAGTCGAATTAGGGATTGGAGTTGATAGGGGGGTAGTTTTAGCTCTCCGCTAATTTATGATTTGCATATCTACTTTGAATAATTTGAAGTATAAAGCAAAAATTCAGAATGAGATCTGTAACGAGAGGCATCATGTCGCGGCCATTGCCGAGCCATCAGAAATTGGCGGAAAAACTTGTGATATTAAATACAAGATTGGATGGAATGATTACTAGAATCTACAATATTAAGAAGGTATGTGTAAATGATTTTATTTTTAATATGTGTGATATCTCAATAGGTACCGTCTGACGGTGCTGTAATACTCAGATACTTCAACTTAGTGATGCTGAAATTCCATAAATCTGGCGAAGTGTCCTTAAAATGACAGAATGCTGGAATGATGTCATTTATACGGAGGTCAAGGTTCTCATGTTATTTCGTACCACAATACCTTGTAGTTGGCATGGCGTAACAATTTTTGCATATGGCATTCCTACCCCCACCTGACCACGTCATCCAAAAATTATGTCACAGTGATGTAATGAGGCCGCCAAGATACACATGGTCATTCAAAACACGCAGGCGATTACCCGAATTCGAGTAAGCTATTTTTCTTTTTATCTCGTCATAGCGATACCAATATCAGAGAGATCGCTGGCGGTTGTGAGTTCATTATCGGCGGCGCAAATGGCATTTTGAGAAATCGTAACTATACTTTGGCAAGTTCTAGGATGTGAATGTGAAGTAATTTTTGGATGGCAAAGTCAGGTGGGGGTTAGGAATAACATGCAAAATTCGTTATGCTACGCCCACTGGAAATACACTGGTACTAAACTATACTAAACCCTGTCTGAATGTAGTGAAATCCCATAAATTTGGAGGGGTGTCCTTTAAATGACAGAATGCTGGAATGGTGTCATCTATAATATGGAGATCAGCTCTTTCAAATGCTCAAAAATTGAGGTAACATCTGAACAGCAGCAGTAACGTTCTTGGTTGTGTGATTTCTTAACTTCGATATATCTCTTCTTCCGCTATGGACTAACTCATCTATTGTAGTTTTACTTTGTTGCACCTGAATTGCCAAAGGATTTTATTTCTTTTTCAAGGCATGTGGAGATCCAAGATCCAAACCCTCGTTTTTAACTGAGAAAGCTCTCGAATCTGCAGTAAAATTTATTGTGAGGAAATTTCCTCAAGTAGATATCAGAAATAATCAGGTATTATATTTGTCTTCAATTGTGTATCGCTTAAAATTAGTATTCATTAGCCTACTATTAGCTACTACTGATGTTCAAATTCTGAAATAACGGTATCTGCCATATTTCGTTGGGAAAAATTTCATTTCACCACAGCTGACGTCCAGATTGATTAGAAATTTTCATAACATAAAGATGGAAATGTCACTAACAATCTATTACTCTTATGAGAGCATTTAGCAAAAAATATATGAATAAATTTTTTTCAAATCTTAAGAGTCCTATAAGATGCTATTTTTCACCGTGAAACTTTCTGTTTTATGATTCTTTTATTGCGTATTGTTTAACTGCCTTCTGCTTGCTTGTTCATTTATCTTTTAGCTGGTGGCAGGATTTACTGTATCGGTACCGTTTGCAACTTTTGTGCAATCAAGCCCATAAATAATCGAGCATTGCTACATTGTTTCGATTGTCGAATGTATTTGAATACATTTTATTAAAGATAATTTATTTGGATTTTATCATCTGAAATTTTCTTCAGCCTATGTCCATAACACATAATAAAATATATATCACTAATGTTTATTTTTCTCATAGAATCAACTAGCAGCCGTTAACAATGCTAAGAATGAAATATTGAAAGGGTTATCAATTTACTATTATACATTTGTTGATGTCATGGAGTTCAAGGTAAACGCAACACTACAATCTTTGATTGCCATTTCGAGTGTAAACTAGGGCAGGTGTGATGGTTTGAAATCACAATTGCTCCTGGTTCACAGTCGCAGTATATTCAAACTCTGCGGGACAGAGGATATGTTTTTGTACCTCCTGGTTGTTCTGCTCCGTAGCTGCTGGGCGCCATAAATCATCAGCCTAAATGCAGTTTCGTAATAGCGGGACTCGATAGAAGGGTTTCACATTTTTTAATTTCACTATAAATGCACAAATTTTCACTTGACGTATTTGAAATTTCATTAGAAATATTAGTTTTTATCTTTTTTCTGGTTTAGGATCATGTCGGAGAACTACTGACAACTGTAGATGGACTTGGAATTAATTTTGACATTGTAAGTATGGAATAGAACTCTATATCTACTTTAAATGAGAATAGAGAATAGACTACAATGTGGCAGAGCAGGTGGAAAAAAACACTGCCCCTTCAGGGTTATTCTTTGGCGCTCCGGATGTATTCGTACCAAGATGACGCACAACTTGAACAACCCTAACCTGGTACATATACTATGTTCAGGTTGTGCGCCATCTTGGTACGAATACTTCGGAGCGCCCATTCTTTTTGGGGATAGAAATTAAAAATATTTTGTTTTTGTTTTCAGACGCTGTGTTTTGACTTGACTTCAAGTTATCTAAATATGATTGTGAAGTATGTTTCTCTTCTTATTTTGTTGTCAAGAATTGATGAACGTAAAGCAATTATAGGATTGTACAATCATGCTCACGATATGCTGCAAGGAAAAACGTAAGTATTTTTATATTTTGGGCTGAATTTGGCCCGTGGGCCGTCATTTGCTGATGATAGGTTTAGTCAGAAAATCGGAATTAAAACTTTTTTTTGAATTCAGAGATAAAGACTTTCAGAGATTGGCTCAAATGATTATGGACTATGAAAACAATCCTTTGAAGAAATTGGTGGATGATTTTTCTGTGCATAGTCGGGTGAGAAAATTTTCTCTGTTGAATTTCTTAATTTCTTTTGAGTTTATTGTCGTACAAATAACCATGGTAATTTTGTCATGACCTTGTACACTGCTTATTAGGTCTGTAAAAAGGATGTAGGAATATTTTTTGTTTTGTTGTTAAAGTTATTCTTGTTATTAGAAATTTTGTATTATTTCTCAGTTTAGATATTCATGTAACAGCATACAGTGTTCACAGAGGTAAAACTGTCTATAGTTGACCAGTTGTTTGTTTCAGATGCGTGACAGAAGAATCCAGAACTGACCAGAGGTTATGTGAGCCATCTTATGACCACAAGAAGTCCAACAATCATTCTGCACATAATTATTTCCATGAGATTCGAACCCACGTAGGGTAATCAAAGTTACAATAACAAGCGTGTTCTTAGCGCATCAGTCGGCAAATATGTGATTTATTACCCAGTGTCTTGTTTGGAGTAAGTATGTAATGCCTGATAAAATTTGTTTTTCAGTCTGTTCACGTTGCTCTCATGTCACTCATGCAAGTGTATCCGCAACGTAATATGACTGCAGATAACTGGAGAGCTGGATCACTTTTCAGCATAATCAGTTCACCAACTCAGATGTTGAATCCAGCACAAACAGACAAGGTTATATGATTTTTTTAACTGAACTAGAAATAGAAAAATTGTCTACTTGATATTTCTCATTCTGATAGAGCCTTTGGTGACCATTGTTGGTTGAGATGGGCTGGACTGGGGGTGGACTAAACTAACATGACATAAAAAGTCAAAATCAGGATCAAATCTCAGGACCATCCTCACCCAGGGTGTAAAAAATTGGACAGGCAATGCTGCACTTGAAAAATTCCCGATTCTTCCCAACCACAATAGCTCTCTACCTAGGAGTGGCCGCTCATAAATAAGTTGTATAGAAATGTTGTATAAGAAAATAAAAGGAATAAGATGGATTTTTAAAAAATAATATTTTGAAGATGTTTAAAAATTAAATATGTTTCCTGCTGTAAAAAATTTACGTGCAGCAGCAAGATTTAATTATTTTATATAAATCATAATATGTCAGTTTACTAAACTTGAATCAAGTCAAATTGTTGAAACTTCGTCAAATTTTAACCATAATATTTATCTTAGATGCCATGTGAATATTTATCCATTGAAGATATGGAAAAATGGATTTATTTTGGGTATTTACTTTGTCATGCAACTATGGTGTCTCAACAAGAAGCAAGCACATGTTAGTATATATCTTTATTGTGTTAGATATATTGAGTAGCACAATTTCTTTTACTCATTTACAGTTATAGTTTATTTTTGGACACAATGTATACATACTCCTCTTTTATTCCACATTGCTTGACCTCATCATATGACTTGTTTGCCGATTTTTTTTAGAAAACTCAGGCCATAACTCAGCCTTTATGTTCGTACATTTAGGCATCTCTGTCTTGTTTATTATGCCATGATATGAAATTGAAATTCATAATTAATTATGACTCCTGATTCAGCGTTAAAAATATTTAGACTCGACCATGTTTTTCATGGTTTAGACTCAAGATCTAGGCTTTGAGAAACTTTGCCATTATTTCTAACAGGCAGTTAAAAATGCTTGGTGCTTTTTTTATAATTCCTGAAGATAATTTTGACTTTTTTCATCACCAATGGAAATTTTGACTCCATGGAACTAAATTCCAATTTTTTCATTTTAAAATCGGTCTCATTGTATAAATATATTGAGGAATCTAAATTTTTCACCTACTCAGGTCTATGGAAACCTGTCTTGCAAACTAACTTCTGTCTCTCTCTGTTCCGAGATGAAATAATAATGTTGCACCGAACAGCAGAAGAAATATTTTCTGGACTGAAAGGGTTCGTTTTTTTATATTTTCATATATGAATATTATAATTTTGTGACTAGTATTGAATTTTCCAAGAGTTTATTCTACTTGCGTGCAATTTTTTTCATTGAAATTTTCTGTTTAAATAGTGATCGAAATTAATGTTGTCGAAAAAATGTTTCGGGTCCAAACCTTCGAATAATAGTATAAAATATAAATTTCTAAGAAAATTTTGCTAGTATTTTATGCAATTATGACTATTGATGAAATTTTGTGAAGTAAACTTTGCCATTTATCCTTATTTTGTTGTAACATTTGCGCTCACCGTGTATGGAGAGTATACAAAGCATCCCCAGTGCTACGGAAATAATGTATTTTTCTGAGTTTTCCGATATGATATTTATACAGAAAAAAAATCATCAGAGTCTGATATGGTATAGGTATATATTTATATATAGCAAAGAAAATTATCAAGTCATACAAATTATCCCATATTTATACGTAAATGTACACACTCTCTAGTTTTTTACAAGACAAGTTTTTTATATGGAAAGTTTGGCAACTTACATAGTTACCAGTTGTATATATATTCTCAAATCCTCAACATGGATATCTGGTGGCAATGGCAATCATGTGTTATTGCCAGGGATGTCCAAACGAATCGAATACATTTGAAATTGGTTTTAATCAATTTAGTAAATTCTTGATTTTAGGGATAATTTAGAATATTTTCATTTGAAAATGTTTTTATAAGCGTTTATTAGTTTATGATAGACAAAAAATTAGTTAAACTTCTGACAGAAGGAAATAGTGAATGATAATTAAAACAATGTTTATCTCATTTATTCTGCATAAATAAATTTAATTTGTACGAATTTTGAAGAATTTTTGTTGCGGAATAGACCCAATTTCGAATATATTTCATTTCGATATTTCATATTTAAAAAAAATGATTTTAAAATGTATTCGAAATACTAAATTATTTGGTTTTGGCCATTTTTGGCTATTGCCCATCTCGTTACCTGATGTTGGCTATTTCATATTTCCACTCTGACCAAGGCCGCATGTAGGGCAGACATTGATATGTAATGAAATCTTAATTGAAATCTTGATTAGCTACAACAAAAAAGTTGCTGAAGTTCGTGAATGCAGAGAACATGCTGCACAACAGGCTGGGAAGGTTCACAAAGATAAAAGAAAATTTCTGAGAACTGCCATGAAAGAATTGGTGCTTTTGATCACAGTAAGTTATCATTTTGACTGTGTTTATCTCTACTCTGTTATTTAATACCATAATGTTGGTAAAATTATGAATACATGTTTAAATTATCTGTAACGGATGTCACATAGCTGTCCTTGGATGTTTTCATATGCTTGTACAAACATCGCATGTCACAAGATCGATAACCAACATTTTTGTGCCTGCAACTACTTGATAGAATACGTCAAGGTGCGGCCCGTGGTTTCACCCAGTTATTTCATTCTGGCCCTCCCTGTATTAAAGGTCGCACAGTATTTCACACAACAGAAAAGTCATTATAGGCTGAAGAGGAGGCTCTTAACCAGCGCGTAATCGCGGTGACTGTCACAGACGGCACTGGGAATTCCCGATTTTGAAGCCCCCCTGTGCATGCACCTCCCTGGTTTAATGAATCCAAGGTCCCTACTCTCTAGCACCCAATGACCCACGCAATTAGCCAAAATCAGACCTATCTTGCCGTTATTTTGTTTCTTACCAGTTTGCAGTTTATTTAAAAAAATATTATTTTAGGATCAGCCAGGTTTGCTCGGACCAAAAACGTTATTTGTGTTCATGTCACTCGCTTATGCAAGAGATGAAGTGAAATGGATTGTAAGACACGCAGGAAATCTTGTCAAAAGAGCTAATCCTGAAGATTTTGTTGACCGGTGTGTATTTATTTATTATATAATATATATATTTACAGCAGTGCTCTTCAACCGGGTATACGTATGTATACCCAAGTGTATACCGGGCCATAAGTTGGGTATACAACTAATAAAGGGTATACGAAGGGTGTACAGCCTAAGTCAGGGATTCTAAACTCTAATATTATAAACTATAAAATATTTAAGCGGAGACAGCAATGCAAACGCGACGCACATGAAATATAAAATATCATTTACGCAAAGAACCGACGTGAGCACATTGTTACGTCACTAATTATATAGATAATGTGGTCATGTGTCTGGGTTGGTGATTTCGGCTGCCATGCGCTTCGTTTGATTTACATTGACGCTAAGGCCGTCAGTCAGATTTATAACTTCCGGACACTAGACTATTAGATTGCATGATGATATTGCAGTTCAATATGTACTTCAAATTTAATGTTTATTTAAGCCTTGAATTACCATTGGTATTTGTAAGGTATACAAAGTTCTTGAAAAATTGTAAAAGTTATACCATGATAAAAAAAGTTGAAGAGCACTGATGTACAGGGTGTCCATAAAGTCCCTTTGCAATTTTAAAATATTTCAAGATTTCATGAAACCTCTATATTTATTGGCATTGAATCATTATACAAAAGCTGATGACTACCCATCATGTCAGTATGCTTAAAATTTATTTCAGAGTTCAGACATTAATTTACTGTCGTGATTTTATAGTCAAAAACCGGTGAATTACATTGCATAATATTCCTTTCAGATATCTCGGAGAACTTATTTTTCACATGGAAGAATTACGCCAACTAGTTCGAAGCTACGATGAAGTTATTCAAAGATATTACGTCCAGTATTTATACGGATATGACGCTGTTGTACTCAATGAAGCAGTACAAAATCTATCGGTTAGTTGTGATAACATTTTTATTTGGAATTTGATTTCTCAGTGAATGTTTCTCTGAGCACGGAATCGTTTATGTCCCTAACGATGGTCAAATTCTAGCAGCTGCTCAGAATTTTTTTCAATGACACACGTTTTTCAAGCGTGGTTATAAACGTGGACTAGTTTTGTTGTTTCAACTGTTGTTTACAGTGTACACACCTTGACTCTCTGAAACTCCCCTGATTTCACTGGTCAGGTTCGAATACCATGGGGGATAATTATGTACGGGAGGATTTCTGGACTCCTTGCATTCGTGGATGGTTCACGTGACTGCTAGTCACTTCTTTCACTATCAAGTCCATGCATCAGAAATAAATAACTGATGAACTGGTTTGTCATATGATTTAGTCCTAACAGTAAATCTTGTCTTCATTAAATAGTTCGTTTTTTTGAAGAAAATCTCAAATTTTTGTTCCAGGTTTGTCCAGAGGATGAATCGGTTATTATGACATCAGTCGTTAATACTATGACATCACTGAGTATCAAGCAAGTTGAACAAAAAGAATTATTCGATTTTCGAGGACTGAGACTTGACTGGTTTCGTTTGCAGGTATTCGGTTGTTTAGTAGTCAAAGGAACTAAATTCAGTAGAATTAAGTAAAAAATCCTCGTGTATGAACCTTACTGTAAATAATTTCAAAAAAGATTTCACATATTTATTTATGCATGTTTGTATGTCAGTTGTAAGATAGTTCGGAAGTTGAATGCATGTTTCACCCTCTCAGTTTAACCAAAATTTTAGAATTTTTCTGAAGTCTATAAAAATTGGGAATTAGATAATCAAAATTTGCTTTTCATACTTTGCTAATAATTATTGAATATTTAAAAATGAAAATGAAATTTATAAAGTGTTGAATCTTTTTTTATACTGTATATATAGGGTGTCCATAAAAAATTTTCAAATTGCCAATTTATCGATACCATGTAGATGTATTGTTTTGTCCCTCATAGATGTATTAAATGAAGTAAAAATACTTGAACAGCTACTGAATAAACATGACTAATATACATTCAGGCATACACTTGCGTGAGTAAAGCTGCCTTACTATTAAAAGATAATCAACAACTTGGAAGACTCATGAATGCAATCGTGTTTCATTGTCGGATGATTGATGACTTGGATGACATGTTAAGAGAGACTTCGGATCTTTCTGACTTGTGGTAAGTATTGCTGTCATTTGGCTAAGTGGTATAGTTAGTTGTGATCTTTAATGACTCATTTTTTTTTAAAAAGTGTTGGCATGGCCGAAACTTAATTATTTGGTCGCTCCAGACGTGTGTACCAATATGGAGGTACCTTATTTTGTTCGCCTACTTTACATCAAGTTTTGTAAAGAGACTGAAATCCATGGGCAGGAGATATATTTACTTGGCTAACACAGACAGTCCCCGAACTTGAAGTTAAACTAAAATAAGGAAAATCGGAATAAAATTATGACCTAACTCTAACCTGGTACACACACTATGGAAGTACCATAATTTGCAATCATATTCATCAATAATATCTGGAAATATCTGTTCTACAAACTTTTTTCATCATGACCCACTTAGCAGAGTCAAATTTTTTATGCTTCCCTCTGGAATCAGGAACTAAAATTAAGATGAAGTAGATTTCAATAATATAGAGAATATTAATAAAAAAGAAAAAAATTGGCTTGTCTACATTTGGTTTTATTCTGGCTGGCGAGGCACACTTCTTTGTTTTTTCTAATAAAATTTCCTCAACTTTCTCAAGCGTGTAAAGTTCAGCTTCGTCCCATCAAGTCAGGATCTATTTTTCTCATTTGTTTAAAATGCTTTATTTATACTTTATTAATGTTATTGAAACATACCGCAGCCCCCACTGGTCCCCTTCGTGACTCAGCCAGCGGGAGTCGCGGCCCCAGTTTGAAGAGCAGTGATCTGGAGTATGAAATGTAAAACAAATTCGAGCGGCACAAGGGGTTTCTCTTTTGGAAATAAAAAATTAAAACTGTATCCCAGTGTATTATTTTTGGACACAAAATGGAATATGTATTGATTTGCTAAACTGTTGTTGTGAAAAAATTTTTTTTTTTTACTTCCTGAAACAATTAATTTTAAATTGGCTGCGCTTGAAGATTAGGAAAGGCTATCACTTTTAATGTTCATTAAGAGTTCTAATATTTTAGCCAAATAAGTTCTTATTTTTTTTTCTTCCCTGGGAATACTTTTAAATGTCATTTTATCCTACTTGTTATATAATTTAACACTTCTTTTTTGTTTAACATTTTTTCTATGTTTCAGCTTTTTTCCAACCGCTCTGGTCTCCTCTTTCAAGAGATGTTTGGAATTGCGTTTTCAATCAAGATACTCGATCGCATTTCCTCTCATATGTGCACATTTTCAAGGAGCTATAAGTGAGTTCTGTCCAGAAGAGAGACTCCATATCCGAGACCGTGCAATGAATTACGTAACAACCTTCCTCGATGACATGTCAAAAGAAGCTCGGAATTTGTTATTCCTAATCGCTGATGAACAATGTGCATTGTCAGACCAGGTCTCTTATTTTAAAATATTATTCGTATCTCCATTTTTTTTTTTGAAAAATCATTTTTGAACAATTGCGCGCAACAATCATCTTTACTCTCGCTGGTTGATTCAAGATTGAGACAAAACACATGGATTTGAACTAATCGATATTCAGACAGTTCAAGAATAATATTACACGGTTATTAGACGACAGCATAATGAACAACAATTTTGCAATGTTCTTTGTGGTCTACAACTCCATTTATATTTTCTTACTCACAAAATTTACCTCCAGTTTACTTTCCGAGGAATAGATTGCCCAACGTTTAAGAAATCTTGGAGATGTGGTCTCCTGTTACTTGCATATTCTGAAATTTTTTTTGTCCAATCTTAAAAATAAAAAAAATTTGAGAAAATGTGTTTTTTCCACCTTTATTATTTAAATTTTATTTTTCATCTTTTCATATTTTTTATTCAAACTTTTTTTTATCGTTAAAGTTGTTGCCGAAGAATGCTGCAGTGCATATGAAACAAGGAATACGAAAGAAAGGGAAAGGAAAGAAGGGAACGAAAACTCACGTCACTGAATCAATGAATCCTGGAATTGAAAGTTTCAGAAAAGATAGACTTCATGTCACAAAGTAAATTTTTTCATTCATGATTTGTTCATTATCAGGTATTGAAAATTTGTATTTTTTTAATGGTAATTTTGGGTAATTTTCCATCCATGATAATTCTTGATATTTATCGGATTTCTATGCTTTTGTGCCAACAGATCCATATGCATATAATCTTAGGAATCCGCAGCAAGACTGAAGATAAAATACATTCACACTTCATTAGATAGTAGATACGATATAGAAATTTCTGGATTTTGGGGATCATTTAGAATTTTAAAATTTACAATTCATATCATTTAACACCTGATGGCCAGATAAAAAACAGACTCAGTTAAACAATCAGAAGAATATTTATTTTAACTACTTTGAGTTATTAAATTTAATTTCCTTGATTTTACTGATGTTTATCAATGACGATTGGTGTATCGTGCCGAGTGTTAAGAACACTCTTGCCAGAACAAATCTGTGTTGTTCTGACGGTTCTAATCTTCTGGGGGATGAGTATGTACAGGAGAATTGCCGGACTCATCACCGACATAATGTAGTTGACGTTACTGCTGGTCAGTAATGGTTTCACTATCAAGTCCATGTATTCAAAATGAATAGCTATTCTTATACCTGATATGGGCTTGAAACGTGTCTCAAGGTCGTGGTTTGCCACATGATTAAGTCATCTTATCAAATTACCTGTCCCCCGGATAAACATAAAATTCCTGAATTTTTCTGTTTAAATAAGTCGTAATAACCAATGTAGAATTTATTTAATATTCCTTATTTAGACATATTATTTCTGAATCGTGAATTATTCAATTTTGGACATTCCTTATTGAGGGACACTGACAAATTTTCTTCTGTTTAATAATCCTTTTTATTTAGAATGGATGAACTTCATTTGGCATTGGCTGAAATTTGCAATGCTATCAACTACAGATCAACATTTGTTGTTTGGGAACATACTTTTTCTCCAAAAGAATTTTTAACTGCCCAGTTAGAGAGCCGTTATGCCAAGTTAGTAATTGAGTTTTATATGTCGGTATTGGAAATAAAAAAGCTAATTTATGGTGGCATAACTGAAACTTCTATTGATAAAAAATTCTGGATCTTTATATTCAAAAAAATAAATTTTTATTGAAAACTTGCTCTATTTTTATAGTATTTTCTTGGTCCAGCTAAGTTAGATGTCCATGGTTCAATCCCCAATCAGTCTGCTCGTTATTCTATTCAAGCTCATCACCTCATTTGTAGTATAAAAATTGATATGTGTGCTTGCCGTTATTGGAAATACATATACTTTTGTTTCTGAATTACTAACTCATTATAACTTGTTTTCTGAACATAGATGTAATGATCGAATGAAGAAAACGTATCCAGATTCTGGACACTGTAGATTATTACTTATGTAAAACATACTGCTCATGTAGAACCTTGTTTAGGGCAGACGGTGTTGTCTGAACTAAAGCTAAAGTCTTAAAGGTTCTGTTAAAATCCTATTTTATCTTGATCTTATTATTTTAGAGTACTGGTAGCCTTAACACACAACAAAGAAACAAACGAAATGGCAAAACCTACAGAGCTGCTTTCCAGAACAAAAGCTTATATGTCTGTTTTACAGACTATTGAGAACTATGTTCAAATAGGTAAGAACTTATTATCATTTGCAATTGTCGCATTATGCTAAGCATTAGGAACACTTCTGTCATCACACCTATGATTGTGTTTATAGTCTCGCAGGTTCGAATCCCGCTGTGGTTAAATAGGTGTGAGAGGATTGCTGGGCTCCTACCGTAGTAGGATGATTCACATAATGTCTGGTCAGTTACAGCTTCCTCCACCATCATGTTAATGTACCTGGAACAAAAAACTAATCTACTATTTATATACTCGACATGGACTCGCTACCGGACGAGGGTCTGCTGCACGCCTTAGGATTAAGTTAGTTAAGCTATAAATTTTATTTTTATCACAGATTCAACAAGAATTTTCAACAGTGTTTTGCTGCAACAGACCCAAATGCAGGATAGTCACGGAGAAACTACGATTACTGCTCTCTATACCCAATGGTAAGTGTAAATTGACTTGATACGTAGAATTTTATCAGCGCTTCAGAAGTATGTATACCAATATGGAGGTACCGTATTTATTCAATTATAACGCGCACTCGTGTATAACGCGCACCTTTAAATTTTGAATGAAAATTGGTATAAAATTCTTTTTTTTATTTTTACTCTACTAACTACTGGTAAGCACATAAGGTAACAACTCACAGCATGGACAAAAATTTATTAAAAGCACACAGTAACTCTTCAAAATCGGATTCAGTCTCTGATTCACCAAACAACTGTTCGATTTCTGTTTGGGTTTAATCAACAACCTCCAGTTTGAATGCAGCCCTATATGCAGAACGTTTTTGTCTTGCCATAATAGATAATGGGTAATATATAATGGGTATCTACAGTACAGTACGATAATGGCAAATAAATATTCTCAACGCAGCGGGAATGTCAAACGCATGCTGAGCTGTCGCATGTGCGTGTGCTTGCACGAAATCGAACGCTTGCACGAATGTCAAACGCACGCTGAGCTGTCGCATGTGCGTGTGCTTGCACGAAATCGTCCTGCATTGGAATGTGCATGCGCGAGCGCACGCACGTTTCAGATGTTTAAAACCACATTTTCAATACCGCATTTCTCAGACCTCGTGTATAACGCGCAGCATTGATTTTTGCCTAAAATTCAGTTCAAAATTTTGCGCGTTATAATCGAATAAATACAGTAACTAATTTTGTTTGACTACTTTACATCATGTTGTGTAAAGGGACGGGAAGATTTCTCTGACAAATTTTTTTCCAAGAAATTTTGTTTTCTGCCATCTAGTAGTTGTGCTATCCGCGCGCGACGCTGTTAAAGAACAATAATGTATGCATAGCTCTTGTGCTTCATTATTCGCATGCGACTTTACTTTTTCAGTGCTCATTCTACATTCATCTGATGGCTTGCATTGAGCAAATGTATGAAAACATAAAAAAAGAATAAGCTAGAATATAACTTTTCTTCAATAGGTATTTGGAAGTGCTATTGAGACAAGTAAGCAATGGAAACTCTATTGTTTTCTCGGAATTAAAAAGAGCTTTTGTGTTGTTGCCTGGCGTCGATATATCTTCGGGAAGCAGCAATCAACCAAGTATAAACCCTGAAGAGTTCACAAACATCCAAGGTAGGGGTGAAAGGTCATTATTTGATGCAGACTTTGGTCAAACTCAAGTGGTTATTGTCCTTACCTCTAGATAAGTCACAACAATAATTCTGATTTTTTTGTTGTTCGTTTGTGGGAATTTTATAGATTCTGTGGATGTTTATAGTGTGCTTTTGTGTGCGTGGCAGCCTAGAAGTTAAAGCGTTAGACTTAACTACGAAGCATCACAAATAAAAACTTGGGTTCAAATCCCATGTCCACCACCTCACCCAAAGTGCAATATATTGGGATGAACATGCATCATATAAATATGAAACAAAGGGTGTACCAAGATGGCGCACAACCTGAACATAGTATGTACCAGGTTAGGGTTGTTCAGGTTGTGTGTCATCTTGGTACGAACAAAGTATACTCACAGGAGATTTATATTTTTGGGACCAGATTTTTTTTAGTTTGGCATAGTGTACTAAATTTATTACACTTTTGATAAGATTACAGAAGCAAACTTAAATTTTTTTTTCAACTTCACAGAACTCCGTGCTCTTGCTGACCTAATCGGACCATTCGGAATGAAAAATCTCAATGAAAACCTCGCCTGGCATGTTGCAAGTCAAATTACAGAATTGAAGGTACGGTAACTGAATTTAGCGCTTTGTGTTTAAAACTAAAAATTGAAGATTATTTTTTTCTCCGTGTTAATATTTAGGGTGCAACCAGGGTTTATACTGTTGCTAACGTCTAGAATCTTTATTGAATATTTCTGACACAGGTTTATATATATATTGCTTCGTCCTGAGTTTTTTCTTTTCAAATATCTTTACTGTAGTATAATTGAAGCATACAGGTCTAGAATTTTACAATACAAGTGGGTGAAATTCCATCAAGTAATGAAGTCTGAAACTAATATCTGGTTGACTATTTTCATACCCATCATTGACTGGTAACCGGATGAAAAGCCATGGTTCGCGGAATGACTAAGTCGTCTTATTGGCTTTCGTTTTCTAGTAATAAGTCAAAACATGGCTAGTTGAAATATAAAGTGACACAATATCGAGTTGATGCCTTGGCTTGGGAGTTTTTCACTGTTGCATTTGGAAGAATTGGCCCAGTTTGTCTGGGTTAAAAATGACTTGCTTCATGCAATTTGTTTGCGATTTTGATTTAATTTTTATGAATTAACTTTATTTCTTGGAATTCAACGAATAGGTTATAGTACAAAGGAACGCTAAGAAACTGGCTGCGTTAAGGAAAAGCTTTACCAAGCCAGAGCTAATGGCTCGTCTTGTTTCAGATCTAGATGGTATTACTTAAAATTAATTATAATTGTAATTAATAAGGGCTGAATATATTGCATGAGTAATTCGCAATCTAAAATAATAGAACTAAAATATGAGCATGACTTTGCTATATTAATTACTATAGGCAATTATATTATATTAATCGGCATGTCAGGTAATTTGCTTCTCAAAATCGTCAATCTGAAAAGTAGGAAAGTGTGATCAAAGATATTGTTGTAGGATCACTCTGGATACCATTTTTAAACTTATGAAAGGTGAAAACTTTTCAGGTGCAAAACCCACCAAACCAAAACAATGGTTTAGAAACAATTTTTTTCATATTGTTCAATTCAATCAATTTTAAACTCCTACTATGGTTTGAAAAATAACAGAAAAGATTTCTGTGGAATAACAACATATCAGCCAATCAGAACTATGTCGAGCTATTCTTAACCCGGAGTCATTTTTAATCTGGAGTCCGAGATAACGTGAAAGATTCTCAGATTCTCAGATAGCGGTGTTTGTTTCTTTCAATCCTGCAATTATTGTGGATTCACCCTCTAGTTATCTGCATGGTATTAATTGTTTATTGACAGAAATTGGTGTCGCAAAACAGGGAGACATTGAATATACTACGAACTAATTTCGATAAACCAGAACAGATGGCCGTGCATTATAGGCGCCTCGAGGGTAAAATAATTTTTTTTTGGTTTTAAAAACAAAGTTTGAATGTTTTCTGCTGTTTTAAACGTGTTTTTACTTTCAGTGTTTAGTATGCATTTTTTTTGATATTGTCCTTTTGTTTATATGGTCATCTCGTAATATTGTATTGCTCCAGCGATAGCATTCAATCTTCGCAGGATATATGAGTCGTAGTGAAATGCCATTTTTAGGTTATTGAAATTTCTGGTTAAAGAATAATTATTTGAGAATCAAAAAAAATGAATTTGTGCACTCTTTATTGTTTCAGCATGCAATAAATCATATTTAAAATTTTCTCCGTTTTTTGCTGTTTTTCTAGTTTGATGTGATGTTACTAATTTTACTAATTCTTGTTTTGTTAGTCACTTTATCATATATAATAATTGCATGAATGCATGGATATAAATTCATAACAGCACGATTGAATTGTTTATTTTCTTATTTTATTTTTCCTGTTTTGTGTGTTGTTCATTCGATTTATTCAAAATTCAATCAATATAAACTAAATAAGCAGTACCAAAACAATTGATAAAATTTATAGTGTATTGACTCTTAATTAACCTATTTAATTAAACGTACACATATTAAAGATAGGGAAATTTTCGAGAGCATATTTTCCTTTTCAATTTGGCGTACTCAAAATTCAAAATTTTATTCAGAATTTTATGCTTCGTGTGTTTTAATTTGAAGTTAAATTATTTTAGATTATTCTTAAAATAAAGATATTGAATATAAGTAATTTTGAATTTGTTTTGGACATTTCTGCCACTGACTTGTCATATAGTTCACCAATTTTCCTCGATAGAAGTTTTAATATCATTGTTTGTATTGAGCAGATTTTATAACATTTTCTTTGAAAAATTCAGGAATTGAAAGTGTTCTTCTTCGAATGACGATTATTGGAGTAATCTTGTACTTTCGATCGGTTACACAAGATGCATTGAATGACGTTAGTATATTAGTTATATTATTGCCCATTCTTGTAATTAGATGTTTTATATCTCCACTACAAGGGTTTAAACTTACCAATAATGGAGGTAACTAATTTTCTCCGCCTACTTTACATCAAGTTGTGTGAAGGAACTGAAACTTATGGGTAGGGAGTATATTCACTTGGCTAACACAGACAGTCTCGAACTCGTAATAGAACTAAAATAAGGAAAATCGGAATAAAATTATGGCCTAGCACTAACCTGGTACACGCACTACCGGGGTATCGTTTAACATCTTCACTGCAATGATTCAAACTTACAGCCAACTAAGTGTAAAGGAGTTAAAACTAGGATTTTCCTGATTTGCTATGTCTTGCAAATTTATTATACTGTATACTATTATACATGAAAATGACATATGCATTATTAAAATTAAATGGATGTAACCGAACTTTAAATTTGTGTATGCTTATAACAAAGAGACGATCATTTCAACTTTTCCAATGAGAATTTTACATCTTGAATCTCTTGCATGCACAATGCTCTATTAGGACAACCTGTCAAGAATTTTTTCATTATGCCAAAATGATAGATATATGCTAATGTACGCCTTGTGAATTTTACTTAGGTTCTACAACGTCGCATTCCATTCCTTTTGTCATCAATAACCGACTTCAAAGATCATATTCCAAAGGAAACAGACATAAAGGTGAATTTTATTTTATTCGAAACACTAAGAATTTCAAACACTCGTCAACTGGGAATGGCTTGGTGCTTATTATGTTGCTAGGAGGCTATTTTTTTCAAATATATTTTCAGTTCTGAATCAATTTCATCATTTTATTTTAATTTATGGGAACACTCTTATGTGACATATGGGAACACGTTTATTTGACATATGGGAACACTTTTTGTGATGTATGGGAAACTTTTTGTGATATATGGGAACACTTTTTGTGACGTATGGGAACACTTTTGTTTGAATGGGAACAATTTTTGTACCGTATGAGAACACTTTTAAGTGACGTATGGGGACATTATTTTTTTACCTTTGTGTTTATGGATTTGAACAATGTACTCTTGTTTATATGCTATAAGTTTAGAGATGCTTGTTCTAATCAAAATATTCCTAGGTTTCAATTGGCATCAATGAACTTGCATCTGCTGCCGGTATTCAATGTGAAGTTGATCCAGCGTTATGCCATGCACTTGCTTCACAGAAGGTAATTTTTGTTGATATTTTGGAAAACGTGCGCTTCTATTTATCATCTTTAATATTGGTCAATGGTTGTCTGTGTTTGTTAGAGTAGAATAGGATATATATATATAACATAGTCGAGGTTGTTGGGACAAAAAGCCAAATGCGGATCTTGTAACAAATAATTATTAAGAAGTACAGGAGAGCTGCTATCGACATAAGTCTAAATATTTTCAAATATGGAATACCAGATAAATTCTAAATTTGGTTCAATAAAAAACCTGTATAATTGGATATATATTCAATGATTTTTATTTTGAAAATGCAGGATAGTTAAATGTGGAGAATGATCAAATTGGGTCTCAGTTTTTACCAGCTTTGTGAAATTAAATGACATTTTTTTATCATAATGTGAGACTTCAATTGCTTAAAATAATAAATTTTAAAATAAACTATGCTCAATTATTCCTAAATCCAAAAATTAACATAATCAATACTTAATTTTAAATGGATTCAATATATTGGATTAGACACTTTATCACACGTTTAAACAAACTTGTGTCATTGTATTGTTATTAATAGTCCGAGAATCCCGAAGAGGAACACAAGCTCTCCTGTCTACTGATGGTTTTTCTCGCCGTTTCTATTCCTGTACTTGCGAGAGATGAAGGATCGCTGTATTTACCTGAACTTGGAGCTCATGGAAACAGCTGCCATTGCATTGCACTCGCTGTGAATCGTATTGCTGCTGCATTGTTCACTGTCAATAATGGAAATATCTCAGAAAGATTAACAGAATTCTTAGCTGTTAGTGTATTTTATTGTTATTTTTTCGTTTCACTGATAATTTGGAATCGATTACCAGTTTGTAATCAGCAAACTAGCCTTTGTATTGTAACAATTAAAGTTTTTTGAGGTTTTACCGAATGTCAGTGGTTCCTAATCTTTTTTTTCGAGCGACCCAAATTTTAAAAAAAATTTTTTAATATCTAACGACCCGAGTATATGCTTGAATACTAAACGACATGTTGTTGTGTGGCTTTACATAAGAAAAATAGATATTGCTAAGATTCTACGTTTTTTTTTCCCACGTATACAATTACTACTGATTAACACTTCAATACAAAATAAACAATGAAATTTACTAGGAGGTAAACTGAATACCTTTCAATTCTTTGTTGGAAACCAAGCGACCCATATGTTGTGAAACACTGGACTGTGTATAAACACTCCAAAAAAAGTTTGCAAATCGGTAAAAAAACAGCACAAATTTTTTCAAAACCAATTCATTCTATATACCAATCCTATTATTACAACATTCTTCTATTTTAATATTTTTCTTTTCCAGCTTGCATCTTCCAGTCTTCTTAAGCTTGGTCTTGAGACAGATCGAGCAAGCACTCGCAATCGAGAGTCAGTTTATCTTCTGTTGGAACAAATCGTAAAAGATTCATCAGTTCTTACTATGGATCTTCTGGAATCGTGTTTCCCATATGTTCTACTTCGAAATTCTTACCATGCAGTGAGGATTCAATCAGGAAGCACCAACACGGCAAGCTCGCCCACACAAGCACAGCAAACGATCGAGAATTCTACTGCGTAATGGAAAAAGTGTTCACTTTGATGCTCAACTAGCCAATAACGAGAGCAGTGTTTCTCAAACCTTTCAAGCCGTGCCCCCTTTTAACAATTTGCAAGTCTCCACCTCGAAAATAACTAGCTAACAATAAGCTACAAATAACAGATAGTACGGCGAAATTATGTGTCATTCAAAAACACGTTGAAAATGTGTGGATGGAACGTAAATAATGAAATAAATAAGTTTTAAAAACAAATAAGGCGGGCAAGATCTAAATCGAATCAAATATTTTTAATTAGCTTCACGCCTCCTCAAAAAATTTTCTACGTCCCCCTCGTGGGGCGTGCCCCATCGTTAGAGAACCACTGAACTAGAGGAATCTTGATTTTGCTTGTTAGCGACATAGTTTACCTATCGAATTAAATTTCCTCGTGGTGGAAATCCTTGAAAAGGTTCAAATTTTACTCGCTTAAATTCATGAATTTACTTATAATAATGGCTTTAGAAGCATTTTGCTCTTGGACAGTAATAGTGTCAGAATAGCCTTTCAATTCTTGCTATATCAAATCGTGCAAAATATTTGATTTTTCTGAAAGTTATGATATATACTAAATTTTGATTTGGCAATTTCATAAGGGTGGCAAATTTCACAAAAAATGTCGATTTTTGGTATTTTAAGTAGTATCAGTTTTAATTCTGTTTATACTGGATTATTTGGACATACCCATGCTAGAGTTTCTAGTATTAATACCACACTAAGTTATTTGAGAAATTTTGCTATATTTGTTTATGTTGTTCCCATATTTCGACAACTTATATAATAATATCATTATACGATTATAATCAGCTTTTTTCATGCTGCTATTCAAGATCATTTTTTCCTATTTTTACGATTTTTTTTCAATTTTGTTGTATTCTGTATAAAATATGAAGAGATACAGAAATAAGCTGCGTCACTTAAATGGAATAGAAGTTCATATTTATATGTCATGGAAGAGGAAATACAGAAAGATAAGAGACCAGATGGAAGCGATTGTGGCATGTTTTATGGAAGCCGTTGATGATCCTGCAAACAAGTTATCTTCATTCATTTGGAATATAAAAATTAACACTTTTCCTTTTATTCTTAGCTGCTTGTATTCACATTACTTTAATAATCATGTTCCCTATCTTTTTATAACGTAGACGCAGAAGCTTTGAAATTTTCGGTTTTCAACAAATTTTTGATCATTGAATTAAAAATGTGTATTTGATGGAAGTTAATCTAGTATAAAATTTCGTGTATCATATGTCCTACGTTTTTTTTTTCTTCTTTATATCCAATAAACTATCCAGATATAAACGTTTGTTTTGAGATTATGTTATTCAAAGCGCGCTAGAATTTATCTTTTCTTCAAATATGATGACTGTTAAAATTTGCATCCTGACTTATTACATGAGGTAATCAGCCCTGTTTGTTGGCCATGTCTTGGGAAATCGAGGAAATAATATTAAGTCGTGGGTTTTTGCAGGATTCAAACTGTTTTCTTTATTCGTTTCCGCTTTGCGGAGAACCAGGAAACAATATTGAGTCATCGGGTTCTGCATGATTACGTTTATTCTATTGCTTGGAGAGTAAACTCTAAAAGTTAAGGACAAGTACAAATTTGTTTACTGCGCTAAATAGCCCACCAGTACCTAAAGATAGGAATTGGCTTATCATCCGGGTGAAGAGGAACCCGATAGGACGGTTACATTGTCTAGTTACCAGTCCGCAATGGGTATGAGATTGTGTGACCAGATATTTATCTTTGGCTAAGGTTATTTAGGACTGCCTATGCTGCCGGTAATCTTCTTATTGAAATTTGATTTGGACTTGAAAAGTGAACGAATCAAAACTTAATAGAAAAAAATAACTCTGATTTTTAAAAAGCAAAATCGGAAATGACGCACTCTTTTGAACCAGATTTGAGATGAAATGAAATAGCAAACGGCCTAATTTATTGAGTTAGAGCTGCCTTATTTTCTCCGAACATCATTCTTTTGGTATTTTCACAAATAACTATCAATAGTTAAAAAGCTTGAAGGAAATTTGCTCATGGCAAGGTCGAACGCACTCACTGAGAAATAAAGAAAACTGATCTCCAAGCTAAGTCCGGGAGACCACTGAATAGCCAAGAGCTACCGCGGATATAAAAATTGAAGTGTAGAATTACGCACCAAGTTGCGCGTGACCACAAACTTGCTCATCAGAGCCCAGAGTTGCTATGACTATAACCAATTATGCGATCAGCTAGTTATTTGTTTTCCGAAGCATGAACTTGATGGTGAGTCAGCGGTTACGTGACTGACGAGTCCAGCAATCCTCTTGCACGTAACTATCCACGCATCTGATTTGAACCTGCGAAACCACGCAAGGTAATCACTGTTCCTAAAGCTTAGCCCGATGAGCCGCGCGAATTCTGATTGACTCATTGGTTTTGGTGAAACCAGCCAGACGAAAATTTAATGATTGAATTATTTCATGTTTTTATTGTTCGCAGTTATTGTAATTAACAAATAGCAACGTTATGTGTTTGTTTTTTGCCGTTTTGATAACATTCTTCGTCGTAGTACGTGGTGATTCTGCATGTTCCGTGGAGTACGACACTAGTCTTGCAAAGCCTAAACTCTCATTTGAACTGGACTGGGATCTTCCTATTGGTCGTCCGGGAAGACCTGGTAAGCGAGGTGCAACAGGGCCCATAGGGCCAAAAGGTGCCCCGGGACCAGTGGGTCCGAAAGGGGGAATCGGAGCAAAGGGTGAGAGGGGACTTCAAGGACCTATTGGCCCCATTGGATTGACAGGTGATCGTGGCCCAAAAGGAGAAGTTCCCCAAGAAGTAATTACGAGATTTGAGGAACGAATAAAGGAATTAGAGGATAAATTTCAGCTACTCGATGACGGTTGGGTTACAATTGGAGGAAAATACAGATATTTATTTGGAGATTCAGTTCTCAATTGGCAAGCAGCAAAGTCTTTTTGTGAGTCGAAAAGTTCCAGACTAGCTGCAAAAGGAATGCGAGATACGCAGGTAATATATTTTGATTTAGTTTCTATTTTTTACTTTACGGATATTCCCGACTTATAGATGCTCATAAAATACTATTCAAATTCTACTATTATTCAAACGTAAGCCTACGTCAACCTCAATAATTTTAGTCTCAACAATAAACTAGAGCAGTCGTTTATCTGAAATGCATTTACTAATTAATATTCAATCAGTCATTGCGTAAGCTTGTTTTGCGCACACATATTTTAAATCCTTGTAACGTGAATACATTATTGTCAGGTTCGAAAGCAAATTATAGAATTAGTTCGGAACAAACTCGGACGATATTGGATTGGACTGAATGATATACAACAAGAAGGAAGATATGTTTATTCGGACGGAGTTGTTGCTTCAAGCTCCAACACGCAGTTTATTTCGGGAGAACCAAATCATTCTGGAGATTGCTTGACAATTCAAACTGGTAACGTCGGTGTTGATGATACACCATGTACCACTGCATATCCTGCTTTGTGCGAAAAAGATATTTTTTAGACTTATATCATAGAAATTGAAAACATTACTCTTCATCGGGTCTTACTACTTACTGAATACAGCGCGAAACACCGCAAAGAGCGCAAAAGAGTGCGAAACAGCGCGAAACAGCGCAAAAGAGAGGAAAACAGCGCGAAACAGAAGGAAACCAGCGCAAAACAGAGGGAAACAGCGCAAAACAGGAGACGCAGTCATTACCATCTCCTGCCACGAAAGAACCACGGCGCCTCTCGCCATGGTTTTATGGCGCTATTTCCGGCATATTTACAAGGTTATGTACCGGATTATAGGTCATCATGCGAAATTTTATCTACCTTTTTGGTGCTCCAGAAGTATGTGCAGCAATATGTCGCACAACCTGAATCCGCTACACACACACACACATACTATTTTCAGGTTGTGCGCCATCTTGGTGCACATACTTCTGGAGGTCCCTTTTTACCTAACCCTAACCCTAAAGCCAACCATATCCATATGGAAAATGTTCTAAATTATGGTACCCAAAATGTGTCACCAGCAGGGGCAGACCTGCCATTACAGCATTACTGGCTACATACGTTGGTTTGTGTTTTTAATTTGCTGCCGTGGTACTCCAACTCAAAACAAGGTGCCCCGAACTCATTGCAAAATTTTTTTTCTGCTTCACACTGTTTCCCTCTGTTTTGCGCTCCTTCGCGCTGTTTTGCGCTGTTTCCACACTGTTTTGCGCTGTTTCCCTCTGTTTTGCGCTGTTTTGCGCTGTTTTGCGCTCTTTGCGGTGTTTCGCGCTGTATTCAGTAAGTAGTAAGACCGTTCAGTAAGTAGTAAGACCGCTCTTCATCTAGATTTAGACTTTAGACTGCTCTATTGGTTGTTGTGATCTGTCAATTTTATCCAGGCAACTTCAGACACGTCTTCAGAAAGTAGTCTCAAAATAAATAGAGTTAAAGAAAGAATTTTAGGTGTATTTATTTCACTGTGCAGCTGATAGTTATCCTTTTTCCGAGACTGGGTAACGACAACAAGATCTGAAACAAACAAGTGCAAATATATGGACACAGTTGTCAAGTGAATACCGAGACATTAGCAAAATGACAGCCAATTGTTGCAACTGTGATAGGAGATGTCGCATAAAGTTGTATATCATACAACAGTGTTTGTGTGAATTTAAAAAAATTAAAAAAAGCGACATCTACCGTCATTGAGTGCTGAAAATTTTTCCACAGTAGCAACGATAGTTGGTGCTAAACTATCCATACTTCCATTTTGTGTCTAATATTCGAGAAATTCCGATGCAACGCTCACGTCCAGGCGCTAGGTTAGGCAATATGACTCTCAAAATCGGTAAACGACAGATGTATTAACAGCAACCGGAATGGAAAAAATTAACGTGCTTTTTGAATTTATCCATTATCTGATTGGTTCGATGCTAAATGGCTGCGGATAGGAGTCTTGATGACGTATATTAAAATAAATCTTACCACGAGTTATATTCATTTATTTGGCATATAAAAATTTGACATTTTTCTTTAAACTTAACTGCTTGTTTTTACTTATATAAATAATCATGTTCCATATTTTTTATACCCTTACGACCCTTCAAATATGTTCTCCGGACTATAATTTCAGGTTAAATGACACTTGACATGCTTAGGCTATGTATTTAATCAAAGTTAAAAATTTTAAATTAAGTGTCGGACGTTTTTTTCCCCTTTCTGTTTAGCCATTTAGCCATTTCTCCAGCCATTTAGCATCGAACCAATTTTCCATTCCGGTTGCTGTTAATACATCTGTCGTTGCATTATCCAATAAACTATCCAGATGAAACTGTTATTTTTGTCTAGCGGCTCCACAATAGGAAGATTCTCATGCTTGGGTTGCAGCTAAAAGCTGATTTGTTTTAATACCGTGCTTAGCAAAGCGCACAAAATGTATAACTTATCTTTCTTAAAATATGATGACTCTTGAAATTTGCATGCTGGCTTCTCACATGATGAGGTAATTAGCCCTGTTTGTTGGTCATGTCAATAGTTTTTGGGAAATCAAGGAAGTAATATTGAGTCATCGCGTTCTGCATAATACCTACAGTTTTTTTTAACCTGGAAAGTAAACTCTAGGACAGTGGCGGGCAAGGTTTTTGGACCAGGGGCAAAAAATTTACCTACCTAGCCTGGCGGGCTATGTAAGTGTGACTTATAATATTACATTTTAGGAACAATATTTACAGTGTTACAAAAGAAAAAGTGGGTAACAATAAGCCTCGTGCCAAAACTAAATTTAATCCCAATCTCAACAAAATTCTTGAGCTATTTTTAGCTCATCTTCAAAATTTGGTTTTAGTTTGGTGGTGGCAGCATCAAGCGGGGCAGATTGAACTCCCCAACGGGCCGTAGTTCGCCCATGTCTGCTCTATAAGTAAGAACAAGTACAAATTTGGGGCTCCGGAAGTATGTACACCAAGATGGCGCACAACCTGAACATAGTATGTCTACCAGGTTAGGTTCAGGTTGTGCGCCATCTTGGTGCACATACTTCAAGAGCGCCCCAATTTGTTTACTCCTCTAATTAGCCTACTGTACTTTGGATAGGAATTATATATTTATTCCAGGGTAGAGGGAAAAAGAGGGTAGACCCAAAAATTTAATGTAAGAGGTAAATCGGATATTAAAAAGACTGCAAAATCGAATCTTGATGCACTCTTTTTAACCAGACTATGGCATAAAAAATATTTTCAGAGTTGCTTTCTTTCCTCCGAACATTATTTTTTTGGTATTTTCTGTAAGTGACGGCAACTGTTAGTTATTAAGAAGCTTGATGGCTTTATTTTCTCAAAGAAATTGGCTCAAGCAAGGTGAAGCGCACTTACTAAGAAACAAAGAAAACTTATCTCCTAGCTAAGTCACGGCGACAGCTGAATAGCCAAGAGCTACTGTGACGATAAAAAATTGAACTTAGAATTGCGCATAAGTGAACACCGATATTGATCTCCCAGCGGAGTTGCGCGCGACCACTAAATTGCTCGGAGGCAAGAGCTGCTATGACTATAACAAATTATAGCATATTAGGTTGTAAACCGCATATAACTGACGCTTTTGGACACTCACGAGACAGATATTGTCGATGAGCAAGGTAAAGGGAATCAACTTGACGTGTTTTGTCGATAAGACGGATCAATCACATGACGAAGCCCGGACTATCGTCCGGTTACCAAACCATGTCGGGTTTAAGATTAGTTAGCCAGTTATTTGTTTTCGGAGGCATGAACTTGATGGCGAGGAAGCCGTAACCGATCAGCGGTTACGCAAGTCACCGTACGATGACGAGGATTCCGTCAATCCTCTCGCACATAACTATCCCCGCGTGGGATTCAAACCAGCGAACCCACGCAACGTAATCAGAGGTGCGATGGCGAGCGTTTTCGTAACGCTTAGCCTGATGTGCCACGTCAATTCTAAGTCAACTCATTGTATTTGGTGAAACCAGTCAGACGAGAATTGAATTATTTCATGTTTCATGTTTGCAGTTATTGTAATAAAAAATAGCAACATTATGTATTTGTTTGTTGCCGTTTTGATAACATTTTGCGCTGTAGTGCATGGTGATTCTGCGTGTTCGGTGGAGTACGACACTACTCTTGCAAAGCCTAAACTCTCATTTGAACTCGATTGGGATCTTCCTATTGGTCGTCCGGGAAGACCTGGTAAGCGAGTTGCAACAGGGCCCATAGGGCCAAAAGGTGCCCCGGGACCAGTGGGTCCGAAAGGGGGAATTGGAACAAAGGGTGAGAGAGGCCTTCGGGGACCTATTGGCCCTATTGGATTGCCAGGTGATCGTGGCCCAAAAGGAGAGGTTCCCCAAGAAGTAATTACGACGTTTGAGGAACGAATAAAGGAATTAGAGGATAAATTTCAGCTACTTGATGACGGTTGGGTTACAACTGGAGGAAAATACAGATATTTGTTTGGAGATTCAGTAATCAATTGGGAAGCAGCGAAGTCTTTTTGTGAGGCGAAAAGTTCTAGACTAGCTGCAAAAGGAATGCGTGATACGCAGGTAGGCTATTACTTTTTTGACTTGGTTACTTTATTGGACACGGTAGTGGACATAACGATCGTTTTGTTATCATATTGTTTTTTGTCACAGAAAAAATCGCTTTTCTCTTTGATTACTGGACCAATCGCTTTGCAATGTTCAGTGCTCGAAGATTGAATTTTTTGCTAGAAGGCTATTACTTTTATTTGTTTCAAATATAGCCCTAACTATTAAAGTAGGACAGTCGTTTATCCGTCTTGCCATAACTAATATTCAATCAGTCAGTTTATATTGTGAATCCTTGTAACGTGAATACATTATTGTCAGGTTCGAAAGCAAATTATAGAATTGGTTCGGAACAAACTCGGACGATATTGGATTGGACTGAATGATATACAACAAGAAGGAAGATATGTTTATTCGGACGGAGTTATTGCTTCAAACTCCAACACTCAGTTTATTTCGGGAGAACCAAATCATTCTGGAGATTGCTTGTCATTTCAAACTACTCATAATAGAGTCGGCGTTGATGATGTACCGTGTACTGCTACATATCCTGCTTTGTGTGGAAAAGATATTTTTTAGACTTGTATCATAAAAATTGAATACATTCTTCTTCTTCATCTAGAACAGTGGTTCTTAAACTGGGGGGGGGGGGGGGGGGGGGGCGCGAGGGGGCACAAGATGAAATCGGAAATTTACATGTAACGGCTCCTGAAACGGTCTCCACGTTCGTTAAAAATACCGGCTTTTTCGTGGTATAATACATTTTTCTGTCTGGTAATAACTACAATAATTCAAAATGTCTCTCTATTTTAATTCATTTGTGTTCAAGGTAACTCGCGGTTGCGGCGACTCATGTCAAAATAAACTCATTACCGATCTAAAATACCACGCCAATCCGCGGACATATTAAAGTGTGACCAACTACCCGATTATATTTAGTTTTGATATATATTGCACTCATGCGAATTCGTTGTCTTTATTAGAAAGATCTGGTATAATATCCCAGAAAGTATATTCAATTTAGTACAATTAAAATACATATTCATCGACTCCAAATCCCCGCGGTACGGATCCTGAGTCAGTCCTCGAGATTACGCCAGTCGCTATAAGAGCCGACTTTGTCAACGGATATGTAATGGTTTTCCTGTTGAATAAAATATTCAATCCATGACCGATATACTTATTTGAAATGGTTGCTTTATTCATTTAATTGTGATAAATTAAATCTGCGATTGCGTCGATAAAATGAAAGCACCACTACTCCAAAATACCACGGTAACCATAAAAATGTGTGGCAAAGTGCCCGATTACATTTTGTTTTGATTTGTATTCTTGCCAATTTCACCATTATGAGCTGTCCCTGCAACTCCTACTCCGCTCTATTGCAATGCTCGATTAATTTTAACACCGTTACAGAAATTCCTTAGTCTTCGATAAAATCCCACGCAGTAAAATTTTTTTCAAGTCGGTAGTTTTAGAACACTACTGGTGTGCCGCAGGCACAAGGAATTTATAAGATTTGCAATGTCTAAGAATGTGTTTTTAATCTGTCGCGGTCCACCCCAAAACAAAACTCATGGTGTTTTCCGTTTTATTTTTAGTATTTTATAATCTCGCTTTTACAATAAAGAAATATTTGGTTGCAGATTCACTACTTTATTCTATCTTTAGCGTTGTCGCTGATGATTATATAATAAAAACTAACTCGTTTTCCTCAGAGGTGTCATGGTTCCATTCGAGCACAAAAAAAGTAATTATAATCGTCTTCGCGACACAAGAATATGTCGAGGGAAATTTCTGATTTAAGGAGATTAAACACCTAAGTTAAGATTTTTACAGCTTAAATAGCACGCCACGCTTACGAAAACAATCGAGATTTAAACAAAATGCAATTGCAAACGCCTTAGCGACTTTATTTTTCAGCGGTCAAGGGTCGGGGAAACGTCCACAAGCATAATAACTATTAAAAAATGAACTGCTTTTAAATTTACATGAATTCATTTGTACTTCTCCATTTTGTTTGAAACGTTAGGCAAGCCAAGAAGTCTGTAATATTAGCTTATTTTTAACACACAGTAAATAATTTTGGCATCGCTCAATAGTGAGGAATTAAACAAATTTTACGTGTCTATGTAAACGTTTGAGCAGAAAATATATTAAAGCATAGGTTTATTGCGTGTTTAGTTTTACTTTAAAATTAGTTTGATTTTACCAGGTATTGCAAACTGAGGGGGAAAACGAAAATGTATGATGACCAACAATTATTTGGCTTTATACATACGACAGTGAATGGCGAAGTTGTACTCCGAAGCGTTTTATGCCTAAACAATCTGAGCAATGACGCTATGAGACCAACACTATTATAGCGCCATCTTAATATATAGCAACCTGCCCATCACAAAAGCATTTTTTCAAAGCAAAAAGAGGGGGGGAGCGAAGTTTGTAAAAATTTTCAAAGGGGGGCGCGGCTCAAAAAGTTTGAGAACCACTGCTCTAGAATTTGGACTTCTCTATTGGCTGTCGTGGTCTGTCAAGTTTATCCAGAGTTATCAGAAAGTGGTCTCAAAATAAATAGAGATAAAGAAAGAATTTTTGGTGTATTTATTTCATCGTGTCGCCGATAAATCTTTTTCGAGATAAGGTAGCGACAAATGGCCAAAACAAACAACCTTAAATAAATGGACATGGTGGTCAAGAGAATACCGCGACATTAGCCAAATGACAGCCCATTGTAGCAACAGTAATAGATGTCATGTAAAGTTGTAAAAAGCAACATCTTCCGTCATCGAGTGCTGAAGGATTTAGGTCGGTAGCAACGATAGTTGGTGCTAAACTATCCATACGTCCATTTCGTGTCTAATATTCGAGAAATTCAATGTAATGCTCACGTTCCAAGTGCTAGGGTAGGCAATATGACTCTCAAAATCGGTAAAACGATGGGCGTAATACCAACCGAAATGAAAAAAATTAACGTGTTTTTTTTTTTCAATTTATCTATTGCCTGATTGGTTCAATGCTACATGATTGCGAGTAAGCGCCTTGGTGATTACGTGTCGCATTTATTTTACCACGAGTTATATTCATCTATTTGGCATATAAAAATTTTATATTTTTTCTTTATTCTTAACTGCTTGTTTTTTTTTACATTACTTATATGAATATTCATGTTCTATATTTTTTTTTATAATCTTCGACCTTTAAACACGGATGAGGTTGACGCAGAAGCTTTGAAAATCAATTTTTCGAATCTAAATTTCAGATCAATGACACTTGGCATGCCTCTTTTTTCCTTTTTTATATCCAATAAACTATCCAGATATAAACCACATGTTTTGTTTTAGGGGCCATTGGGGAGAAATTCCTGCTTGTGTTGCAGTTAAAGCCAGATCTGTTTTAAGATCATGTTAAATTAAACTCACTAAATGTAGAATTTATCTTTTCTAAAATATGATGACTCTTGAAATTGGCATACTGGCTTATCACATGATGAGGTAATTAGCCCTGTCTGCTGGCCATGTCAATCGTTTATGCTTTGGGGGAAATCGAGGAAATATTATTGAGTCATCGCGTTCTGTATAATCCATACAGTTTTTCTTTAACCTGGAAAGTAAACTCTAGGACATGGGTGGGCAAGGTTTTGGACCAGGGGTCAAGAAGTTTGCCTGCCTAGACTGGCGGGTTATGTAAATGTGACTTATAATGTTACATTTTAGGAACAATATTTACACTGTTACAAAAGAAAAAGTGGGTAACAATAAGCCTCGTGCCAAAACTAAATTTAATCCCAATCTCAACAAAATTCTTGAGCTATTTTTAGCTCAACATCAAAATTTGATTTTAGTTTGATAGTGGCAGCATCAAACGGGTCAGATTGAACTACGCAACGGGCCGTAGTTCGCCCATGTCTACTCTAGGAATACGAACAAGTACAAATTTGTTTACTCCTCTAATTAGCCTACTGTACTTTGAATAGAAATTATATATTTATTCCGGGGATTAAGCTGTTGATGGGCGCCAGATGTTTCCAGTCACTTCTTTGCTCCTGTTTTTTTTATTGGCCTTAGCTACTGCCTTGGTTTCTTTCACATTTCTGGCCTTTTTGGTAGTTTCCTTGATTTTTATTCCGGGGAAGCCGATAAAAGGGGTAATCACGTGGCGAACTAAGGCATTTCGTCCAGTTACCAGTCCGTGTCGGGTGTGGGATTGGTTAGCCAGTTATTTGTCTCAGATGCGTGGACTCGGGCTGAGGTTTATAAAGTCTATTTTGGTGGAAATTGATATGGACTTGAAAGGTGAACGACACAAAATTTAATGGAGGAGGTAACTCGGATATTCAAAAGACTGCAAAATCGAATCTTGATGCACTCTTTTTAACCAGACTATGATATAAAAAATATTTTCAAAGTTGCCTTCTTTCCTCCGAACATCATTCTTTTGGTATTTTCTGTGAGTGACGGCAACTGTTAGTTAAGAAGCTTGAGGGCTTTATTTTCTCACGGATATTGGCGCAAGCAAGGTCAAGCGCGCTCACTCAGAAATAAGGAAGACTGATGTCGTAGCAATGTAACGGGCGACCGCTGAATAGCCAAGAGCTACCGTGACGATAAAGAATTAAAGCTTAGAATTGCGCATAAGTAAATACCGAGATTGCATTCTCTGTGGAGTTGAGCGCGACAACTAAATTGCTCAGAGGCAAGAGCTGCTATGACTATAACGAATTATAGCACATTATAATTATATTGCGGATCAGTAAATACCGATTGACGTGAGGCTTCAAGCAATTCAGGCTAATACGATGAGGACAACAATTATGAGGTTGTAAACAGCATATAACTGACGCTTTCAGACACTCACGAGACAGATATTATCGATGAGCAAGGTAGAAGGAAACAACTTGACTTGTTTTGAACTTTTAAGTCATTGACGTTATGTGTTAGGCCTTATGTCCGGGGTGAATGAATTTGATAAGACGCCTCAATCATATTACGAAACATGGACTATCGTCCGGTTACCAAACCATGTCGAGTATGGGATTAGTTAGCCAGTTATTTGTTTTTGGAAGCATGGACTTGATGGTGGAGGAAGCATTAAACGACCAGCGGTTACGCGAACCCCCTACGGCGGTGAGGAGTCCAGCAATCCTCTCGCATGTAACTATCCACGTATGGGATTAGATCAGATGAAACCAGTCAGACAAGAATTGAATGATTGAATTATTTCATGTTTTTATTGTTTGCAGTTATTGTAATGAAAAAATAGCAACATTATGTATTTGTTTCTTGCCGTTTTGATACCATTCTGCGCCGTAGTGCATGGTGATTCTGCGTGTTTGGTGGAGTACGACACTACTCTTGCAAAGCCTAAACTCTCATTTGAACTCGACTGGGATCTTCCTATTGGTCGTCCGGGAAGACCTGGTAAGCGAGGTGCAACAGGGCCCATAGGGCCGAAAGGTGCCCCGGGACCAGTGGGTCCGAAAGGGGGAATCGGAGCAAAGGGTGAGAGGGGACTTCGAGGACCTATTGGACCCATTGGATTGACAGGTGATCGTGGCCCAAAAGGAGAAGTTCCCCAAGAAGTAATTACGAGATTTGAGGAACGAATAAAGGAATTAGAGGTTAAATTTCAGCTACTCGATGACGGTTGGGTTACGATTGGAGGAAAATACAGATATTTATTTGGAGATTCAGTTCTCAATTGGCAAGCAGCAAAGTCGTTTTGTCAGTCGAAAAGTTCTAAACTAGCTGCAAAGGGAATGCGAGATACGCGGGTATTATTTTTATATTTGGTTTCTTGTTTACTCTACGGACATTCCCGATTTATAGATGATGCCCATAAAATGCTATTTTGAAAACATTTCAGAATTTTTCCATGACATTGTCCTAACGTGGTTCCATGTAAATCTTGATAAGTTTGGCCTTAAATAGTAAAGTGGGGCAGTCCTTTATTTGACTTGCAATACCTAATATTCAATTAGCAATTAAATATTCTTGTTTTCCGCATACATATTTCATGTTTCTAATCCTTGTAACGTGAATACATTCTTGTCAGGTTCGAAAGCAAATTATAGAATTGGTTCGGAACAAACTCGGACGATATTGGATTGGACTGAATGATATACAACAAGAAGGAAGATATGTTTATTCGGACGGAGTTGTTGCTTCAAGCTTCAACACGCAGTTTATCTCGGGAGAACCGAATCATTCTGGAGATTGCTTGTCAATTCAAACTACTCATAATAAAGTCGGTGTTGACGATACATCATGTACCGTCACATATCCTGCTCTGTGCGAAAAAGATATTTTTTAAAAACTGAAAACATTATTTTACATGTCGAATTTGGACTTCTCTATTGGTTGTTGAGGTCTTTTTTTTATCCAGGTAATTCCACATACATGTATTGAGAAAGTGGTCTTAAAATAAATAGAGATAAAAAAAAGGTCTTGGAATTTCGGCAGTTATCTTTTCCGAGATAGGGTAACGGTAAATAGTCTAAAACAAACAAGATTAAATAATGTAGACTAGGTGTTCAAGGGAAAACAGCAACATTAGCAAAATGCATGCCAATTGTTGCAAGAGTTAAAAACCAGGGTTGCTATCGATAATAACATCAGAGAAACATAATATATATTGAGATCACACAGAACGAAATGTATTCATGCCAGGGAACCGTGTCTAATCATAATTTGCAGTAGGAAGGATTTCACTTCTAAGTTATATTTTGTTCCAAGTTACACGAACTGATATTCGCCGGTAGACTATTGTTTTGTCGCCGTGGCAATTAATTTGCTGTTATTACGTCATGAATGCGCGTAGCAATCAACGAGGCTCCAATATCATTTCTAGCAAATCAATCAATTTAATTGACCAATCTAAGTGCCCGGTATAAGCACCTTTAAAATAAGATCACATGTCAAAATAGGGACGTTGCTTCAAAATGAGGACAAAAATATTTTCTAACACAAAGACTTTCCAAATAAGATCAAATCTTGGAAATAAGGTCATTATGGCACCTCTGGTTAAAACAGATGTCACATAAGGTTATGTACCATATATCATGCAACAGTGTTCATTGGTGCAAGTAACGTGTATATACCGTGTTTCGCTGAAAATGAGACTTGGCCTGAATTTTAAAATTGATTTTAAATGGGCCCTCCCCTTAAGATAAGACCTAGTCGATAGCGCGATTTTTTTTGACTCAGTCGATATCAAAAAATCTCTCCTACACGTTTTAAAGGATTGGTAATTTATGTTTTGCAGTTGAGAGAGGATTGAAATGATCATTTTTGAACAAACCATGTTTGGCAGATTTTATTTTTGAATAAAAACGTGTTATTCATAAGTGAATTAATATCGGTTTTCATATTTTGTATATTTGAAAATCTCATAATTCTCTGCTTTGTAATTTTGTTTTTGATATGTGAAAATAAAAGACATCCCCCCAAAATAAGCCACAGTGTTATTTTTTGATAGAAAATTGAAATAAGAACTGTTTTATTTTCGGGAAAAACACGGTAGTATTCGAGAAAATCCAATGCAATGCTCACGTTCGAAGTGCTAGGGTAGGAAATATGACCCTCAAAATCGTATATTTATAGCAACCGAAATGGAAAAAATTAACATGCTTTTTGAATTTATTATTATCTGATTGGTTCACTGATACATGGTTGCGAGTAAGAGCATCGATGACGTAGCCACGTGTCCGCACCCTAACGTTGACGATTTTTAGAAATTTTTAAAAACGAGTAGTCAACATAAATATTAAAAATGAAATGAGAAAAAAAGCAATATTTCATAAACTTCATATCCATTGGGCAACAGGTACTTAAAATATCGATTATTGTGTATCGTTATCAAAAACATAAGTATGTTTTTTGTTGCAGCTGGTGTCAAGTAGGCATCGGGCCATAATAGATTCGGCTTGGGCTATTATACCCTCAATATTTTTAAAATAATTTTTCCACAACTCACGTCTGATTAGACTTAGTCCAAGACAAACACAAAAAAGTTGGAAATTGTCACAAGTGCTTGTGAAATTCGTCATGTCGTTACAATCGAAGACTAATTTAACCCTCTGCGGGATATGATTTGAATGGTGTGCTGGCTTTTATAACGAAATTTCATTAGTTTGGCATGACAATCTCAGTTACCTGGATCGCGAACAGTATATTATGCAGATATAGAATGGTATTGCTAAGCTTTAATGGTAAGCTTTAAAATAGTGTAAATACTCAGGACACCTCACTTGGAGTGAAAAAAAAAATGAAGCAGACAGTACCGAATAAAAAAAATTCAGTTTTTTAATTTAAAATCCAATTTCCAAATGGGTAAAAAGCAATTACTAAATTATAAGTTAAATCAGACAGGAGAAGCGCGTCGATAAGTATTAAATAATGGAGTCAGCAACGATTAGTAAAGTTCTATTGCGCCAAAAAATAAAATCAGTCGTAATCGTCGTAGAGTAATATGGACCTCTATTCAGAATCCTTTTCGAGAAAACCATTTCCGTGATAATCAATTTCTAAAGAAAGCAGAATATGGATATAGTACTCCTACCAAATTCCTGAAGTTTTATATGTGTATATATATTCTAATCATAGTATAGCATGGAATACTACACACCACTAGTCCAAATGCACTAAAACGGCCGTTTTAGCAGAAGGTGACTATACATACTCTCTTCCAGCCACCCTTCAACTTATTGTGACGTCATTAATGCATAACTGAGGGGGAAACATCCACGAAATAGCTAGTTCGCCGATATCTTATTTTGTCAGTGCCACATTCGCGATTCTCATTTGAAATTCCAGATTTATTTACTGACGATTTTGATTAGTGTGTTTTCGTCTTCGCAAGTACGTTAATTTCATATTTTAAACTATAAACGGGAAGGTGAAAATACATCACAAGTTTGGTGTAAGTTTAATTTGTTTTAATTGAACAAAATCCTATTTAAAATCCAAAATGAGAAAGTCGTTTTTCTTGAGTGTATTGCAATCAAACACGACAGCTACTCTACTATTGTCTTTCACATGTCCGCCTCGGGTCAAATAGAATGAGGCTTAATAACATGGTCAATCACAGTAAAATTTGTTTGGAATTATTTAATTATCCCGTTGTTGAACATTTTTGTGTTGAATGTGGTGGTTAACATATGCTGTGTTGGTTTTTAGTTCGCTGTTGAGTGAAATTACCTGTAGGCGACTTTTCGAGGCAAGATTATAGATATTTGTAAAGGTAATACACTTCTTCGCTTATCAGTTATTCTATTTACTAAGCTAAGTATATTTTTCACTTCGAAATCAGATTACAGAAAGATAATATTGTTTGTTTCTTCAAATACGCTTTATGTACTTTGCCGCCCAACAAAATCACGTGACTCAATCATCGTTCATGGCGGGACAATCAAGCATGGGAATACATCCGTCCAATGATAACGCAAACAAAGGATTGGCGCAAGTTGGATTTGTAAATACCCAACAAGTTCCGGGCGTAGTGCCTTATCCTGCTACGGCTCCCCGGCAGGGTAATTTTTTACTTACAAGCGGAAATTTGAGTCAGCCATTCATGTCGCCTATGATGATTCCATCCCACATAAATTCAAAAATGGCTCAATTCATGCCGGGTGGAATTTTGCAATCAAATTTGAAAATTGGACATAATCAGTTGTATGGATCTACAGTGACGCCACGTGAACCAGTAAACAACCAATCAAATACAGGTAAATTAATTACTTTGTTCGTTGATTATCGCGAATTATTAATATGCTATCTATTTATATACGATTTTATTATAGTTCAAAATTTCCGTGTGCACAAAAAGCCGATCCTTGTACAAAACCCTAACATGCTCGTAGTGTTGGAAAAAGGCAAAAGATTACTGTATTGTGTACTATACCCAATTACTTGGTGTTATACTGATACAATGAGTATATATGCAGCTCATGAACAAATTTTAAAGCACTGATATCGTAAAGATACGAATGTGCAACCTAAACCATGCTGAAAGTGCTGTCAGAAAGAAATAAGATAATGCAATATAAGATATTCATCATGATTAGCTACCAATATCATCAAAATACTTTTTCAGGTTTTTTCTTTATTTGGTTTGGTTTTCTTTATTTGGTTAAAATTAATCGGCTTCCTGAAACCAAATTTCACATGATTTACTTGATACCAATTTTTACTCGTTTTATTGGACAAGCTCAATGAATAATTCGGATGACATGACAGTTTTTACCGTGTAAATAGTTTCAAACCGTCAAATAACTGGAACTTCGGCGACAGGGCATAGAATGGATGTTTTTCCGACCTTTGACCCGGGAAAATTCTTCCTATACTATACCATTTTTGTCGTCTATTTTAGGATTGGTTTAGCGAGCGCCTATAAAAATGGTTATATGTTTCAAACCATTATTCTGATTCAAAACATTCAACAAACAGCTTGTTATTTCAAAGAGCCGGTAGAGAAGTTTAGTTCAATCTATCACGGCCTTTTCTATACAAGTATTTAATTACTGCAATTAAACTAAAACTCCTAGAGAAAAAAAAATAATCATCAAGTTATTTAATTCATACTTAAATTTCCTGAACGCAACTAAAAACTAACAAATAGCATGCAAAAACGAGGTATTGTTTACAACCATGCCTGAAAAATTTGGCATCTACCGATAAAATCAAAAAGCAGTAATACCACCACTAGGTGCCACCAGAGAGAAGCTTTTAGCTCAAAAATTAAATTGAGTGCTATATTTGGAATTTGCTGAAGTCGAACAAGTGTAAGACCATCAAAAATAGAAATATTTTTTAGATTATATAGGTCAAAGTTCAAACAAAATTACTCACTTCATTTTAACAATTTTTCGGCGAGTTTTTTAACGTCATCCAAAATGAGTCGCTTTCTGCCAAAATGTCTAGTCGTCTCTTAATACCAAGAAGAACTAATACTTTTTTGAGAAACATTTTGTGGCGTTCCACATTTTTACATTACACGACTGCTTTTCAATTTGACAATGTGCCAGAATATTGAATGATATAATATTCGTGCAAACTTAAGATAATTTCAAAAGTTAAACAGTAAAACATTAAAAAAAGATTATTTATTTCACGATTTAAAATAAAATTAGTTTGGTTATAGTGACTTCATGACATAAATATTACTACCTGTTAATGGTTGAACTAATATGGACCATATAAAATCCACGATTAGCAAGTACAAATCGCGTATTCCGTTATCTCAACTACGCTGGAATTAACCTCAAATTCCATTTTGTTTTGTTTGAATAAATCATGTGCGTGCAGAAATTGCGTATTTCTATTTTTAAAAGGTCATTCCTCAATTTTGTCATTATCCCTGTCAATAGAAAGATTACTCGTCGTCCAGTTTAATAATTTGTAGGCGCATTTCATTTGGTCAAATGTGTTGTAATTAAAATTGTAATTTATAACTCGCAAGTTCAATCTTACCTTGGCGTCATGCATTTGAAAGATTAGGTCTAGACTCTAGAGCAGGGATGGGCACGGTTTTTGGATCAGGGGCCAAAAATTTTGACCACCTAGACTGGCGGGCCATGTAAGTATGACGTAAAGAGTTACATTTTGTGAACGATGTTTACAGTGTTACAAAAGCAACAGCAAAGAACAATATACCTTGTACCAAAACTAAATTTAACCGCAATTTCAACAAATTCCTTGAGCTATTTTTACCTAAAATATCAAAATTTGGTTTCGGTTTGGTTATGGGAGCATCAGGCGGGTCAGATTGAATTACCTAGTAGGCCGGACTTTGCCCATGACTGCTCTAGAGTAAGATCCATCCCGATTAAAAATAATTTTAATATGATTATAGGTTTATATGGTATCTTTTTTTGGCGCTCCTGAAGTATGTGCACCAAGATAGCGCACAACCTGAACCCTAACCTGATACACATACCATGTTCAGGTTGTGCCCCATCTTGATGCACATACTTCTGAAGATTCTTTTTTGGGGGGAGGGGTCTGTGTTCAGTCGTCAGTTAAAAAAACAGTTTTAATTTAATACGTATTATTTAGTTCTGAGTGGGATTAACTTGAATTGCTATAACAAGACCTAAAAAAACTGGTAAAAAAAACGAAAAAACGGTAAAATCTATTTCAAATAGGTGGTAATAAACTGGGTATCTATGTAAATGACGAATTGCAAATATTTTCATTAAATAATTTAGTTTGTTTGGGAATGCTTGCCTGTGCAATTGACATGAACAAAAATATAATCCTTATCATTACATTTTTTTTATTTTAACGTATTCTAAGATTTGCAGAGCATATTAGCAAAGAACCGTTCATAGCTTAGGTTGTAGAATTTTCTCTCTTTTTATTTATTATTTATCAGATGTTGCGCGCAATTTATTAATCTCCTGCGACCATAGATATTTCCGATAATAACACCACGACGAAGAAATCATTCATTTCAGTAAATGGTATTAATTAATTAGGCTTTCGCCCGTGGAATTATATTGATAAAACTTTTTTGTTACTTTGGTATTCTTCAAGCGTGGGACTTGTATAAACCAAGTGTTTTGTGATCGTGTTATCACTCCCTCATGCTTGGTGAAGGAGTTATCGGGACAATTTGTACCGTTTTGAATCTTTCTCCAAATCGGGCGACTATTTGCTGTCATTGATTAGTCTGACGCCGATTAAAAGACTTTCGCTAAATGTGTGAATCCAATATCGGAAAATATTGATATTTGTAATCTCTTAGTGCATTAGCAACAGCTTGAATGAATTTTCTCATTATTTTTTAAATCTAGTTGAAAGCTTCTTCAAAGGGAGAAAACTTTTTTAATCAGTCAAGTTGGGTAATAGAACAAAGAACAAAAGTGTCAGCCGTATGGTGACGAGCTGCGACAATATTGTAAGTTGGCGTAGAGTATGCAGAAAGCTGGAAGTTGATTGCAATGTGGTAATCAAAAGATTTTGTAGCAAAGTAGTGAAAAGCAAAAGTGGACGCAATAACTGTATAGAAAAAGATGAGAAATATTCAGCTCCATAAATTTGAAATGGAATATATGATTAGTTTTTGTTTTGTTAACTTATCGACTATTTTCATAAGTCGAAATAATATATTGAGACATTTTTATCTTTAAAGTTTTTACATAAGTTTTCGGTGCAAATTTACGTTTTTTTTTTCATATTTCAATTGGTCAAATAGATCATAGAAATTTATACTGCAAAAACAAACAATACGAAAAAAAATTTTAATTTTTAGTATTCTTTAATTGGTAATAATATCCGCCTTATTTTCTCATTCAGATACTAGTGGTGATTGTATTTTAATATCAGTTGCACATGTATATATCACACTTGGTAATATATTTGTTCATCAAACGAAACAAAAAGCGAAACGTGACGTCATAATACGAAATGACATCATATTAGAGAGGTGGTAATGCCTCAAAATGCACTGTGAAGGGACGCGAACTAAAATCACCTCTTTCTCGAAATATGCTATAGTATCTGTAGGTGGTTTATCGCTCCACAGTAAAGTAGATTTAGAAACGGTGAAAATTTAAATTTTAATGCGAACGGAAGTCTATTTTGTGTCAATATTGTCGTATCGTAGACTAAGAAGTTCATAAACAAGTTTTTGCGACATTTTCCGTTTTCGTTTACACAAGAACGAGAGAGAGAAAAGACGTACCGGTATATATACGAGCATTAGACAGTGAGAATATGAAGACATTTCTGAGCGGAATACAATAATTGTAACGTCAAATCTGAAAATCGCATGAAAAAAAACAAATAATGAATTCGGAATAAAATGAAACTTGAGTTTAAATAAACGCAGTTTTTGTAGTTTTGAGGGTACTCCCGTAGTGTGTGTACCAGATTAGGGTTTGGCCACAATTAATTTGGATTTTCCGTATTTTAGTTCTATACGAGTTCGGAGAATGTCTGTGTTAGCCAAGTGAATATCCTCCTGCCCATAGGTTTCAGTTCCTTTACACAACTTGATGTAAAGTAGGTGAACAAAACTAGTTACCTCCATATTGGTACACACACGTCTGAAGCGCTGTTTGGAGGATGTAAAAATGTGAGAAATATTGAATTTCGCGTTGTTTCAACATCAATTTATATAAAACTAGGTAGCTTTGTATCCATTCCAAAAGAAAGACAGTTAGTGATAAAAATACACCGATGCCAAAGGTCAAAACTTATAAAACCGGAAGAGCCGTGTCAAAGTAAACTATAGAATGCGATTCAGGTATAAATAAAAATCTTTGGCCTTGCATGAAGAATTATCGAATAGTGTAAAAATGAGCTCGATTTGATAACAAACCATGCATGATAAATCATAAAACCATGATAATCCCTTTACACGGGTAATCTTTGTATCGATCAATTCTGCGTGATATACACGTGAGTGTACGTGCGCTGATATAATGGCATTTGAAAAACAAATGTTGATCAGTGGAGAACTCGAGACGGCAGAGAAATTTTCAGATTTGTGAGATATGAGGTTTATTTATATTGCAAAATAAGGTACTCCCGTAGTATGTGAACCAAGATGGCGAACACCGGAACGTAGTATGTGTACCAGGTTAGGGTTAGGCCATAATTTCAGGTAAAAATACTACGGGAGTCACTTGACTAGACCCCGAACACGTAATAGAACTAAAATAAGGAAAATTGGAATAAAATTATGGTCTAACCCTAACCTGGTACACATACTATGTTTAGG